GGCGCTAGTCGCCTTCGCTCTCTTCCACCACGTCTCCCGCTCGTTGACGTCTCTTTTTGACCCACCCACCATCCCCAGCGCTTTGGGGGCGAGTCGGTCTCGCCACCTCGCGCTCGAGCGGGAGTCTTCCGGTTTCGCGTTACCTCGCGGTAATCGCCTGGTTTGAGCAGCGCGCGGTCTGCCTCCGAACGGAGAGCGACCCAGCGCACCAGGCAGCAGCGAGACGCGTCCGAGAGACGCGACGCGTAGGTCCCGTGCCCGCGTAGGTCACGTGACCGGCCCGGAGGACTCTCGTCTCCCCCCACACATGGAAACTAGCACTAAACTTAACTGCGGAAAGCGCTACGCTGGAAATGACTCAGCGTTCAAGTTTAGTTTTCTGTTGTTCCCCCCCTCGGACCAACGGTAGCACGCAATTAGGAAGCGGAGCCCCAACCTGCTGACTCAAGTATCGCAACGGGGCTGCCCCCCATCGCCACGTCCTCCTCTTCCTCTTCCATCATGTTCGCGCCCTCCGCGCCGCCTTCCCTCTTCGCCCCGTCCTCTTCAAATCCCGAGCTGTCGCTCTGCGACTTCCGTCGTATCGCTTGGTGCGGGGATCCTACGTAGCACATATGTTCGACTCCCGAGCTGTTCGCTCCGCGGCTCGCTGCCGTGTCGTTGTTGGGGGAATGTACCATTGAGCACTTATCGTCCACTGCCCCTCTCCCTGCACGCTTCGTTTATGGCGAGGCCGTCTGGCATCTGTGGCGCGCTTTTGCGAGCAGTTTGGTAGCTCCTGGGCATCGGCGCCCATTGAGTAGCTCGTATCGTTGTAGTCACTCTGCTCGCATGCATTATATATCAACTCGATTGATCACCTTCTTATGGCTTTATCGTGTACATTCCGTGTCTACGTGCACCTGCTTCCAAGGCCGATATGAGCTGCAAAATATGTGATATATGGGTTCAGCAATTCATGGACACTGGGCGAGTTTTTGCTGACATCGTGCTGCACCAACACGTAGTGACCAGCTACGAATGACTCCAGCACGCATTTGACAGGTGATGACCGCCCGTAACTGGACCCACGACGGATCTATTTCCGGTAATTTTCTGGATTTTGACTGGCTACCAGGTAGTGGTCGGGTGCCGGCGCTCGGTGGAACACATGCCATATCCAGGTTACATCTACATGCCAGAATCATGGCGGTGTAAACAGCGGGTGCGGGTATACGGGTATGGTCATCAGAACGGGGCGTACAACAACTTGCAATCAGTCCATAGCAACGGCGACAATCTGCATCATACAGTCAGCTACTGTTATAAGCCCGAAAAACTGAATAAAGCTTACCTTATAACATACGCATCATCTCTTACAACTTCGGAGAGACCGCACTCAGTGCTCTCACTCGGTCTCCCGACAGATACACCCCCTCGCCCTTCTCCAGGTCGACGTTCTCCAGGATCACCCCCGCAGGGCCGGGCGACGCCTTCGCCTCGCCCATGCCGGTCAGCCCAAGCCCAACCATCGAGTCCGACGCCTGCTTGCTGAACGGGGTGCCCTCGCCCGGCCGACCGGTCCGGGCGCGCTCGCGCTCCCTCCCGCGTTCCCCGCGCTCATCACGGTCGGCCTCGCGGCGGCGGAAGCGTCCGCGGCGGTCGCGGCGGACAGCGAGGCGCGAGTACGAGCTGAACGTGCGGATGATCATGAAGAAGTTGAACAGCCCGAACGCGAAGACGGCGGTGATCGCGACGCGCACGCCGAGCGCCTGTCGCGCGGTGAGGGGCGCGACAACCGGCGAGCCCGTGTCCGGGCCGGTGTCGTCGATGGAGCCGGTGCGCCAGACGAAGCTGAGAATCGCGACGCAGAATGAGATCATAGACCATGCGAGCCAGATGGCGGGGGTTGCGAGGAGTACCCAGATGTTCCACCAGATCGCGGTGCGCGACTTCTGCGCCTCCTCGGCCCAGCGCGAGGCGCGGTCCATGCTGCGCATCGAGCCAAACTGGACGATGTAGACGCAGCCGTACGAGAGGCTCATCAGTGCGAAAACGAGGGACATGAGAGATGACCAGCGCGTGATGGGGTCCGCGGCCGCGTCTTCAATCTGGAAGATCGTGAGGATGGTTCTGCGCATCTGTTGAGTGATCGGCGCCTCTAGTACAAATGAAGATACTTACGTGCATAGGAGTGCAGAGACGAGGTTGAAGGTCTTCCACTCACGCATGAGCGTGTCTACGAAAAGCTCCCACGAGTTCTTGAACCGCGCGAGTGCAGGGGATACAACGGGCGGTGTCCATTCTTCCGGGAACGGCATCCCGGGGAACGGCGGACTCTTGGGGCCCGTAGGCGTCGCAAATCCAGTCGCAATCATGGTGTCCACGGATGGGTCGTGCGCAAACTCCCCGCATGCGTCGATCAGTCTCTGGATCTCAGGTTTGCTCACCTCCGCGTCTTCAAACACGCGTGCCACGCGGTGCCAGTACAGCGCGGGAAGCCAAAGCAAGGACCACAGGTACAACTGGCGCGGAAGAGAGTCGACGAAAAAGGAGGTCGTGTCCGAGACCATCGAGTGCCATCGAGGACGCCGCTTCCGTCTCGCTTCGCTCTCTGCGTCTTCTGCCTTTCTCGAGGGGAAAAGGGAGGTTATGTTGACGAAGTAGGAGCGGAGGCGCGATGGACTTTGCATATTAAACACCCGTGCATCGTGCGGCGGGGCGTTCTCTCCCTGTGCGCCGTCTGTACGCCCGGGAGAACTCTCGCGCCGGGCCCCAAACCAGCGTATGTGCGAGCGGAAGGGGTCGACAGGAATGAAGGGCTCGTCCCGGGTATGTGTCCTGTGAATGTTCCACCCTTGCAAGATCCTTAAGGGTGAAGCCGCTCGCGACTGCGCAGGAGAGCGAGATTGTGGTGTTTGGGCTTCTCTCCCATTGACGAGGGGTGATAGGTTGTGGCTCGGCGGCCTGTTGTGACCTTGTCGCGAGGCGGGTTGCGAATGACTAAAGATGTGGCCTCGGGTCGATCCGTCGCGGGAGCGCAGGGATGGGGAGGGAACGGCGGAGTCGCTATGTTGTTGCGCGAGTCGCCCTGATACGGCTGGACAGCAATGGTCAGTACGTCATGGACCTTCAGAAACGGGTAAGTAGAGTGATCTAACCGGACAAACTCCGGAAGCGTGGTGGGCACGTCGAAGGACACTGAGTATATGCGTCGTGCACTCGAGAGGTTGGAAAGGGGACAAAGGAGTGTATGCTCTCGTCCTCTTGCACCGCTCCCAAAGTCGTACCCTCCGAATCGGTAGGGCTATGGGAGCGATCATCGCTCGACGATGATTCGGAGAGGCTGCTTGAGCGCATATCGCAAAGAACACTGAAGGGCAATGAAGACGACGGGGTGATAGTAGTGAAAAGTGGAGGACTCGAGCACTGGTTATATGCCAGACTGCACCTTCGGGTCCTTGCTATGATGTAATGTGACAGAAAGCAGTAGAGAGCGTCATCATTCAGGCGCATATAGTCACTTAAACATGCTGCGCAGTACATTCGTGAAAGTAGGTAGATAGGGAATGCCGCTACATAGGCCCATGACGTACTCCACTGGGCCATGTAGCGGTATCTGAGTATAGCATATAAGGCATCTACGGACGCCCTGGTCCGAGTGGACAAGCTGCATCCATACACGCCTCGCTACCGCGATGGTGTACGCGCGTAACCGAATATCTGAGTGGAGAACGGGTCAAGATGCGCACACACCTTGTTTGAGGTTCTGCAGCGACGCAGGCAGCGATCTCTCGCTTTCATTCCTTTGCCTCGGGGTTTCGCGGCCGATAGACGAGTCGGATTCGCTCAGGCGAATTGGACCTGCACCGGTGATACTGTGAAAGGACTGGAGTGCAGGAAGGCTTGTCGAAGGGCCGTCGAGAGACGTCAGAGAGCTCGATGCGTCAGTGCTGCGTCTGACAACGCGGCTGGGCGTTCGCAGCCGCTCAAAGACCGGAGGGGACTGGGTGGGCAGCGCGGAGAGCTTGTCCGAACTGGTCAGAGCCGATGAAGAGGAGCCGGACTCTACGCTTGGCGGTCAGGACGGATCTCTACACCCAAGCAGTCCTCCCCGCTCACCCTTCAGCTGCTGCTCCGAGTTTGAGGATGGGAAGGGTAACGAGTTTGACCTTCTTGAGGTGACTGAGGGCCTCCGCACTGGGGCCGCATCAGCGTGCTCGGAAACGGACATGCTACCGTCGTCTTTGTCGACGATGGGTTGGGGGCGTGAATGTATGATCGCGTCAAAGTCGTCCGTTGGGGCGGCCCTCGCCGCTGTTGTCGCGATCGATGGCCAACGCTGCGGAGGTCGTCGAGGATGGGGGTTAAGCGGAAAGCAGCAACGTCGCCCGAGGAAGCTGTGTCCGTCATAGTACCCACGCCTTCCCGTTTAGGAAGGACGCGACGCGTCGGTGGCTGAGGGCTACAGCCACCAGCGCGTCGTGGCGTTACGGACGCGTAAACACGCGTTCAACGCCATGATCACGATCTTACATACGACTACACGTCGGTATTTGATTGTTATGAAGGTTTAAGCCTCAAATACTGCACACCTTGTAGAGGATGATGATGCCGTTGAAACACGGGTCATATTGCTATTCGTACATACACAGAAAGCCTCCATGATACATGCGGTAAAGTTACAACAATGAAAAAATCCGAACTTAAGCGTCGGTTGAAGAGAAAGGAAATCCACTCCGCAACATCTCGCGCGGGACCAAGACCGTAGACAGCGTTCAGCGGAACAACGGCGCGGCGGGCTTGCCGGTCGGGACGGGCGCATGAGGAACAGGAGCGTGGGGCACCCTGATCTTGAGGCCTACGACATCCCATGATCGTCAGCAACACGTTCGAGCAGACACAAGCACCGCCAGTCACTCACCGAGCTCCTCAGCGATGAGATCGGCGCCCTTCTCGCCGACGAGGAGAGCAGACGAGTACGTGTTCGTGCCGAGGTTGTCCTACACGCCCCAGACAGTCAGCAACACGTCCCCAAGCACGCGCAACAACCGCGACTTACCGGGCAGATACTGAGGTCGACGCACTTGAGGTTCTCCGTGCCGTACACGCTGAGGCGCTTGTCGACGACACCACCCTGCTCGCGCGGCTTCATCGCACACGTGCCAAGCGAGTGCCACGTCGTCTCGACGTGGTCCGCGATCCAGTCGTCGATCGCCTTGTCGTCCTCCTCGGTGTACTTGATGTCCTCGTGCACCTTGCTCGCGTCGAACGGCTCCGACGCGCGGTGCCACGTGCCCATGTGGATGCCGACCGTCAGCCCGTCGGGGTAGATCTCGCGCGCGGTCTTGATGTCGATGTCGCGGCACGCCGCGGGCGACGCCGGGTGGAAGTGCGGGTGGTGCGAGGTGAGCTCGCCGCGGAAAGCTAGGCGAAGGCGGGTCAGCTCGGCAGCGGGTGGAAGGGCTGGGACGGGCACTGACCATCCATGCGGCGGGCAATCTCACGCGTCACCTTGTAGCTCCAGCGGATGGGCGCGAAGTCGGCCTTGTTGTTCATGAAGCCGCTGTCGAAGAACGGCTCCACGTACGGGTTCGCCGACTTGACGTGGATCTACACAAGGCTTGTCAGCATCGCGCGCCCACTCAACACATGGATTGACTCTTACCTTGCCGCGGGACGCCGGGTACTCGAGGTACTGGAACATGGTGACGTACTTGCCGGGCGGGAGGAGAGCGTGGTCGGCGTACGCGCCGGCGACGATCGAGCCGAACATGACGGGCTTGTCGGGCTTGTCCTTGAAGTAGCGGTCCCAGAGCTCGTTGAACTCGGGGCCCATCTCCTTCAGCTCCTTCTCGTTCGGACGGATCTTGAAGCCCGCGTCGATCGCGTTCGAGGAGAGGCGCGCCTTCGTCGGGCTCGTCTCCCACTCGGCGAAGAGCTCCTTCTGCACGTCCTTGACGCCGCGGAGGAAGTCGTCGAGTGTCTGGGTCTCGTTGGAGACGCGGTACACTGGGATCTCGGGGGTCAGTATACGTCCTTGATTGAGCGGCCAACAGACATACCGGAGAGGGTAGTGTAGTGGTCCTGGTACTCCTCGCCGACGCCGGGGAGGTCGCTGACGACCGGGATGTTGAGCTTGTTGAGGAGCTCGGCGTTGCCAACACCAGAGCGCTCGAGAATCTATGCCCGCACATCGTCAGCTCATGAGGAGGAGGAGGAACGGTTTGAGGGGAAGGTGCATGCGGTCTTATGCTCACCTGAGGGGTACCGAGCGTGCCGGAGCTCAGTACGACCATCTTGCGTGCCTTGACGATGGTCTCCTGGACCTGCCCGCCGTGGGTGCGGTTGCGCGAGGGAACGTACGCAACACCGACGGCCTTGTTGTTCCCGTCGAAGAGGACGCGGGACACACGTGCGTTGCAGCGCAGGAACAGGTTGTTCTGGACGTCCATGACGCTGTGCACGTAGGCTGCACCTCGCGTTCAGTATAGAGCAGGAAGAAACGTGCTATGTAGCTCACCAGTGGCGGCATCACTGCGACGGCCGGTATGGCGGTTGATGTACTTTGCCCAGATCTCAGCACCGTGGCTCGTCTTCAGGTCTGCAAGGCAAATTAGGTGCCTGTTATCGCTAGCGCTTGCGGTCAGACATACCCTGGATATCGTCTGCGGAACAGACACTTAGTGTCTAGCGATGAAATGAAGTAAAAAAGAGGTGCTCACCGCTGTAGGGAATGCCGATAGCGTGCGACGCGCGCAGGAAGTCCTGAGCGACGGGAGTGATCTGCCCGCCGTTGCTGATCGCGATCGGGCCGTCGTATCCGTGTGTGTCGTTGTTGGTCGGCTTCTGGTAGTTCTCGACGCGCTTCATCAGCGGGAAGAGGTCCTCGGCGGTCCAGCCCTCGGTCTTAAAGTCGTCTGAGTGCGGGGTAAAGTGCGGGGTGAAGTCAGTGTTGCGCTCGGGTGGGAAAAGGAAGGCCGCTTACCCCAGTCGGAGGCAGAGGCGCGTGTGTACATCTGGAAGTTGATACTGCTACCACCGCCTGCGTTACGGAATGTCAGTAAGTCGTGTGTATTCGGGCGTGGGCGGATGCCCGGAGGTAAGAGCGTACCGAGAATGTTGGCGCAGGGCACGATCGAGCGACGGCCACGCAGATGAGAAGACTGCATGGAGTCCTCGTAAAAGGTAGCCTTGTCGTTTCTGGTGTACGGTCAGCATGGCGGACTGACGCATATACCGGACATTGCTTACACTCCATCCCGCTGCATGTTGCGGACATAGATACCGGGGCTACATGCATCATCAGCATAACGCGTTGCGACACGAAGACGTTCTTGGCGTACCGGTATACCCAAGGGTCATCGCGGTTGTTCGCGCCGCCTGCAACGAGCGATGGTCAGCATGCAATTTGTTGGCACCGACCGCCGTTGTGTACCCTCAATGAGCATAACCTTGAGAGTCGGGTCGGCATAGGCAAGACGTCCAGCGACGACGCAGCCGGCGGGACCTCCTCTGTAGGCGTGGCCAAGACATCGTCAGGACATCCAGTCAGGAGACGTGCAAGGAAGGGACAAAGACACACCCTGCAACGATCACGTCGACTTCCTCTGGGTGGCCCATGCTGATTTGGTTCAGGAGAGGGGGGCAGGTGAGCAGTGGTAAGAATAGAGATGGGAGCCTCGAATGAGGTTGGGGTCCCGCAATTCTTTCAAGGGGCTTTTATGTCTTCCTCGAAGAGGCGTACGAGCCGGTTATCGCTCGCGCGCCGACGAGGTTCCCAAGAGGTCATTCGCGAAGTCATGGGCCCTCCCACCGCAATCATCTTCGCATAAGCACAGACGTCAGCTGGACCGGGGCACTCAAGAGGGTTTAGACCAAAGCCCCCGAGAGTCGCCTGTTTGCAACGCAAATAGGTTAGAGCCTGAGAACACCGCTACGTCCTTGGCGAGTGACATCCGTTCTGTCCGAGCATCTCAATACGAACGGAGCTGCTCCAATGCTGTCTCCAGATAGCGAAAGTACCCGAAGGCGTTCTATCGGCCTACAAACTTCTAGAACTACCCACGATTGCTATTGGGCTTCAGTTTTCGTCAACTGAACGCGAGGAATCTGTCACTCACAACTACGCCGCCTTACACGCCGCCTTACGGCTTACGACAGTCTTGTATTACGGGATCCTGCATTCTCTCCGACCTAGTACGCGCAGTCGTACGTCAGAGAGCGCACAGCCCGGCCCGCTAATGGAGGCAGTGGAGACAGACTGAGACGCCGAGGAAGGCCGAAACCCACATTGGGAAGAGCCGAGTGGGATGCAATAGCCAGGTGGTGTTGGTCGACGATCATGAGGCACAGGCAGATGACTGGGGGAATGGCTTGAGCTGCTTCCGCATTCAAATGAAGGTGATCGGTATCTAGCATACAAGATTCAGAAGCACAGCGGTCGGGATGAATGTGCGAAAACTCGACCTAATGCATTTTTGCCCCGCAGTCAGAGGAGTTCTCGGAGCATGACAGTGCCTTGAGACAGGGTGTCTACATCGCATGGCCGTAGTCCCCTGTCCGATGGGATGGTCCAGATCGGCCCCCGTTGGTGTCGCCTGGTTTCGTGCCCTGCTTTGCCGTGCGCAGCTTGTCGAGCAAGCCCCACCAGATGGACATCTGAGCACCATAGATGGTCAAGCCGTAGGTGAAGGGATCTCTTGACCTCGACTATCTATAGCTCTTCACTCAGGGGCCAGCATTCCCGGCCGTCGCCTTGAATTGTATACGAAGAGCGTGGCGACGCGCTGGTGCAGCTGACCACCGATTGGTCCAAGGGGCCTGCGAACTCAATCGCCAACCAAATTCTGTGAGAACTGATATGAGCTCTCATTCGAGCCAATCAAACGTGCAGATGAGGCGGCGGCAGAGTTCGCACCTTCGAAGCTTCGTATGCATTGAGCGACGAAGTTTGTGTGAGCGGCAGCATCTCGAAGTGTTCGTGGTCATGAACGAAGGAGCGTAGGCGCCCAAAGCATCTGCCAGCTGACCTAGCGCGCTCTCGGCTTGTCCACTGCCATCTGCACGCTACTTGCGGCCTTGTACCTCGGCGAGTAGGCATACTGAGCGAATAAGAGGTCATACGCTGTAATGAATGACCCGAACAGGCTCTCTTCACTCGCCGCCGCGCGAGTACTCGTGACATCGCGTCGGTGGAAACTGAGGCCACCTGGGGCATCGGTGGGCTCAACCCGTGACAAACGACGCTGCGCGCGGTGAGCTTTACCCCGCATTTTGAATTGTGGGGTAGAACTCTAAACAGTCGAATCCAGAAGCCCCTGGATGGGCGCCGTTGGGAGCAGCGTGATCCTCTTTTAGTGTGTGCTTCCGGAACATATCGCGAGACCCCGAACGCGTGGTGACGAGAAGGCGGCTCACATGCCCCCACCTTCGCTCAGGGCAGCCTGGGATATCCGCGGCACTCGAGGGGCTTTCTGCGGGGGCGGTTCGTTTCCCGGCATTGCAGGTATCACTATCGACCTTCAGCGCAGGACCTCTGGTGCACTCTCGGAAGCTCACGCGTTCCTCCTCAATGACAGCCACTCCATAATGCCTGCGTGCCAGATTAATCTTTGCTCGGATCCGCATGGCGAGGCCCATCTTATGGCCAAGACTCTGATGAGGTACAATCGGTGGGTGGACCGCGCTAAGGAGTGCCATGTACGTTGTGCGTTGAACCTACGAATCGTACGTCCATGAGGGGCATAGGCCAGCAGTGCCTCCGCAATGACTTGAGGGAGTTTCATCGATACTATTTAGCTGCAACGGGTACGCAGACTCATGAGATATTGAGACTCATGGTGTCCCTTCGTATTGCATGACCCGCTCATCATGACACTGATCCTATCTTTGCTTCTTGGTCAGTTTAACTTGAAGGCCAAAGGCATACGACCTTTGAGAACCTGGCGTATATATGCAGCTTTTCTAGGGTGCCATTTCGTTGCTTATGGTTGCCGTCTGTCTGTGAGGTAGCCCAGTGGTGCGATCTACAAGACGTATCTGGAGACGTCGGAAATTCCCGAAGTCGAGAGCGCCCAAGTCCGGCTACGCGAGATCAAGACGAACCACGCTCGATTGACCAGTCTGGCGCACTCTTGCTCCTATACTCCCATCATCCTATACAACACAATCATAGCCTATGGTCACAAAGGCAACCGCGCCGATCTACACAGCAAGATGCAGCAACGGCGTCGACTTGAGTGATGTTGAACAGCAGGAGCACCCCGCCTCTCGCGCAACACGTCTTGTCGACGATACGACGCGTTTTCTGCTTGTTTCGATAGGCAAGAGCGTAGAAGACCGCGTGCTTCGCAATACTCTGCCACGCTGGGTGCGCGAAGGTGTCGAAATAAATGGCGTGCGGTCAGTTGAACGCGGCAGGGCTTCTTCGCGCCTCGTTGTCATCTAACTTTCATTCTTGTGTAGCTACCGCTTTCTTGGGTTCACGGAGTCCCAGGTGAAGGCCGGAAAGCTTATGTTCTTCCGCGAAGGTCATGGGTGGACCGTCGAACGCCTGCTAGCCAGCTTCGGAGACCTCAGCGCCGTGTACCTCAAGTCCGGATACGGCAAGTATTCCGCACGTCTCGGGCTGTCTTTTTCGTCCACGGTGGAGTCACTTGATGTATGCCGACCGCTTCTTTCACCGCTCCCGAGAAGGTTTGGAGACTGAATGAACTTATGTGCACAGGTGCCACGGGAGGCAGCACACGAGATGCCCGATCTGAAAGCGCCTGACGGTTCCCTTTATACCGACGGATGCGGTATGATTCGGGATAGCTTTGCCAAGAAGCTGTGCACGAAGCATAACTTTCCTCCAGACACCTCAGGTACAAGTGGACCCACTGTGTCATGAGGGCACCATTAACCTTAAATCCAGTGTTCCAGGTGCGCCGTGGAGGCATTAAAGGCCTTCTCGTCCGCTATCCCGATGAGAAGTTCGAGCGGCTAGGTGGGACGTCTTCTTCGTCACATCTCATAGCCTATCGCCCCTCGATGTACAAGTATGAGGACGGGCCGACCATGCTGGAGATAAACAACCACAACCTCCCGCCGGCGCCTGCACACCTCAATGTCCAGTTCACAGTCCTTCTGCTGAGCTTGGGTGTGCCTGTTGACGTCTTCAAGAGGTTGTTGCAGGATCAGGTAGACATCATAGGTAGCATCGTGACTGATCGGGAGAAGGCGCTGCATTACATCAAAGGGGAGTTAGATGCAGGCGTTGAAGACGGACTGAACCAAAGTCGTGCGTATCACCAGCCAATATCTCACGTAGCATCCCTTGGAATCTGACATTATCCAGTCTACGCCATGCTACTGGCACAGCACGACCTCTCGGAGCCCTACGTGAGGCAGCGGCTTCTTAAGTATCAGGAGGTTCAATATGAAAGCCTGAGACGCAAGATGAATCTCCGCATCATGGATTCATGTTATGTCTTCGGCGTCGTGGATGAAGATAGCGTGCTGGCACCAGGCGAGGTCTATGTCAATCTCCCAGCGCGGAGCGGAATACTAGTGCGCGATGTGGTAGTCGCTCGGTAGGGTATTCTTCGAGCGCACAATGCTGAAGCTAATGTTGCGATAGGAACCCATCTTACCATCCAGGAGGTGTGATCCATCAGTTTGTGCAGCCGCCCCTCACTGACACGGCCCCTCAGACATACGGAAGCTCCGCGCTGTGGATCGTCCACAGTTGAGGCATCATCGAAACTGCATTGGTGACATCTTCATCGTCGCCCTCCTTGTGACTATATGTACTGACATACCATAGTCTTTCCACGCAAAGGGCCCCGCTCCGTTCCGGACACTATCTCTTCAGGGTGAGCACTTACTACTCAGCTCGCCTCGTCGCCCCCCGAGCTAGCGTTGATATCGCTCGTGCCAGCGATCTCGACGGCGACATGTATTTCGTTGCGTGGGAGCCGACCTTGATCCCTTCGACGGAGATGAAACCCGTCAACCGGGCTTTGTCAATGTCTGCCGCTGGTCACACCGCCACCTCGGCTTCCGGCCGTCAACTTCCAGATATGCCCCGGGCAGCAGTAGAGACTTTCCTGCAGCTGCGGTATAGTCGGCTGCTCGGCCGCATGGCCAACGAATGGACCAAGGCGGTGGATAAGACGGTAGATCTAGCCAATGCCGAGTTCCCCCGGCGGCTGGTACCACTGATCGAAGCTGCGCTGGTACGTCCTCCCTTTTCTTCTATATTTATTTCTACTAGTCCGTAATTGCGACGATGGTCTTCCAGGATATCATGAAGACGGGCGACGACTATTGGAGGCTACAAGACGACTTCAAGCAATTATGCTCGCGCTATTCGAACATGCACCTGGACGGCTCTGCAAGCCCGTTACAGGTCCTCCGAGCGATGGTACCTGAAGTGAACGAGTCCGCACCAAGGACGCTGGATTGTGACCCGGCGCTCGTTCTGGGGCACGAGGAACCTCGTGTATGGCAGGGGTACCTCGACGAGGCCAAGAGGGTCTTGCCACGATTCAACAGAGAACTTTCCGGAGCTATCAAGTTAGATGCCGAGTGCGATAGCGGTAGGTCCTTCCGTTGCAGCCTTCTTCAAGTCGCTGAAGCTAATTGGTTACTTCCCCGCAGCCGACTTCGCGAGCAACGACCCAAACGACCGAGAGCCCCGGCAGGCGGATCGAGTCAAGCGGGATTACCAACGTCTCTATTTTGGAGGTCGGCCTTCCGTTCCCTCCGGAAGTCGTCGTGTCATTGATCTGTGCGGCGGGGATGTGTACTAGGCGGTTCGTTCGCGGAGCTCAGCCATCAGCGTATCAGGGCGTCTGCGTGGTATGTAACACCAGTTTGTACACTAGAAGGAGACCTCAAGGAAATCCCGCCCAGGTACTACTATGGCTATAGTCTAAACAAGAAGGCCTTTGCGTGGCTTGGAGAAAGGTTTCTTAATGAGATCAAAGCCTGTGAGTTGCGAAGGATCGACACACGCTCCTCTGCGCACAACATCGCTCACCTCGAGAATAGTGGCGTCCAACAGTTACAGGCCTGTCATGTACGTGGGCAACGTGGGTGCGAGAAAGGGGCGAACTTCGACGACTTCGCCGTTCGCACGCGAAGACTCTCAGGCGACTCTTGTCGGATCACCGAGTCCTTCCCCGCAGCCTACATTGCCAACAGTGCCTCACGACACAGACATAGAAGACGACTCGGCCGACGATGTACCTATTCATAAGCGTAGGCCGACCAGAACCCGCCGCCAACGCTACAGCGAACCTCTCGAGGACGTCGACGCTCGCGCAAGAATCCTCAATCGATGCCCCGAGGCACGGCAGCTTCCCTGCGTCTCAGTCATCGACCATCCTAGGCCGACAGCGCCAGTCGCGGGCCATTACATGCCCACCTGTTCTAGGAGCCCCGCAGGCCACAAGTGGGGCATCACGGCCAACGGAAGCGCGAGGCGGTACCTGTGCCTCTGCGGATATGAAGTGCACGAGAAGAAGACCAACGGTTACTGGGAGCCAGTGAGAGTCGTCGTGTCTGCTCGCAGGTCGTGGGGTGCGTCCACCGAGTCGGACGCCCCTGCAGAGGATGCGCCGCCGAGTCCCCCCGGGCCGCGGACGCGTTCTCAGGCCCGTGGTATGCGATCCTCGCACCCTCCATCTGGGGGCGCGCGCCCACTATCTGCGATTCAGTCAGCCGCCGAGGAAGAGTTCCCTGCAAACGTCGACGGCGAGGTCGACAGCGATGTATCAATGTCCGACTATGAATCCGCCGTGGAGGAGCTGAGCCCGATGATAGTTAACAGCCCGCGGATTCAGCCTGAAGCTCCTCGCCGCTCCTCGGCAGGGACGACCAACTCCGACGCCCCGAGTTCCCTCGCTGGCATGCCCTATCTGCGGCGTCTCCCCGCGCGTCCCGGGAGCGACATTTCAACCCCCATTGGGCGACTGCGCCAAGTCTCGTCGCGCCGAGTCTCCAATAGCACTGCGGAGACGCGCACGCCGCCGACGGCAGCCCAAGTCGTAGTCGAACCCTCTCCCGCCGCCTCCCTACCCGAAGTCGGCCCGGAAGATTGGCCCCTCGTATCACGGAACCCGAAGCCTGAGCAGCCTTTGGTGAGCGCTGTGCCCCGATGCGGGGCGGGCCCAAGTCATTTGTGGCGGCGGTGGGGCAACGCGTGGGCGCGCCACTATACCTGCAAGCAGTGCAGTTTCGTGGCGAAAGAGCGCAAGTACGGCTGCCCAGAGGTTTGGATACCTATGCATTGATAGATCAAGTATGCCCGTGGGTGTTTTTTTGTGTTTGTTGCCTGTCGATGTTAGGAACGCCTGTTCAACCGTGTTTATCGCTCTCCTTCTCCTCCCCTGTTCCGTACCGAGTTCCCTGTATCTTTGACGTCAACGTTCATGTCTCTTGTTATTTTTCTTCCTTTGTTCGATCGGTGCATTGTTTACCATAGTCTTCGCGTATGCTTATGTCTTATCATTGTAGTCTCGATCCGCCATGTACATCAATATAGTTTGAGTGTTGCTACAAGTCATCCGAAATATATCACGTTCGTAGTGTCGTTAGTTGTCGAGCTCGCGTACGCGCATGCGCACGAATAATTTAAACTGCGAGATTAGTGTTGCCTGTTGCTCCTCCCTGCTACGATCATCCAGCTTTCTCGACATCCCGCAAGATGTTCGTCGTGGACGTCTCTTTCAAACCATAAGTCTCGTCGGTGTGCTTCACCATCGGCACTTCCTTGAGCAGGAAGAGTGTCAGGATCCCGACGCCGCACAGACCGACCATAACCTTCCAGATGACGGCCATACTCAACGCGAACGCCGCGCGCACCTCGGACCGCAGCGGCTCCTCAAGACTAGCGATGAGCGGGATCGCCTGATACGAGATGTCGGCCCCAGCAGGGAACTGGGAAGTGAACGCGGCGGGGAGGCGGTTTTTGAGCTGGTTCTGCAGGATGGTGCCGGAGATGGCGATGCCCCAGGTCTGCCGGATGAAGGCATGAGTATACGTGCTCGTGCCACTTCTGTTCTATTACTCACTTGGGCAAAAGTCCGAGAGAATGTATAGAACGCGAGCGCGGCGGCGTTGCGGGAGACCGGGAGAGGCGCCAAGATGGCGAAGATAGTCGACGCATACTGCGAAGCTCGTTACTGTCAAGAAGAATGCGGAGATGCAGTACATTAGACTCACGACGATACCCGACCCGGCAGCCATCAGAAACTGGAAACCAACCCACTGCGACGTCGGGCTGTCCGCGCGCAGAAGAGAAAGGAGGCCAAACCCGATGATGGAGATAATCCATCCAACGACGTTCACCGCCCGGTATTTATTTATAACCTTGACGATGATACCGCAGAAGAGCGCGAAGGGAGCAATGACGAGCGCCGTGGGAAGGGTTTGCACGCTGGACCGCAGCGGAGATGCGCCGAGGCTTGCCTGAAAATAGACTGGGAGGTAATCTTTGCTGTTTGTCAGAAGAGGCGACCATAGAAGAGGAGGTAGTGCGAGAACGCACATATCGCAGACATGCTTGTGATCCCGTGAACGAAGGTGGCGAGATACCTGCATGTATATGGTTAGGTTCGCCGCGAAGTTCAAGTTGGAGTGGGGTAATCTTACGCGGACGCGCTTGTTCGGTTCGCTACGACTTGCAGAGGGAATGTCGGCTCTACGGGTATGCATACTTCGTAGACAACGAAGAGACCGATGAGGAAGAGGCCGATGACCAAAGGTACAGCGACGTGAGCCGAATCCCATGGGTAGCTGACGCCTCCCCATGTGAGGCCGAGGAGTGCGAGAGTAGATCCCGCAGCCATCAACATGTTGCCACTGACGGCACCTGTCAGCCTGAGCGCAAGTAGAGCGGCCGTGTTGGTACTCACATCCAGTCGACCCGAGCCAGTTTTTCCCGGACGGATCCGGGTGGAGAGCGCACGCGGAGGAAGATCGAAACGAGGGCGAAAGCAATACCCGTCAGGGGCAAGTTCAGGTCTGTAGTCACAGGTTAGCGGGGACATGCTCAACAGGGCCATCAGAGATCACTGACAAAACAGCCATCTCCATGAAGCTTTCTGAGCCAAAACTGCGCCCTGATTATGGGGCGCATGAGCGATACTGTGCGGTGTACGCCTCCGCGACCACCTACGATGACGGGGCCCACGCCTGCTGCGAGAGCCCATACGAGGACGATGAACCCTTGATACACCCCACGCTCCGCTAGTGGGACGAGGTCCGCCATGATGATCTCCGCCATGGTTATGATAGATCCGCCTCCCATTCCTTGGACCACTACGGATTGTCCGGGTCAGTATAGCAGTATTAGAAGAACTCAAAATACCTGCCTCTTGCTCCGATCAACATGTCCATGCTATTTGAGATCCCCGCCAAGACGCTGCCGAGAGTGAACAGCGCTATGCTTGTAAGCATGACGGGCTTGCGTCCGAAAATGTCTGCGAGACGCCCCGCTAGCAGAAGGACGGCGGCACTAGCGAGGCCGTATGCGGAGCCTACCCAGATGAACTTGTCGCCTCCGTTCAAGTCGTCGGTGATCGTTGGTAAAGCGGTGGGTATGGCGGACAGATCCAAAGCGCTGAGGAACATAGACACCAAGATGGCTAGGAAGGAAAGCCAGAAGGCCGAACCCTTCCTAGGGGCCGGGTTGACTCCAAGACTGGTGGTTGAAAGGGTGGAGGCCTCGTTCAGGGTGAGTGGCGACACGATTTCGCGTCGGAGGGTTGAGAGTGTTGGGGCGACCATGGTCATCGATGCAGGAACCCGCTATGCAAGCCCTCTTTTATGGGCTATATCCTACTCCTGACATGTTTTCTGGGACCCAGCCGCGGAGGCGTCGGTAGCCTTTGTCCCCAGCTTGTCAGCATCCGCCTAGCTTAGGCTGAAATGGCGCCCCCACTGATGGGCAGACGAAACGCCGCTCGTCAATATGATGAAGCAGTACTAAAAGCAACATAACGTAGCTTGAACGGACTCAAACGCAGCCCGAGTGGTATTATCTGTTTGCACAGGATGAGTGATACCGGCACGAGCGCAGCGTATGCAACTTGGACGCCTGCTACAGCAGAGCGCCAGTGAATGAAACACAGTAGACCGCCCGCACCGCGCGACCAGACAGTCGGCGTTTTCATCTGGAACAGCCTGATAGCGCTGTTAGGCTCGCCAGTCTTTCATAACGTATGAGCCACATCCATGAGTAGTACTCACCGAGTTGCAGAGTCGCGGACCGGAACATCCTATCGCGCTGCATAGCATAACAACGACAGCGCTGATACGGTGGAGTCTGCCGTTCCCTTCCCGCTGGTCAGGAGCTCGGGCGGTCTCCTACATTCTACGACCTATGTTCTGATGTCCAGATCTACAGGTAAGTACACGTCTCAACGTCTAGCAGAGAACGTTATCGATTTCCTGGTTTCATATGCGCTCACCTTTTATGTGACACGCGAGCGTCCCAAGATATCCCAACAGCCTCTCCTCACGGTCCTAGACATGTCATGGATCGACGTCCACACAAGCCCGGAGAACTCACCGCTATGATGGCTCATAATTTTAGGGCTTAGGTAGTCCGCAACAGCTTAGCAAGTGGGAATGGGTTCCTCGCAAACACCGCCAATGTGCGGGACCTTTGGACGATTGTTCAAGTTGTCTGAATCGCTTACATCAAGGGGCCGTCGCGCCACTAGTGATCTGAGGTGCGAGTGCGGCTGGTCGGATCTGTGTCGTACTAAAGCAAAATTGGAGCGGCTCCGAATAGCATAGGAGCAGGCTACTCACCAAGACATGTGGTGAAGCTGTGCTTCAGTGGGTCCATGTTTCGCGGCCCTGGCGTTGCTCGGCGCTGCCGAGAGCCGGTACACTGAGCGCGTGTCATTTGAGAGGGCCATAGCGAGAATATGTGCAGGAGCTTTATGTACCTGTACACACCTGTGTGAGTGTTCCGCCACTGTGCAGGTCAGTCCATGATGATCAGGGCTTCCGCCAATGTAATTGAACGTTCGAACTACGCCGTAGCGACGGCGTCTATAGCCTTCGGCCATTCGGGTGATCCCGGGGAGCGCAAGAAGATGTCCATTCCATTCCCGCGGCGGGCATATTTTCTAGGACAATAATCTCGTTCACAAGGTTAAGAATTACCACAGCGCAAACCGCTACGGACTCTTCAAGAAATTCACAGCATTGAGGTGATCAGCTTGGGCGGCATCTTCTTCGACAGCATCGTCCGATCATGCTGCTCCAGCACCTGCGCCAGGCTTCGGCTGAGCTCACGGTTCGTCTTCAGCCAATCTTCGCTGCCATGGATCAGGCCACGGCCGGAGGTCGCATACTCGGCTTCGAGGTCGACGAGATTGTTGAATTGAGCAACGCTGTCGAAGAGTTAGTGAAGGGTAAGGCAAGCTGTGATCAGAATCACCTCTCCGCCCGTATGGCCACTAGGTCGGCTACGGCGTCGCGCACAAGTTCATTGCGACCAAGGCGCGCGTGGTGGCGGACACCTTCGAATTTGTTCTCGATGCTGTACACGACGGCCTGGGACAGGTGGGGTCAGCAGGCGACACTTAGCAAAAGAACAGAACATACGTCATGCAGCTGTCCCAATACGTCGATGAGACGATGCGGGTCATCGGAACTGAGGCTGTCCTTGCGAACACCCATATCTGCGTGGCCAAAGACGGCGCGGCGCTCGCGAGAGGGCTTTGTCGGAGACACTGCGCCCAACCGTTAGAACCATACGGTATTCATAACGTTCGGACAGGTAACTAACTCTGGTACGCCTGGTCCAAGCGTCGTTGAGCTACACCTCCACCTCCACGACGGTCGAGGATCGGCAAGAGCGGAACCTCGTGTTCGGGAGTGAGGACCCTGGCGCGCAGAGGAGTGATATTAGTCTTGTGCAGGGGGACTTTGTGATGCTTCATGAATGCGAGGATATCGGCATCATCATTCTCTGTGATAGTGATCTTGGCCATTGGTTCGTCGGAGATCGCTGTCACTGGCGATTTGGGCGACGCAGATGTGGGTGGCTGCATACGTCCGCGTACGGAAGATGGAGCGAGCTTCGTAGGTTTGGGAGGAGAGTCGAGAGTCAGATCAATGGTTTCCGCCTTGACAGCGGCGGGCGATAGGGCAGAGACCTAGAACGAACCCATCGTGAGCAGATCGAATCCACTCAATGAAAGAAACATATTTACAGATTTCGACGCAGAGTCGGGGAGACGATGGGTGATCGGTGCAACATCAAGTTTCTTCGAGATGGTCGACGGCGTCTTCTGGCGTGGTACTGCAGATGCCACTCCTTCAGTGCGAACAGGGAGGCTGCGGGGTGCCTTAAAAGCGGGTTCTGAAACCACAAGCACAGGCTCCGCCATGGGGTGCTGGGGTTCGGAAAAGCCACATTCATCGATTTCCATGCGCTCTTCTTCACCGCCGATTGCCAGCAGAGGACCTGCACCGCCAAGCGCATCCAGGCCAGATACGACCTCAGAAACGGGTTCGAAAGCCGCATCCCACGGGGTCGCGCTTATTTTCTTAGAGGCAGAGATTGGCGTAGGATCGACGGCATCCTCTATCATAACCTGCAGAAGCGCGTGAGTGTGGAATTTCCATATACAATGCCTACACCTACTTCACCGCCTCGGCGTTGCTTAGACACGGAGAGGGTCGATAGTTCCGGAACATCACAATCGACCTGTGGTGCCGTGTAGTCCGAGAAGTCGAACGGCTGCGGCCCATGTCAAGATGCTGAGAACTAGATAGAACAACGAACTTACAGGGACTACGGCGTCATCCATGTATTCGTCGGTAGGTGAGAGATCCTCAACATCTGCGTTGCGATCAATGGTATTCACCGGCACCGCTACGGGAGCCTTCTTGCGTTGCGCCCGCTGTGGGCGGCGGGGTTCTGGCACTTTACGAGCGACGGAAGGGCGATCATCCGCTGGAGCCGTCGCCTCCGCGTCGCGCGTCTCGCCCATCTCCTGTTCCGCATTCTTCGGTGCGCGGATAGCAGTCTTTCGAGCAGGTACAGCGCCGGCAGGCTTCTTAGTCGTGGTGGCGGGGCCGTCGGCCTTGCGTGCCTTCACCTCTTTCTTGGGGTTTGCGTCAACCTTCGGCTTCACTGCAGCCTTGGGTTTTGGCTTGGCAGTGGGCTTTTCTTCAGGGATCGGGATGGGTGACGAGGGTTTTACGACGGCAGCGTGCGGGCGAGGAGGACTAGGCAAAGCATCGTAATCGACAGAGGGCACTCTCTTCTTGCGCGTAGCATTGGAGGCCGCAGCAGGAGAGGAAGTTCTTCCCCCCTTTGCGTGATACCTCTTGGTGGCGCGAGTGGCGGCGGTGGCGCGAGGACGAAGGAGAATCGACTCGGATCGTTCGTCCAGGATGCCCTTCTGAGGTTTAGGATCCTTGCTGACCAGGGGCGGTATCTGGGCTACGGTGCGCGGACGCTTAGTGGGACGCGAAGTGTCGTTATCGAGTGTAGGAGGTTCCGGATCCTCCTTATCGGCAGGCGCGGTAGACTTTCTCTTCGTGGATGTGACGTTGTGCGGCTTGCGAGTTGTATGAACATTTTCTTCCTTCTTACGAAGCCTCGATCTCACAGACTTCTTGGCACTTGGTGTTGGCGAACTCGATGGCGGAGCTAGCAAACCCATGAGATAATGACTACATCCCTTCAAATAGAACCGCTCACCAAGATCGTCCAAAATGTCGCTCGCCTTGATAGCGGAAGCCTTGAGGTCCTTGATAGAGGCGGATGCAGGCGGAGCAGACTCGGCAGCAGTAGCAGAGGGAGCAGGTTCGAGGAACGCAGCATTCGCGAGTCGAGATGGAGCAAGCTTCTTCACAAGAGCACTCTTGAGGGCAGACTTCGGAGCGACCACAGGAGAGGACAAGGGAGCGTTGAAATTGGGAGCAGGGATGTCAGAGAAGCGCAAGACTTTGCCAGGACCGCTGGAAGACATAGGTACGTCACCCCTCGGTAGCAGAGACGGAGTGACGGGTGCGTCGGCCATGGCAGTAGGAACACGGGAAGGCACGGGGGCGACATGCTCAGGCATAGCAGCAGACACAATAGGAGTAGGCAATGCAGGAACAAGTTTGGCAGGAGCGGGTAGTGAGTCTTCGAGAGTGGGGTCGCGAATCAGGACAGCTTTCCTTTTGGCGCGCCGGGAGGCAGGCGAAGTAGGCGCCGCCGGAGGAGAGTCGTCGTCAGAGTCTAGCACAACTTTTCCTACACCACCACGAGCAACACGAGTCGCGGAGCTGCTCGTACCAGTGCTTGTGGAAAGAAGGGGTTGGAACGAGATCCGTCCGCGGACAAGGCTGGTGCTTGTGCTAGAGCGCCGAAGAACCTTGGACCGAGGTACAGGGCTGTCGTAGTCAGAGATCTCGGAGAGCTCCTCGTCGCTGAGCCCAAACGCTGCTGCACGCATCAGATGACTTTCAGCACGAGCGAGATTAGCACCACCGCCAGCCGCCTGGTTTCGCCCAGATGCATTGTGAGCAGCGCTTGCGAGCCTTGTGTGAGGGAGTCCAGCTAGCACAGGAGATAGGCTCGTTGCGGATACCAGTGGAGGACTGTCAGGAAAGAGACCTGTCGCTGGCTGGTGTGATGAAGGAGACGCAGGGACGATATCTCGAAATTCAGCTGCATCACCAGGTGACATGATGGGGTCGCTTGGTTCGTTGGTTCGATATACTGCAACGTGATAGGCGTTAGGTCTACAGTGAAGAGGTACATCTGTGGTTGCTCACTTTGCGATACGGTCTCGATACGCTGGTACCATGCGATAGTCAGCCAGAGCGGTAGTCAGCCAGAGCGATCGTGAGGAATACAATAGTTATGTTTACCTCGGTTTGACTGGGTTCTTTTACAAACCTGCCAGCGCTGTCAAGCTCGAGATTGGCGGGCTCTGCTGCAAGGGACAATTTAGGTACATGTGCTAATCGAGACGCTTCCGGGATACTGCGGATAGCGTGATTCTATACCTCCCGTTCATTCAGTAAGTCACCTGGGAGTGAGTGGGACTGTCTCTCACCAGACCTCTCGACAGAAATACGTCGACCAATCGAGGAATGTCCTTGGCTATGAAGGCGAATACGACGTCGAGATTGATAACCGTATCTGGATTTTGCTCTGCGGTGATAGGATCCTTCCCGAGCCGCGGGGGCTCTCGCACAGAGACAGTAACCCGCGCGGCACCTTGCGCAGATTGGCTAACGTCTATGTCCTGGATGGACGAGTATGCGATCGCAAGCGACTCGCATTGGTCCTCCTGCAATCAACAACCGCAATGAGCGATGAGGTAGTGCGCCGAAGCCAAGGTACTTACGCCGAGCAGGATGTTGACCAAGAGGCCTTTATCATCCGCATATAGCCGGTCGGATTGATATACATGGCTACATGCGATCACTTCCGCAACAGCAAACGGTTGCGGGCTATCATCACGGTCAGCGAATGGTTCGGAGAGCTTGATAGCATCACTCACCAAGAGATGCTTCCCCTCGACAGCACGTCGACAATCTTCATAGCAGTATCGTCCCAATTACTAGTAGGCACATTCTCCAGCAGTTCAACGATCTCGTCACCCGTAGCAGTGGCTTCTTGGGGTGCACAAGATTTGAAGACGGAGTGGATATATGCGGTCCGTCTGGACCTGCCGGTGGGGCTATTGTGTGTGGAAGGTATAGCGCGGGCGAAGAGGTTGAGCAGGCCTTCGATGGCGAGATAGTCTGCCCGGGACGTAGGTCAAACGTCTTCCTCTGCTAACAATCCACAAATGGCCGCACCTTTCGTCCGCCATATGCATGAACCAAGACGCTCTCCCCCGAGGACGTCCTTATCCCGCAATTTCTCTTGATTTGGTTGATGCGAAGCAGCTGAATCTGACAGAATATTGTATGCCTGCGTGCGTGGTTATTGGTCAGGTTGTCTCTGGGACGAGCTAATAGTAGCATGTTACGTACAGTACACCGCAGATCCACGCTTGTCTTCGGGGCGGAAAGAGAGAAGCAGACTTCGCACAAATAGGGATATAGCGCAGCTCCGATCATGTCCTTCACGTCTTTGGTGTCATGGTTATCGAGATAGTCCTGCATGATGTGAGTTTCATCTTCTACACCGTGCAACGGAGGGACTGACCAACACGCCGGCAAGCAAGGCATGTAAAACAGACTCCCACAAGTCTTGTTGATCTCGTTGCATATTGCCAATTGTAGGAAGAAGTCTTTCATGGTACACGGACTGAAGGATAGCTGAGGCTAGATGCAGCCCGGGAAGTTCGATACCGGCATAGAGAGCGGCCAAGGACGCTCGAAAAAAGCTCGATAATTTACGGCTGATTTGTGGGGAGATGTATTGCAATTTCTTCATAAAGGTTTAGTCGTTATCTACCACTCGAATAGGACATTTTCATACCAGTAACACGAGATGCGAAGAAGCATGCCCCGCTATTTCCGCAAGACGTTTTCTCTCCTTTGGTTTCTTCTTTGCAACAGCGACGTCTACCGCCTTCAAGGCAGCTGTGACTGAGTCCATGGTTGGCGCGGCAGAGCCTGCCAGTGCGGAGGATGTTCAAACCGAGAGTGAAACGATGATGGCCAGAAAGACGGAGTGCGGGGTAAGGAGAGACTTGAGAGAGACGCGACTTGGGGGAACGCGTCGCGACGCGTGCGTGAGACGCATTACGTAACTACGGCCAAACAGCACCAAGCATTGTGCATAACTTCTCAGACGCCTGCGTCGTTGTGGACGACGTGCCCACCTCTTTCTACAACCATCTCGATATGTCGGAACCTCCACCCTCTGAATCCAGCCTTCAGGATAGCTCGATGGTGGTGGACGCAGGGGAAAAGGCTGAGCTGTCTCAGGACATCATGAATGCCCTGCGTCAGCTACAAACCGCGCCACAATTCTCGCCCACACCGACACCTACCCAACCCAACAGTCAAGACTCTGTAGTCGTCAAGCAGGAACCCACTCCACCACCCCAGTCTGAGTGGGATCGACTGCGTGCTCAGCTGCGGGACAAGCCTATCGACGCAGATGCATGGTTGAAACTGGTCGACCTCGCCGAAGACTCGGGTGATATCGAGAAGATCAAGAACACATACGAAGGCATGCTCGAGACCTACCCGAATACTGTCAGAATCACCGTGTGCACGTTCGTCTGCGACATACCCCGTCTGACCGTCAGGATATCTAGCCCTCGGTTCAAATTGCCTACCTGAAGCACTTTTTGGACGACCCTTCTCAATTTGGCCAGGCTGAGGCACTCTTCAGACGTTTCCTACTGAGAACCACACCCTCTGTAGAGTTGCTCAAGTTCTATTTGACGTATATCAGGTACGATGACTTGCAACATTGAACCTCATTGCATGTGCTTAGACTGCAAGCAGGAGGGTGACGACCGGTCCGAATGCGCGTGAGGTAATCCGGAAATGCTACGACTTTGCGCTCGGCCATATTGGCCAGGACAAGGACAGTTATGAAATCTGGCAGGAATACATCAATTTCTTGAAGGCCGGAGAGGTACGTGTTCATTCTAGGTCTGCACTTTACCCCATCTCGCCGCTCCATGGCTCTTCAAGACATTTCCCTTCACACACTTTCTTGTGCATCTCATTTCCAGCTGCTGTTTTGGCGTGATCAAATTGTCCTGAGTTGCGTGTAGTCGGTGGCGTCGAGCCGCTCGACTCGAGCGAGGAGCGTTCACCTCTCACCGGTAGGCAAGCTGGATGGTAAATGCAGTGAGTGCACAATACTGCACGCGAGCTGCCACTCCTGGATGAACAAACGAGACACTGTTCGTCCGTGTAGCGATCTGTGTGTACGGACCACACACACCCGCATCACGACCTGCCATCCTTGGGTTATCAGTCGATCCGACAGGGTAGATGAAGTCCATTTTGACATTGCTTTGATCGTGCAACACTTCGTGGGTGTATGGACTGGATCATCTCCAGTTCATGCACCCACCCTGAGGTTCTCGACTGCGCTGTGAGATTCGACAGCCCCGGCTTATGCTGCCATGTGCCGAAGTGCATATTGCACTAATCCTCAGCTCGTTTCTCGGGACCCTTTGCTTTTGCTTGTGAACTTTGTTACTGTCGTTAGAACCGCTGTACGATCTTGTAGTCTTCTCAATCGTCACCTTGTTGCCTTCCCACAACCCTGCGTGCAGTGTGAGGTTGAACCTTGTGCGAGAAGCACATTCACTTTGATCCTTTCTGTTCTATCGCTATAGTTATTGAGCCCTTGCTGACTGCTAACTCCAGACCAACACGACATGGGAAGAACAGCAGAAAATGGACGCGGTTCGGAAGGCGTATCAGCACGCCGTGCAGATCCCCATGGAAAACGTGAAGAAGCTCTGGGAGGAGTACCAGGAATTCGAGAACGGTCTCAACAGGATCACGGTGAGCTCCTCCTTGCAGAATTTTGACGACCGCTTGCTAACAGCGAGCATCTTATAGGCCAAGAAGTTCATCTCCGATCTGCAAGAAGCGCACATGCAAGCGCGTACCGTCCTGAACCAGCTGCAAGAGCACCTCCATACCCTCTTCGCGAATACACAGACTACACGCGGCAGCCGCTCATCGATATGGCTACCTCGCCCCCCAACGTTTAGCCAAAGCGACAAAGCGTATGTGCAGCGTTGGCGCTTGTACCTCAAATGGGAGGAGGGCAACCCGCTCGAGATCGAAGAGAAGGATCGCGCCACGCTTCTCCAGCGTATCCAGAGTGTGTATCGGAAGGCGGTCGTACGCATGCGGTATTACTCCGAGATCTGGTGCGTCATGGCGGCGCTTGAGCGATCATATGCGCCAACATTAACGCATATATCTGCAGGTACATGGCCTACGCGTGGACGAACGGCATCGGTAAGACAGAGGAAGCGAACACGCTCTTGAAGTCCGGCATCGAAGCGAATCCTGCAAGGTAAGCCTGGCATACTGCTGTCTCGAAGATCGATCGGTACTCACCGCATTGCGCAGCTTCGTATTGAACTTTGCCTATGCTGAAGCCCTCGAACTGCAGAGCAACTTTGCGGAAGTGCATGTTGGCTACGAGAAGTTCATCGAGGTCCTCCGGAAGGACCTTGAGGCGACTGAAGAGAGGATCAACGCGAACACCTCTTCTAACGGCTCGCTCGGTTCCCAGGTCCCGGCGAAACCCGACCCGAACGCAATGGACACCTCAAATGGGCAGTCGCAATCGCAGCCTTCATCTCAAAACTCCTCGTTCGCCACGCAAGCGTCCGACGATAAGCCACCCAAGTCCAAGGAGCTTGTGGACAAACGCACTGACTATGGGATCGTGTACATCATGTATATGCGCTTCGGCCGCCGGGCTGAGGGCCTCAAGTCGGCGAGGAACATCTTCGGTAAGGCTCGCAGAGACCGCTGGACGCCTTGGGAGGTCTACGAAGCCGCCGGTGAGTACACACATGGTCTTCGTGCGTGTTGAGGCTCATGCTTCGCAGCGTTGATGGAGTACCACTGCGGTAACAAGGACGTGCAGGTTGCAAGCCGGATCTTTGAAAAGGGCATGGAGACCTTCGGTGAAGAAGTTGATTTCGTCTTGCGCTACTTGGGTTTCCTCATCTCCATCAACGACGAGAACAGTGAGTATCTCGCGACTGATCTAGTTACTCCGCTGACCAAGTTGCGTAACGCAGATGGGAGGGCCTTGTTTGAGCGTGTGATAGGCAGCTTCACTGCTGAGAAAGCCCGCCCCTTGTGGGACCGCTGGGCACGTTATGAGTATCAGTATGGCGACCTTGCTGCAGCTCATAAGCTGGAGAAGCGCATGGCGGAGGTCTACCCGAGCGGTATGTTGCCGCTGTACCTCCTCCCAGCCAACTCACTGACGCCATCAGTAGACCCGCCGATCAAGAGGTTTGCAGAGCGCCACAAGTACCTGAACATCGACGCCATTGCAGTGCGTGACTTGGGCTTCGTGCTCGGACGGCAAAACTCGCGTGCCAATGGCAGCGGAAACCTTGGACGCTCTGAAACGCTGCAGTCTCTGGGGACGCCCCAGTCTAAGGAGACGCAGCCGATTGCCCCCAGCAGCTCGAAGAGAGCGGTGTCGCCTGATCACAGAAGGCGCGACGAAAGCCGTTCTGAGTACCCGTCCAAGCGACTGCGTCCCACGAGTCCGGTTAGAGAGCGTGACCGCGACTGGAGAGAGGGACGAGAAGGACCGCGTGGCCGGCGCCATAACTCTCCAGGGTGGGAGAGGGACCGCGAGCGTGATGCGCCACCCCGGAGATCGTTCATCAAGGAAGAGAAAGAGGAGGACAAGGGTGTCGTCATTCCTAATGTGCTCTCATGGTTCATCGGTACCCTGCCGACGGCGAACTCGTTCGATGGTGAGCACCCAACGACCTGTTTCAATGTATGATGCTGACGCACCTTACTACCAGGACCTGTTTTCCGGACCGATGATCTCATGCAAGTATTCCGCAACGCTGTTATCCCGGCAACGTCGACAGCCAGAGCGCGAACGCCTCCCTCCGCCTCACGTCCAGGTAAGCTCTAGCCCTCGTCCGATGCCTTGCACTGACCTCACTATCTTTCACTCAGGAGGAGGCCGACCCCCACCAGACTACGGGCCATACCAAGGCCCTGGGAGTGGGCGTCGAGGACGCTGGTAGCTACTAGTTATGTCTCCGTAGTTTAGCTATTTCCGCCGTCTATGTCGTTCAGACTCCGTACGTACCTTGTCTCTCCGTCGTAGCGCACGGCCACGCCGGGCCGGACTCTCGTTCGCAGTACTGTATCGCTTTGCCGCTTTGAGTTCGCATCCATGTTCTCTACCACCACCCAGTAGGACCTACACGTTGGAAGCAGAATGCCTATCCGAGGAGTCAATCACTCATCATTGGTATCGGAGGATGCACCGTACTTCAAATCGCTCGCAGATCTCGATCAGTGGGCGGGAAAGTCACCTCAGAGTGCGAGGAAGCTTTACGGTGTACTCCCTTTCACCCCACGCAACATCACTGAAGGTGTTAGCGACTCTGGGGTTGGCGGGAAACTCCTTGTAAGTACTCACCTTGTCATCCGTCTCACTCCTCGGGAACTCAACCGCATGCGGCTAGGTTTGCCATGACTACAAGGTAGCCGCCAACCCATCCTGGTTTCTTAGATCCTGCTCAGACAGACTTATCTGGTCTAGGGAGGTTATACCGAATCACCCACTAGTCCAGCGTACACTTTCAATTTCTGGAGCCATTGCGATACGTTCATCTAGTGAGCTTCAAACGATATCATACATATGTCGGCATTGAAATTTCTCTCCGCCTAGCTTTGCACATCATAGAGTGACTATTCCTCCGTCAGGATGGTCAACGGCTGCTCATCGTCATGGTGTAAAGATGCTTGGGACCATGTGAGTCCCTCCGTATGCAAGCTACTTGAAAGTCCGGTTCCCTGCGTGGTCCATATCGAACATAACCTTCAGATGTGCAATTTCTGACCAGCCTCGTATTGCAGAATATTCGAGCATGCAGAGTCTGAAGCAGACTGCTTGCGCCTCCTCGTGGGTCCCTTGCCAACATCACTCACCGGTCCCGCAAAATCCAACCCGAATATGACGCTCCCGGTCTCCCCGCACTATGCGCGGCTGCTGGCGGAACTCGCCCACCAGCGAGGATTCGATGGGTACCTGCTCAACATCGAGACCGCGCTTGGCGGAGGTGTGGAACAAACACGCGCGCTCACCTTATGGATTGCCCTTCTTGAGCGGGAACTGAAGCGTGCTGTGGGGCAACATGCACATGTTATCTGGTCAGTTCCATCGATGTCAAAGAGAGCTGTGCCATTGCTGATAGAAGCTCCCATAGGTACGACAGCGTGATTGTAGATGGCAGGCTCGCCTGGCAGGATAGGCTGAATAGCGTAAACCTCCCGTTCTTCTTACCGTCTACGGGGTTCTTCTCGAACTACACGGTACGATCGCGTTCGTGTATATAGAGAGTATATTCCTGACGTCTTCTTGCAGTGGCGCTCGCATTACCCCAATGCCACGGCGCAGTACCTCCTCAGCCTCGATCAATCTTCTTCTTCTCGCCCCAAGGAGCTCCAAGACCTCTTCATCGGGATCGACGTGTGGGGCCGCGGCTCGCACGGCGGCGGAGGATTCGGCCTGTACAAAGCCCTCTCCCACATCGACCCCAAGTCCCTCGGCCTCAGCGTCGCCCTCTTCGGCCACGCGTGGACCTGGGAGAGCGAACAAGATAAACCTGGCTGGTCGTGGAAGTCGTGGTGGGAATACGAGCGCAAACTATGGCTCGGTCCCACGAAGAAGGGCGAGGTCGTGCCGGTGCCGGACTGGAGGCCGCGCGATGGCGAAACATGCGAACACGGGGCTTTTGTGCCCATCGCTGAGCACTTTCCGCGTCACCCGCCGCCAAACCCTGCTGATATGCCGTTCTTTACCTCGTTTTCGCCTGGGGTGGGATGGTCTTGGTTCGTACGTGGAATCAGGATGTTGCGCACCGATCACGGATGGACAGACCTCGACAAGACTACCTCGATCGGCGACTTGGTCTTCCCAAGACCTACAATTGCTTGGGAAAATGGGGAGCGCGAGGAAGCGCTCCCAGAGACGACTTCCGAGCTGTCTATGGATGACGCATGGCTGGGAGGCAGCTCGCTCGCCGTATCCTTCTTGGTCCCCGGCTCCGATGCTGAAGACGCGTACTTCCGCTGCGTATGGTTGCCAATCCAGTCTCTTTCCATCACGCCCGGGAAGTCATACCGAATGTCCGCCACGCTCAAAACTACAGGCTCGGTCGACATCGACATCGGTGCTTCCGTAAAGGCTCTTATCCCAGGCCTCGATACGGAGTTCGAAATCACTCACGTCGCCGCCCCCCCTGGACAAGTACCGCTCCCGGAAGGGTGGTTCGAGGTGGTGGTGGACTTCAAGCTCCCCGTCAAGCGTGAACTTGACGTTCTCAGCGCCGCCGGGCTCGTCATCGGCTTCGCGTGCGAAGACCCCTCCGAGGCTGTCGAGTTCTCAATCCACGTCGGTGCGCTCAGCGTCCACGCCAATCCCCTTTCCCCCGAACACATCGTCGTTGAGCCTAAGGTCATCTGGGCGGATCTCGTCTCGGACACGCCTGCTAATTCGTTCTCCGGCGTCCTCACATGGGGGACGGGCATGTCGCTGGGCCCAGTGCGTACCGTCGCGTTGACTTCACCAGAAGACCCCAGACCGTGCTGGATCATCGATAACGCCGTATCGGGGTTCCTCTACTTCAACGTTTACGTGCAGGCCCACGCGCCCGAAGGAGTGAGTCTACTTCCGGAGCAAGCGACGTTCGTTGGAACCACAGGGCTGGATGGACGAGCGAACAGATTCTATGTAGACCCGGCATGCCTTCCGTCGGAGGTTTCAGAGGCGAAGGCAGTGAGGTTCTACGTGCAGGGCGTCACGGATAGGGGTCGGGTTCTGGGATGGGAGGACTGTGCTTTCGTAGATGTGCGCAAGACGTGAACTTGTGTTTTTGACCTCATATTCGACAGCTCGGACTGTGAATGATGTATGATACTGCTAGCGGCCACAGAGTATTCATGAAGGGGTGAGCAGTACAAGTAGACCGGAAAATGGAGATCTCTTCTTGCCCATCACCGCTATTCTGAACTAAAGCTCCCCGGATATCGTATCCTGGAGCAGCCGCAGAGCCGACAGACAGTCCTCCATGACGTCGGTGCCCCGCCGCCACTCCTTGAGCCGCTCTATGTTCTCCGCGATCCTCGCGAGATACTCCGACTCTGTGACACTTGTACGGCCAGCGGTGATCGCTTCGTCGAGTTCGGGGTATATGAGGGATTGCATGAGCCCGCTCTGCACCGAAAGCGCCGCGACCTTCTGGGCGACGGGGCGTCGGAATTGGTCGTAGATCTTCAAAGCGGCGGGGATGCTGGCTTTGGTGACTACCGACTGGCCGAACAGCATGCCGAGCATCAGAGTATCCTGTGCGATGGTAAGTTTGTCAGATTACATTCAAAGACCTGCCCAATTGCGATATTACCTCGAACCCTTGCCCTGCGCCTGCACCTTGGAAAGGAGTCATGCTATGAGCCTGTTGCGTCCTGTCAGCATCGTAGAACGCGCGTATAACTATAGATAGATAGATACCGCATCACCGAGCAAGGCGACCCGTCCGTCGACAAATGTGGGCAGGTCCTTGACCACGTTGATGGCCCACTTGTTCCAGCTGCCGATTTGCTACATAGATATCTGAAGTTAGCGATGCCAGACAGAAAGGGGACATCAAGCATACCTGCATGATTTCTTCTACTTCAGGCTCCCACCCAACGTACTCCTTGCGGACCTCCTCTTGAGACACCTCTGTCGTCCACGGACCCTCATATATGGTGCCCTCCTGCTCGCGGTTTGTGATGCTGGCGGCGACATTGAGTATGCGACCTTGCGAAATCGGGTACGCGGCAATATTCTGCACGCATAAAATGGCATCAGCATTCGGCAGTACTTCAGGCGCACGTAGTCGTGGCACGGGCCTTGTTCTGGCCGCAGTACTACAAAGGGCTCAGCACTCAGTAATGTCGCACAGTATCAAGTGATGTAGTGCAACTCACAATTGTCATGTAAGAGGACTGTTTCGCGTTCCCATCGATGACTGACTCGCGTTCGAGGAGGCCGCGGTACACAGAAGAGCCGGAGAAGACGGCATTGGTGTGCGACCTCAGGGAAGTGGCCTCTTCTGCCCGCCCAGCGTTCTGCGCAGTATCCGCAAGCTGCGTGTACATTGCTGCGCGCACCTGAGATTTGATGCCGTCCGCGCCGACCATGACATCGCACAGGGCCGTGCTCCCGTCATGAAAGCGGAGCTCCACGCGACCATCCGGGCCTTTGGTCTGGGCGTAGGACGCAAGACGCTTGCTCATATGGATGCGCTCTGGGTGGCGAATATGGTCGAGGAAGAGCTTTTGGAGCTCGCCGCGGTGGAACGTCCACTGCGCCTCTATATAAAGAAGGGCATCGTTTAGCACCCGTTTTTAGGTCCTATCCGGAAGTCTCACCCGTAGCATTGGGCTTCGTGTCATTGAAGGCATACCCCTCCTTCTGGTCCGACTTCCGATAAAGGATGGTCAAACCTAGAGGTAAGGTCGTCGTGTTAGAGATACTGAGAGGCCGGTATTGGTAAGTTCAGCCACGTACGATCCTTCTCGCCGTTTCCCGCGATCTTCAGCAGCGCCGGCTCGAGTCCGAGTTCCCGCAAAACGAACAACGTGCGAGGCGGCACTCCGATCCCAGCCCCAGCCGTTGTCAGTTCGGCGACAGCCTCGTAGATCTGGTAGTCAACGTCCGGGGCGTACTTCTCTAACGCGAGGGCGAGCACCAATCCACATAAGCCCCCACCTCTACAGGACAGTCGGAGAATCAGTTACTTGGGTGGACAAAGACGTAGCCGGACGTACACAATTGCCACAGTAAATCTTGACATGGTCGCCTGCTATGATCCGCAAGCTTATTGCTAGTGGAAGGAATGCGGGGGCGATGTTGACACTACTTAGACGTCAGTGGTACTTATAGCATGGCGAACACAGCCCAGATGTGCTGCGTACACGAACAAGAGAGTCTCACAACACCCTTCATAGAACGTCGATAATTTCTGGTACCGAAAAGCGGTGCAGGAAGAACGACTGCGAGATCAATTAAGGTCGGCGGTTGACTTTCCCAGATGAACAACGCATGGTACGGATGCGCATGACTGCTGCTGCTCCCACGCGGACGATGCGGACGGGTGAAGGCATGAGGAATCCGTCATCACGATGACTGAAAGGGTGGTGCTATGGGACATATCACTATCGTAGCGCACCTAGACACCCAGAATCAGATTAATGAGATTTTGTCAGGTCCAACTAACACAACTACTCACCGATAACTAACCGGCGCCGCTCTACCCAGGCTTGAGAGGTCCGTGTCAGTACTAGTGGCGATAGTCCTCGACGCACTGAGAGCGTCTATCAGAGAAATATGAACTGCGCACAAAGTCGGTCATCTTAGCAGCGCGTATGGGAAGACTAGTAGTATCCTGGTGGGTCCTGGCACGTCGGCATGTTGATGTGGAGAAGTCGGCTGCCGTATACGCAGCTGGCGCAACGCGAACCGCGTCGGGTTTTGTGACCTCCGAGCACGACAACTCACCCGCTGCAGACTTTGCGAACTAGGCGGTAAGCGAGCGTGTCCTTCTCGTCAATGTTTGACAGCCAACGGCGCCCAAGCCGTGAGCTTCGCACGAAGGTTGGAAATTTGTTGGAAACAAAGCCGCGTCTTTCGGATGGTAGTCAGTGCTTGAGGTTCGCCTGGCAGAGATGTGATGACTTGTCTGTTTACATGTGGTACAGCGACCGTTATATGTTTAGTCTGCCGACTCTAGTACGAACGTTGAAGACGTGGTCAACTTCAAAGGGCAGCCCCAGCCGAGAGCGAAAGCGCTAGTATGGGGCCCAGCCCTAGCACAGCCCCGCACTCAGCGCTCATTCTAGACGCCTGAGCCTGTTGCACACTGGTGTCCATGTTGTTTCAGTATTCCTCACACACTCACGCATTTCGACAGAGACGTGTGTGAAATGAACAGAGTAGGGCCCGGGATGTTCTGGTGAGAAAATTTGATGCGTAATACGGCGCTACACTACAAACTGAGCGGATACAACGATACCGGCCAGTGCCGATGACCACCATGGCAAACACTGCGACAAAAAGCCACCTAGAGTTTAGCCTCTGTCGTGGCTTCGCCTGGGATCGTGTGCTGGAGCAGCCGCAGAGCCGACAGACAGTCCTCCATGACGTCGGTGCCCTGTCGCCACTGCTTGAGCCGCTCTATATTCTCCACGATCCTCGCCAAATACTCCGACTCTGTTAGGCTTGCACGACCCGCAGAGATTTCTGCATCGAGTTCGGGATACGTGAGCGTGTGCATGTGTCCGCTTTCCAACGAGACCGCCGCGACTTTCTGCGCCACGGGTCGCCTAAACTGGTCGTAGATCTTCAGAGTGGCAGGGATGCTGGCTTTGGTGACGGTTGCCTGGCCGAGAAGCATGCCGAGCATCAGGGTATCCTATGCAGTAATTCTGTCAGACATCGTTCCAAGACTTGCCAAATCACGACCTTACCTCGAACCCTTGTCCTGCACCTGCACCTTGGAAAGGAGTCATGCTATGGGCCTGCCGCGTCGCATCAGCAGCCGCACATAGAAGCGCAACTATAGATAGTTACCGCATCACCCAGCAAGGCAACCCGCCCGTCGACGAATGTGGGCAGGTCCTTGACCACGTTGATAGCCCATTTGTTCCATCTGCCCATTTTCTATACACATCTCTACGTCAGCGATACCAGGGGAGAAGGTGACACTGCACAGCGGCATACCTGCACGAAATCGTCCACTTCAGGTTCCCATCCAACATACTCCCTGCGGACCTCCTCTTGTGACACATCAGTGGTCCACGGACCCTCATGGAGGGTGCCCTCCAGCTCGCGATCCATAACGAGTGCAGCGACATTGAGTATGCGGCCTTGGGAGATCGGATACGCGACAATGTTCTGCACGTATGAAGATGGTATCAACACCAGGCCCCATATCAGTCCAAGAAATAGGTGCGACGAGCCTTGTTCTTGCCGCAATACTACACATACTCCAATGCTCAGTAACGTCGCATGGCGTCAAGTGTTACAGTCCAACTCACGATCATTATCGCCGACATGTTAAGAGGTTTCGCCTCCCCATCGGCAATCGGCTCGCGTTCGAGGAGGCCGCGGTACGCTGAGAAGCCGGAGAAGACGGCGTTTATGTGCAACCTCAGGGAAGTGGCCTCTTCAGCCCGTCCAGCTTTCTTCGCAGCGTCCGCAAGCTGCGTATACATCGCTGCGCGCGCTTGGGACTTGACACCGTCTGCACCCAGCATGACATCACACACTGCCGTGCTCCCGTCCTGGAAGTGCAGCGTCACCCGGCCATTGGGACCTTTGGATTGAGTGTAGGACACGAGACGCTTGCCCAGGTGGATGCGCTCTGGGTGGCGGATGTGGTCGAGGAAGAGCTTTTGAAGCTCTCCGCGATGGACCGTCCACTGTATCTCTGCGGAGGCAAGAGCATCATTTAGCAACCGTCTCTCGGTCCAAGCCCAAATGTCATCCGTACCGTCAGTCTCCGAGTCGTTGAAGGTAAATCCCTCCTTCTGGTCCGACTTCCGATAAAGGATGTTCAAACCTAGAGTAATGCATGAATGAGACCGAGAAGGTGGGCATAGCAGATCTGATTACGTACGGTCCTTCTCGCCGTTCCCAGAGATCTTCAGCAACGCCGGCTCAAGCCCGAGTTCTCGAAGGACGAACAGCGTCCGTGGCTGGAATCCGATCCCGGCTCCAGCCGTCGTCAGCTCAGCGGCAGCCTCATAGATCTGGTAGTCGACGTCCGGCGCGTATTTCTCCAGTGCGAGGGCGAGCAGTAGGCCGCATAGTCCTCCACCACTACAAGAGAGTCTGCGCATCAGTTCCCCGGACACAAAAGAGACGTAGCAGGACGTACGCGATAGCTACAGTGAATCTCAGCATGCCGTCTGGTGTGGTTCGCAAGAGTATTGCCAGTGGAAGAAGGGCGGGTGATGCCAATACTACCGACGCGTCGGTGGTATATATAGCAGGAGAAACGCAGCCCGTGGCTGCGAACATAGAGAGGAGAGACTGCCGATAATCTGGGACACAGAGCACTTCCGAAGTCCCCCGGCGGAGATAGCAACGACTGCGACGGCCGTTGTTGGAAGGATTTCCAAGCAGTGAGTTGACCGAAGCATGGCACCGATGCGCATGACTGCTGCAGCTCCCACGCGGACGACGCAGTCGGGCGAAGAAGCTTGATTTTGGTCAGCAATAACTAAAGAGGGCATCTGGATGCTATAGAATACCTAGACGGCCAGGTCCAGAATGAGGTTTGCGAGTGCAGTCTGTTTAGCACAACTACTCACCGATGAGTTGTTGACATCGCCCTACCACCAATGCTACTAGTAGGGCTCCGCCAATCCTACTCGCAGTCCGAAACGCAACGAAGGTACAGAAACAGAGCTGGCACCTGCAGTATACAAACTCGGAAGCTTTAGCGGTGCTTGTGGTGAGTCGGCCCGTCCGTGGACGTCGGCTTGTACGACTGATGGGGGTGAGCCGATGCAGTCGCATGCGCAGTTTGCGATCCGCGTCAGGATTTTCGGAGCTCAGCGTGAGATCAGCACAGCAGGTTGTCCGCTGCATACTTCTGTACACAAGCGAACGATCCGTCGGAGCCGTGTGCGTAATTTTTGAAGCCTAGTGCCGCTTTTTTCGGATGGTCGCGGTTGTCAGTCCAAGCTCTCCTCCTAGAGACGTAACAGCGTACCTATTACGTGCCCAGCGGCGGCCCTACGCCTCTGGCTCTGCGAACGTTGAAGACATGGCGAACTTCAAAGGAAGCCCAAGCCGAAAGCGTTGAATGCCCGGGCCCCGCGATTCCTAGTCCACAGCCACGCACGCGCTAATATTTGTTAGATACCTGCACTACTGTACTATGTAGCATTTCCGCACACGGCCGTTCGCTAACACAATCAAATACTCGGAGTATTGCTACCGCTGGGACGTCCCGGAGATCTTCTCCAGGAACAGCCGCAGAGCCGACTGGCAATCCTCCTGCGTGGACCTGGGGCGGAGATAGCACCAACTGCAACAGCCAAAGTCGATGGAATTTCGAAGCAATGGCAGGAAGAAGAACGGCGCAAACGCGCATGACCGCTGCGACTCTCACGCGGACGACGTAGTTCGGTAAAATTTTTGATTTTGGTCATCACGATAGACGGAGGGGTCGCTACGGGGGCATCCCAACACTACACCGAGCCTGTAAATTGACATAAGTCGGTATAGTATTTGCCAAGGTCTATTAGCACATTGCTCACTGAAATATTCGCTGCGGAGTGGTCTACGCAAGCTTGTCCATGTCAGAGAGCAAACATGCACGCTTGTACTGCAGACAGATGGGTTGATAGCGTAGACATTGAGACTGCTCCGATATACGATACGGCTATACAGGCTTGGGATCCGAAGTGCTTACGGCTGGTCTGGATTCTGTGATCCTAGAAGTACACGCCTCTCTTGGATGCGTCGAGTTTCGCAGCTTGCAGTGGAGGTTCTAATGCTGTCCGTCCGCGTAAGTATCCACCGTACTAGCTCAGCACGACGACCGCTTACTTACTGCCGACTGCACGGACAATGTGGGGGAAGAAGGACTTCGCCTTAGCCTTCGTATATGACCAATGAAACTATGGCACGTGAGCTCCTTCATAGTATTGGCTGGTACGAGAACACAAAGATGCATGGTGATCTTCAGCTTCAGCCCTCTGCCTCCTGGCGAACTCGACCATCCACTTTAAGGTCGAGTGCAAGTATCGCGCTTTGCATGTCGCCGTACGCCAAAAACACCTAGAAGAGTCGACAAGGATTTGGCCCACTTATACGCAGTACCTAGAGACCAGCTCAAGCACAGGTAGGAAGAACAGCCGCTATGTGAGCAAGGGCAAGGCAAGAGAGAGGACAAGCTGAGGCTCGGCTCAATTGATCCACGCGCCACGCGTAGACGCTTGATGGGCGCTCATTTTCAGAGACCGCTCGGCATTGGCCGCACGCCCTAGCATTGAGAGATTGCAGAGACCGACGCTCCCAGCACTCAACGTACGGCCGTCAAGACCATGGTGAGTACCGCTGCCAGTCCACAGAGTCGATAGACCGCCCTGCTAGCATGCTATCGAGCCCTGGCAGCCGTTTCTAGCGGCGCCGAGGCGTTCGTTATGCATGGATGGCTCGCGGGTGCTCCGGATGACGCTGGACGTGCATTGACCATACCCCTCTCCTCCTAGGCCAAGGCTAAGGCAGCAGCACCCACGTCGTCAAGCGGCGGCAAGGCCGCAAAGAAGAAGAAGTGGTCCAAGGGCAAGGTTAAGGACAAGGCACAGCACGCCGTCGTCCTCGACAAGCCTACCTTCGACCGCATCATCAAGGAGGTCCCGACCTTCCGCTTCATCAGCCAGTCCATCCTCATCGAGCGTCTGAAAATCAACGGCTCCCTGGCACGCGTGGCCATCCGGCACTTGGAGAAGGAGGGGACGATCAAGCGCATTGTGCACCACAGCGGCCAGCTGATCTACAGTGCGTATCTCTGTCTTTGTGGATGTAGAGGCGTGAGGCTGATGCTTTTGTCGTCTCGCAGCGCGGGCAACGGGTGGTTCTGATTAAACCTCACGCATCTTCCTTGATATCTGCTCTCTATCGCATGCACGCATATGTATCCACTACCACAAAACATGCCTTGACATGCCCAAGCTATCACCCGTGTGCTTAATGGACAAGGTCCATTTGTACGATCGAACTCTCATCCCGTCCGAACTCGCAAAACCGCGTTATCCTACATCAGCTGGCTGATAAGTGATACGCCGGTATTCGATTCCTGCCCTTCTTGTTGAGATGCTGCGCTGACTTGTTGGTCCGCGGGAGCTCAGGAAGGGTCCTTTTGTGCGCGTGGTCGACAGAGAATAATACGGGCACAGCATCTGCGGGCGCTCCCGGGAGGCGCGCAGATATGGGCCCGATGGCGCTTGGTCCGGCCTGCTGCTGGACAAAGGCCATGCTGTTCGACCCCTGGAACGCGACGTCCTTCATGTCCTGCCAACAGAACCCCGTCGCAAGGCTGGCGCTAGCTTTGTCCTGCCACGCCACTCCGTGCGCCGCCCTACACGCGGACGAGAACAATCCGCACATCAACGGCCGCTTGGACTGGGACCACGCACGCGCCCGGACCTGTGTGCCTTCGCGACCGCTATGGAAGGAGGTCGTGCTTGTGCCCGGCAAAGCGCTGCAAGCTCGCTTTGACCACCCCTGCCCCCGGCCACATATAAGCCTAGCCACCCTCGCAGCATGCCATTACCGCCACAGCACACCCACGTTATCCTCCACGGCGTCCGCAGTCTGCAGCTACCGCACTTTGGCTTCTGGATAACCGGCTATCCACCTACTTAACCTCCAGACCTGCATGCATCCTTACACAATGGTCTTCTCGACCTCCACCTCCACCATCACCACCCGCGCCTCTGCCTCTACCTCCATGTATCCCGCTGCGACCACTGCCCCCGCCCCCGGCCCCCCTCGCAGCATCGACCTAGCTAGCCAGGTCGATCCCGCCACACACGACAGGCGCATCGTCGAGATGATCCACATGAAGATCGAGTATGGCGTCTTTGGTATGTCCGCTCCCCACCTTGCGTGTGGCGCAGTCGAGTCTTACCTCCCGTGGTGCGCAGACTACCTCCTCGACACCATCGTCCTCACGGTCGCGAGCGCCATGATCGGGCCCACCGCCAGGGTGGCGCTTCAGCTCAAGGGTCTGCGACTCACCACCGCCGTCCGCGCCTTGATCGAGTTCGGCGGCATCACCATGCCCGCGATCCTCGCCACCCTCGTCTACCTCGAGCGTGTCCGGCCACACCTGCAGATCGACGTCGAGGACTGGGTTTGCGAACGCATCGCGATCGGCGCGCTGGTCACCGCGCAAAAGGTACGCCACATCCACCTTTCGCCTCGTGCGCCACCTGCTAACTCTTTGTGCAGTACATTGTCGACCACCACATCGGCGCGTCGCGCTGGGCGAGCGCATCGGCCATGTTCACCAAGGCGGACATCAACCGCATGGAGCGCGAGTTCCTCGCGCTGCTCAACTTCGAGATGCGCATCAACGAAGAGGACCTGCTCGCGCACTACGACGGCCTCCGGCGCGCGGTGCGCCGCTGCGCGGACTCGACCCCGCCCAACGGCACCGTCTTCACCCGGCGCGAAATCAAGGAGCACCACTACACGATGCACTCGCACATCCACACGCCCGTCGCGGAGCCGCCGTTCGACCCCACCGCGCCGTGCTACCTCCCGGACCTGCAGTACCCCGACTCCCCGAGCTCGAACGACTCCTCACCCCCGGTCATCACGCCCCCAGACGCGCACCCGTACCGCGGCGCGAAGCGCTACTCCCACTCCCACTCGCGCGAGCACTCGTACACCTCGAACCCGTACGTGGCGGCGCAGCCGTACCCCACGCCGCGCGAGCGCGGGCTGCTGCAGCACGACCGTCAGATGGAAGCGCGCGCGCGGTGGTATGCTGCGGCGCCGACACCTCGGAGCACGCGGCCGAGTCCGTATGGCCCGCGCACCTCCTCGCCGCGGTTCGAGCCGTTCTCGCCACCGACCGCACGGTACGAGCGGCCGCAGCACGAGCACACGGTGGGCTCGCGCGAGTCGCGCTCGCCGTGGCGCCGCCACAAGCTTGCAGACCACGATCCCCTCGGTTTCTACAAGCAACGCTGAGTCGTTGCGGATTGCTATTTTTCAATTATCTGGGACTTTTGTTGTTATAGTAGTGTACTTCCCTCTTCCGTTAACCGCCTCTCTCGGATGTATGTAATGTTGTAACAGTAGTGTACCATCGCCATCGGGCAGCCGTCTGATACGGCGCCCACAGTCTCCTCGCATTTTCTCAATGTAACTGCAGCCTCTGCGAGAGGCTTCTCAACTGTCATATCCTGCGTGGTACTGCGACACCTTCATGTTCCAACGAGCACCCTAAACGCTGCGAGCTAAAAAGAAACACGAGAAGTTTGTGCACACGATACTGAGAGATGCACACAGACAGGACTCCTACACGGCAGACAAAGACCAAAACCTCGGACATGCCACTACAGCCATGCGATAGCCACAACCGGCGTTAAGCTATCGCATCCTTGCTGGCCTTTTTTCAGGCTATCGCATCCTTTTCAGCCTTTTGGTCAGACTATACCCTGACTATAGCACTTGGGGGCTTCCGCACCTTGCCTGAAACTCCCGGCATCTGGGGTAGGGAAAGGGAAGTTCCGGGAAGCGTGACGTGGGGGAGGAGCGGGGCCCCGGAGTCGGCCCGGATAAGTGCTCTTAAACTCTCCAGAGCAGTCTCGAGGTCAGTCCGTTCGACCCCAGCCCCCTCTTCCCGCGCACTCCTAACAACTATCATGTCTGCATACTACATCGGCGTCGACGTCGGAACAGGCTCTGTTCGCGCAGGTCTTGTCAAGCACGATGGCACCCTCGTCGCGACTCATACAGAGGAGACCATTACTTGGCGCGATCCCGAGGATCACCGCATCTTCGAGCAGTCGACGAACAACATATGGGCGGGCATGTGCAAGTCCATCAAGACATGCCTTCAGGAGGCCAAGGTCTCCCCATCTGAAGTGAAGGGCATCGGCTTTGACGCGACGTGCTCGCTCGCCGTCTCCGACACGAACGGCGAGCCTGTGGTCGTGACCAAGGGTGATCAGCTCGGCCAGAATGGCGATCGCAACATCATCCTGTGGGCGGACCACCGCGCAGAAAAGGAGGCCGAGCTGATCAACAGCACCGGCTCCGTCGTGCTCGACTATGTCGGCGGTACCATGAGTGTATGTCCTCCGCACGCGTCTAGATTTCTCTGCTATTGCTAACTGCTATGTTATCTAGCTCGAGATGGAGATCCCCAAGACGCTTTGGCTGAAGCGGAACATGAAGCCCGAGTTCTTCAAGCGCTGCCAGTTCTTCGACCTCCCCGACTTCCTCACGTACCGCGCCACGGGGTTCAACCGCCGCTCCTGCTGCTCCGTCGCGTGCAAGTGCTCTTACGTCCCAACGAAGAACGGCTGGCAGCCCGAGTTCTTCCAGAAGATCGGGCTGGGAGAGTTCGTTGAGAACAACTTCGAGCAGCTGGGCCGCGAGGAGGTCCTCACCGCCGGAATGCCCATCGGGAACGGGCTCTCGAAGAAGGCGGCAGAAGAGACGGGCTTGCTGGAGGGCACGCCCATTGGCAGCGGTGTTATCGATGCGTAAGTCTTACGCGCGTTCCCCTAGAAGCCCGCTGCTCACGTCGTTTTAGCTACGCAGGGTGGCTTGGCACGGTTGCCGCACGGTACAAGGTCAAGGGCAAGCTGTCGGATGTGATTCCTTCGCTTGACGAATCGAGGCATCGATTGGCCGCCGTTGCCGGCACGAGCACATGCCATATTGTGCAGGTATGCTTCATAGACGTATTGACGGATAGCTTCTCAGCTCATGTTCTTTCCAGAGCCCCGAGGGTGTCTTCGTGAATGGCGTGTGGGGACCGTACAAGGACGTTGTCTTCCCAGGGTGGTGGATGAACGAGGGCGGGCAGTCATCGACCGGTCAGGTAGGTTTATTACTATTGACGTCGAGATCTGACGGCTGACCGTTTCCCTCAGCTTATTGACTTCATGATCACGACGCATCCAGCATACCCTAGATTGAAGGAACTGGCGGAACAACAGAAGACGAATATCCACGAAGGTTTGTCAAGTCATCGCGCCAATTGCCCTTTCCACTAAACTGTTCTCGCAGTCCTGCATAACGAACTCGAGAAGCTGCAAAAAGAAGAAGGCGCAGAGAACTTGACGGAGCTCACGAAGGATGTCCACTTCTACCCCGACCTGCACGGTAAGATACGTGCAACGGCGCCCTCTGCGACGTGCTAAGTCTATCATCACAGGAAACCGTTCCCCACTAGCGGATCCTCGTATGCGCGGCTCTATCGTCGGTCTCACGCTCGTAAGCCTCGGACCATAATTTCTGTCTGGCAAACGCAGTCGCTCACCGCCGCATGTCAGGACTCCAACCTCGGCGACCTCGCGCGCAAGTTCAACGTGACGCTTGAGGCGATCGCGCTCCAGACGCGGCACATCGTCGACCAGATGAACGACAAGGGCCACGCTATCCGCTCGATCTACATGTCCGGCGGGCAGGCGAAGAACACGATGCTCATGCAGCTCTTCGCCAACACCTGCAGCATGCCCGTCGTGCTCCCGCAGAGCAGCGGCGCAGCGGTCGTGCTGGGCGCAGCGATGCTCGGCAGGTTCGCCGCAGAGGCGCAGGGGAAGGCCCTCGGCAAGGATCAGCGCGGCCAGGCGCTGTGGGAGATCATGGTGCGTCATTTCTGGACTGCGTCAAGGGGCTGCAGAGGAGGGTGCTGACGGCTGCGGCTGCGACAGGTCGAGATGACGCCGCCGGGTGATATGGTTGAGCCGGCTGCGAGCCCGAAGGAGCACAAGCTGCTTGAGGCGAAGTACAAGATCTTCCGCGAGGCGATCGACATTCAGCGGCGCTGGCGCAAGGATATGGAGGAGGCTGCCCGATGAAGGGGTGCGTGATGTACAAAAGCTAATCACAAAGGACGCTTGTATAGAGCAAGACATAGAAGCAGCATGTAACAACAATCTAGCGCTTTGGAAATCCACGCGGCGCGTCCACATCGAAGGTGTAGCTCGGGACGAGGTCGCGCTGTCCGATGCGTCCCCATTTCACGTTCGCTCGTAGCCCCCGAACGACAACGGGAGCTGACTGCTGATGACCTCTGCAGTCTACCTACTCCAAGACTTTTCGCGTTGTGTTGGTTGACACTTCTCGAGCGGAAACAAGGAACCAGCGATTTCTGACCTTTGAACGATCTCGCGGACCTCGGCTCTAGAGGAATAGAGGACGCAGCAAGCTTCTCGAGTGTGTGTACAAGGTCATGGTCATGGTGCATATGCAATGGACTGCATACAGAGCTTTTGTAACATCGTGCAAGTGGGTAGAGCATAAAAACAACATCGCGGAAGTCTCCAACGTCAAGCCCCCTAGACGTCCTTGACCTTGACCGTACCGCGCAGAAGACCAGTCTAATCGACGCCGATATATCAGGGCAAATATCGTTACGAAGGCAACAAGAAGACGTACCCGACGCGCAGCGATGAGACCGACTTTCTGACCGGGGACGGCAGAGCGAGCGATCGTCGACGCCTTACCGATATGTTGGTGGTTACCACCACCGTGAGGATGGTCGACGGGGTTCATAGCCACACCACGAGTACGGGGCCAGCTACAATGAAGGTCAGTGGATGGTAGGATGACATAACAGCGCGAATAACGTACTTGTAACGCTTGGCCTTGTACTTATGGAACGCACGACCAGCCTTGAGCAGGGGTTTGTCGATACGTCCACCACCCGCAACAATGCCGACGGTAGCACGGCAGCTGCCGGAGACGGTCTTCTTCGAGCCAGAGGGAAGACGGATACGGGTCTTGTTCTCCTCGGGGGAGTGACCAATGACGGTGGCGTAGTTGCCGGAGGTACGGGCGAGCGCACCGCGGTCACCAGCCTTCTCCTCGACGTTGCAGACAATCGTACCCTCGGGGAGCTGGGCCACGGGGATGACGTTGCCAACCGCGAGCTGGGCCTTCTTTCCACAGTAGACGAAGGCGCCAGTGTGGAGGCCCTCAGTCGCAATGAAGGTCTCCTTGCGGAGCTTGTAGCGGTAGGGGTCCCGGAAGACGACACGGGCAAGGGGAGCACCACTGCATGCCGTTTAGCACGCGTTCAACGTTATTTCGCAGCAAGTCCTACGCACCGACCAGCGTCGTGAATGATCTCCTTTACGATGCCCTTGACGTAGCCATTGCGCTCCGCGAAGTCGAGGGGGCGGAACTGGGCGGGGGACTTGTTGTGGTGGGTGTGCGATTTGAACTATTCGAACGCAGGGCCAAGCTTCAATATAATGTCCACCATGCTGAGAGAAGGGAACGTACGATAGCGTGCGACCGCCTTTGTGCCCGAATGACCCTACCCATGGTTGATTCTGTAGAAGGACGGGCGTAAGCGGGCTATTCCAGAGCAGACGAAGGTAGCGCGAAGAATCGAGGAGGGGTGCATCCAGATGTCGCCGAGTGCATCCAACCAAAAGTGCACCGTTTCCGACCGCAATTTCGCGCTGAATCCGTCCAGCAACATGCAGAGGGCCGTCCGAGAGCCTTGACGAGAACACAGAGGGGCATACTCACAGTCTTGTTGGTCAACGGTGTTGTCGAGGGCGTTGGCGGGCAGTCGATGAAATCCCAGTCTGGCAGCCGCGAATTGCCGAGCGGTGACTGAAAGGATGAGCGCTTACGGCTTCGAACTGGCGCTTCTTCACCTTCTTGGCGCTCCGTCCTGCGTCCTTCCTCATGAAATCTCTATGCAGACCCAGCTCTGACAATTAGTAGGATCCTCATAGAATTGATAACAACGCCGCAAATGCAAGCCGACTATAGCGCTATGCCTGGGTGGCCTGCATGTCGCCGAGTTACGCGGTTGGCTGGGAATTCCATGTCTTCCCATCACGTGACAATGATGTAGCTTCAAGTGAACGCGCTTCCACGTAGCAGCACTTCACAACTGGCCCTCATGCTCCCCTGGCTGCTCTTGCTGCTCCCTCTCCATGCTCTCGCTGGCAGTGAGCCGCTGCGTGGGGTCTCTCCGGACTTGATTGCTCGCTATGACCCCGCCCAGGCCTCAAGTGATGTCTGGGAATGTTTGGATGGTTCAAAGACAATCGACTGGTCCGCGGTGAACGACGACTTCTGCGACTGCGCGGATGGTAGCGACGAACCTGGTTAGTTGAAGAGTATAGTATGTGAATGGTGTGTCCTAAGCAATATCATGCAGGCACTAGCGCATGTCCAAACTCGCGCTTCTACTGTGTGAACGAAGGGCACATAGGCTCATATATATCCAGTACACGAGTGGGCGATGGTCTCTGTGGTACGTATACGTTCTCTACTTGTAGAGTGAGATGTTGACTTCCATTTCAGAACCTGAGTGCTGTGATGGCTCGGACGAGGCTCCTGGGGTCTGCAAGAACGCGTGTAAAGAGATCGGGCAGGCGTACCGGGAACGCGTCAGGGCAGAGCAGAAGCTTCGCAAGACTGTGAGTGTTGCTAGCCCTGTCTCCCCCATGGAGTCTGACGCTTGTTACAGGGCTCCAAGATCCGCTCGACATACGTTGCGTTTGCCCAGAAGGAGAAGAAGCGCCTCGAACAGGAACTTGAACAGACCGAGCAGGAGATCGCTGTCCGTGAGAAAGAGGTTGCGCGTCTCAAGGGTAATGCATACGGTGAACTCGCCCAGCATTGTCGACTTACAATAATGTTTTCCAGACCTTGTAGAGAGGACTGAGTCCCTTTCCGCCGCGGCGCTTGAGGAGAGGAAACAGTCGCGTGAGTTACGACGTTTAAAACTTCCGTCAGTCATGCTAAACTATATACCAGCACTATACCAGTCCCTCATGACGCACGTCACTGCCCTGAAGTCTCTCCAACGCCAATATCAGAAACACCTTGAGCGGGAGCAGTCCCTCGGCGACATTCTCGACAGCCTCCGTACCGGCTACAACCCCAACTACCAGGACATGGCCGTTCTCGAAGCCGTTCGCGGCTGGGAACACCTCGCCGGTCTGCCGCACATCAACGACGTCGGGAAGGACGACGAGAATGCCGAGGAGGAGGGCTCCGACGAGGAAGCCAGCCAGGACGAGGAGGAAGAGAACGACGACGGCTTGTGGAGTGAGCTCCAGGTTGAGCACCAGGTCGACGAGCTCCTCAGGACGGACTACGACGCGCTGCTCATCGAACACGACAAGCATATCGGCGCGCCCGCTTCCCCGACATCCATCCGTAAGTGTTGTGCTCTGAAGTCTTTGAACAGTCTTGCTTACTCGCCGGCTAGTCTACAACCTCTCTGCGTATCTTCCGGATGCGCTTGTCCCGCAGTACGAGGCTCTTCGCGACCAGTTCGTGTCTTGGCTGGAGTCTGTCGGACTTGTCAAGGCCACCCCCGACACTTCCGCTGGTCAGTTTGCCGGCTGACTTCTTACCTTCTCGTCGATCGACTGATCCGAATTTTGTAGATGCGTCGCGTTTGCAGAAAGCTCTGAGCGACGCCGAGCACAGCCTGGGCCTGACCCGCAAGGAGAAGGATGAGAAGGAGCGCGATATCAACCGTCTCTTCGACCCCTCGTGGTACGGCGCGGAAGGCGAATGGAAGAAGCTGGACCGCACTTGCATTAGCAAGGAAGTCGGCGAGTACGTGCTGCCTCTGTCCTCAGACGCGCGCAAGGTCGCTGATATTCTCGTCCGACCACAGCTACATCTACGAAGTGTGTCTGTTTGACGAGGCCCGTCAAAAGCCGATCAAGGGTGGATCTACGTTCAGTCTCGGGTACGTCATGCCCGCTCGACGCCATCATAGCTCTCCCACTCATGGCTCGATATAGACACTTCGAGTCCTGGAACAACGCCGACGTCGAGAAGGGCTCGCCGGAATACTACAGCAGGCAACGCTACACGAAGGGCGCCAAGTGCTGGAACGGCCCTCAGCGCAGCGTCACGGTGCGTCGCCAATCTATTGCAACGGTGTTTGCGACCCATGCTTATATGATGACCTTTAGCTCCTCATGTCTTGCGGCACGGAGAACGCCGTCCTGTCCGTTGCCGAGGCCGAGAAGTGCGAGTATGAGTTCAAGGTCACGTCACCGGCTTTGTGCTTGCCGCTCTCCTCTACCGAAGAGAATAGCTATGCTGCTGGGAGGGAGGAGCTCTAGCCTGTGATACAGGGTTTGCATTTACATTGGATTGTCTACATATTATTATTGCAGATGCACTGAGCGGCGGGGAGGTACGACCTGTGTGATAGGCGCCGAGGTGGCGGTCAGGCTCGAACCAATGGCTTCAATTGCGCAAAGCCAGTTGGCTAGATTATGATTGATCTGTTTGCACCCATCCCTTCCGATTTTGGAACCCATCCAACCTAGGTATCATAGATGTTATATCGGGGGAAAGAAGGGATGGTCTTGACTCATTGGTAAGCCAGGCAAGGTCAAACATGCCCCCGATGTTTACAAGCTGCTCCATATCTGCCTTACAAGCCTTGGAGTTTGGCTAGTTCTCCAATATGGGCGGTTGTGGAGTTTTGTGTTTATGGTGTTTGGTAGCAAGTGAGATGGTGATGCACTCAAGGCTTCTATAATGGCCACTAAGATATCTGGGTTGCAGGGCCGAGAGGACAAGACCCGAGAAGTGACTTGTATAAGCGGGGGTTCTGAGTACAATCCTGAGTTCCCTACAGGCTACAAACACTGACACACCTGTTATTGTGCCACTGCTGGCCGCCCTCTCTTTTTGCATCTCCGTGTTTTTGCAGTTCCACCATTCCATGATGCTGACACAGAAGCCTCGTGGTGTGTGCAAGGCCTATTGCGGTTGTGGCAGAGGAGCCTGGATGGGCACATGCAGACCATTCCATGTTGGTGGTCCGCTAAGCCACTTGGCAGTGTTCCACACAAATGCAGGCCAGCCTTTTGCAGGCACCAGTCCCCTTTGTGACAGGTGTTCCACAAAGACTTTTTGATGTTTTTCTGGGTTTTCCGCCCCTCCTGTAAATACCTACGCCCACGGGCTTTGTCAATTCAGATTCCCCTTGGCTCAGACTTCTTTTCCCTCAAAGAACCTGCAATGAACCTGACAAGACCTGCAAACCTGCAAAACCCTGCAAACTGTTGATTTTGCGAGAGTGTGCGCCTAATCGAGCACGGGAGCATCGGGACAAACAAGTAGGGTGCACGAGAGTGAGTAGGAACGGAGGATGGATTGGAGGGTAAGCGAGCGAGAATAGAACAGTTTGACCTCGTGTGGCTAAAGAATGCGAAGGGGGGGGGACGGTTGGTGACCAGAGGCAACACGCAAGGTAAGAAAAAAACTCCAGTGTTGTGTACACAGAGCATACGGCAAAAGCCGCGGTGCTACTTGTAAACTGTAATTACGTAATATACTCAACACAAACTCTGCAAAGACCCACTGTGAGTAGTGTTTAGTGTTGCAATTGCATTGCGGACAGTCCATTAATACGCCCGGTACTGAGCCACTACCCGCCAGCCCTTCTTTTTGCGGTTTCCACGGGTTTGCGAGGCCTCAACAGTGTGGAGGTCTCATCATTGCATGGGTGCAGAAGCCTCACATTTGCGCAAAACAGCTTATTGTGCGATATCACAACTGCATGGGCAGACACACTGTACACATGGGGGGGGGGTGCGTTCCACATCGCCGGCCCATCTGGGCACGCAGGCATGTTTTGTGTTTACACAGCAGGCGGCTGGATCATTGCAGACACCGGTCCCCTTTGCGATAGACATTCTGTAGGGACTCTCTGATCATCATTGGACTGTTTGGCTTGTCCTGTAAATACCTACGCCATTGGGCTGGGAGAATTCAGATCCCCCTTTGGCTCAGATTTCCTTTTCCCTCGAAGAATGCTCGACGACCCTGCGAACTGCGAACTGCGAACTGCAAACTGCGAACTGCGAACTGCGAACTGCGAACCAGCGAAACCTGCAAACACCTGCGAATAGTGTTTAGCGTTGCAATTTGTGTTGGGAACTCCCTGCAAAGCTTAACGCAGGCTGCGGAGAGACCCCTTTTGCGTACAGTGGAGCACCAGCACAGCTGAGTCGCCTCTCTCTCCTCCCCTCTTCCCCTCCCTCTTTCGCGTCCCACTGCATACTGCACCGCCCGAAGGGCACCCGACACGAACCTCGCTTCTCCTTGCACTTTGCAAGACATTCTGCAGCCTGGTCTCGACTCCCTAGGGCTCTCGACTGTCTCCGTCTTCTGTCCTTACCGGTTAGTTGAGTGCATCACCGTGAAAACTTAGTGTGGAACATAAAGGCCTTCTGCAGCTTGCAGAACACCAGCACAGCTGAGTCTCTGCCTCCCCCCCTCTGATTCCTCATCTCTGCACGTTGTACTATGTGTACTGGGGCTTCCCCTCTGGTTTACCCATTGTGTTGCACCATCCAAAGGGCACCCAACACAAATCTTGCTTCTTCTCACGCTCTGCAGACATTCTGCAGCCCAGTCTTAACCGCTAAGGCTCTTGATGTGGAATTCGGAGCTCGAGGAGGGTGTACACAGCGGGCGGTTTGCCTGGAGACGGGGTGAATGGGGGAGTCTCGTTGCAACCACATGAGGTACAAGCTGTATCTACGCGGTATATATACGAGTGGGCAGCCGGGACGAAAACGGAAAACACCGGGCCGGGTGGAGCCGCTCACCATTAATGGGAAAACACAACACTTGACCGTCTCTTTCTTCTGTCCTCACTGATCAGTTGAGTGCATCAGTGGGCGGCAGGTGCTGTGAGTGTGCACCAAGTTGTACCCAATAGGCCTCCTGCATCTCCTTTCATCTGTCCTATTTGGTCAGTTGAGTGCATCAGTGGCTGACATAATCCCCAGTCAGCACCTATCCCACCAATCAGCATTCAGCAATTATAAATCACAATCATGTGAACAAGTGATGACATCAATAATGACATCATATATAAATATATGTAAACAGTACCAAACAACATTTATAATCATCCCTCCAAGTCAGGACCATGAGACCTACTCCTCCCCACTTCCACCATCACCTCCCTTCACTCTTACAGCTGTTTCAAGGCTGCCTGACCTTTTGGCCCATAAGTGCTTCCTACGTAAGTTGCACATGGTGATGTTGTTGCATATAATGAGTCTTTATAAACAATGCATCAGTCACGTTGCTGGCAGTGCACAATTTTGACACATGTCATCTTCATGCACTGCTAGCAATGTATTGTTTGTAATGCATTAATGTTTTGTTTTGCCATTAAACTGATGCTAATGATTTTTGATTGTTTGCAGATTCAATATGAGCTCAGCCCACACCCAAGCCTTCACACCAGTGCCTTTTCTGCACCCATACGGTACTGCTCCAGGTGGGCCTGCAAGGTGACAGCACTCATCCAACAAGCTCATTAGTGATCAAATTTCAGGTCACTACAACCCACAGTACTCTGAACACTTTGGGTCACCATCTGCTCTCTTACCTGCAGCTACCACTACTACACCACAACAAAGCCCCACAACACCCCAGTCCAACCATGCAAAGCAGACCACACACAGAACCTCACCTTCAGATGTTGACATCAACCTCCCTTCATGGACTGCACTTTCAGTTGAAGGCACATCTGATGATGAAAATCTCGGCCTCCGGGATTCACATACAACCATACCCAAGCCAGCAAAGAAAGACTCCACTCAGCGAGGTGCACAAGGTGAGTCCCATCCCACAAGGTCATCAAGGCTTGCAACTGAAGCCCAAGCAACCATAGGTGGTGTACTGCCGGCAAGCGGTTCCAACGGGTCCCGTAGCTCGGTGAAGAGACGTCCATCATCCTTGTTCAAGGATGTGGTCATCCCCACCCTACTCCAGAGCAAGAAACCAAGACGAGAACACCCCACCCCACCGCAAGACATGCAACAAATGGCTCTTGATATATCAACCACTCCTGCGAAGGACGTACCTAACCCCAACCTGCCGACAAGCCTACATCGGCTTTCGGTCCCTGATGTCCATTTCCTGGCCGGACCACACCCAAGCGCGCGGCACCATGCAAATTCGGATGCTCGAACTCTGAACGCGCCATCTTCCGGCGGATCGGGGACAGCCAGCGCGAGCGTTTCGGAGCGTCCACATCGTAAGGCGAAGCTCCTGCCACCGATCACGGAGGACTCGGACATGACGGAATGGAAGCGCGTTGACGACCAGCTCGAGACGCACGTTGCTCCGTCGTTGGTCCTTCCGAGATACGCCCAGGCGCGGGCGCTACAACAGCAGGAGGGCGGGGCTCAGCGTCCGGTGCACGTTCCGCTGCAGCGCGACCATTTCCAGCGGAGAAGCAAGGGGAAGCAGCGGGCGCAACCAGTGTGGACAGAGACGCGCTGGTCAAACGTGGGCGAGTTCAAGGCGCGGCTGGACACGATGTTTGGGCCGGGGGAGATCACCAGGGGGATGGGCAGAGCTCCCAAGAACGTGAGTTGCGTTGCTTCCACGACGAGCGGTCGATCGCCGCGGGCAGGTTATAAGAGAGAAACTGACATTATCCCGTGCTTGGCTAGGGCAACAAGCGTGCTGCGGTCGGTCCAGACGCCACGGCTTCGGAGGCTCAACGATCGGACGCGGAGGATGCAGCGACAGGGGACGATGGAGGAGATGTGATTGGCTTCGCGCAAGTATCGCGCAGAGGCAGACTCGAGAAGCTGGGTTCTTGAAAGGCGGATCTGCACTCCTGGATGTCATTACGCACCAAAGTAGCTACCGGAGATCGTATGAACTGCATCCCTCTGACGCTTGCGAGTGCCTCCGGTTGATAGTGCGTTACGCCCACGGGCGTCGGTATTCGGCTGTATCGTGCATCGTGCTGTCTTCGCCGCGATACCCAGGGAACAGGGATCCGCAGTTGCCATTAACAGCCATTTTCGATCCCACACAAGTTGTACGTGCAGATAGCAGCGCTCAGGTCGAGAACGGTGAAACACGAGGAAGTGATATAGCGACTAGCAGGCCATACGCGTCGAGAGATGCCGGTGGAGTGGAGAGTCGAGAGCGACGCGGGGCGACTGATCTGGAGCGGAGGAAACGTGCGAGGACAGGCGATGGAGTGTGACCGAGGGCTATGTCATGCGTGATCGTTGGTCACGCCTGGTCACACCGACGCCCGTATGGCTTGTGTCGTCTTGTTTTTTCCTGTCATCACCACGAACATCGAGCTCGCGCTTTCCATCATCGTTGCAGGCGACGCTCTCGATACCATCACCCCGTTCTCCAGACATGCTCGCCCTGGCGCCGCATCCAATGCACACACCCGTAGACATCCCGCATAGAACCCAACCGTCCACGCCGAGCTCGTCGACCCGGCCTCCCTACCGCAAAGTCACGCCAACATACTCAGCGTCGTCCTCATCGAGCCACGGAGCTCATTCTGCGCATCAGCCATCGCGCTCGACACCCTTGGAGGCCTCCTCCTCGCCTCGACGTGCTGCGCCACAGCGCACACCATCGTTCGTCTCCGCTCAAGCGCCTGTCTACGACGGACATGAAGACGATCCGTCGACACCACCTGGCTCCGAGTCCGAGGACAACGAGCCCGAGCCTGCTGTGAGATCGTCCCCCGCCCCTGTAGACATCCACGCGTACGACTCCAGCACCCTCCTCCACCTCCTCGCTGCTGCGCTGTCGGAGATCGCTTCCATGAACACTGACCGCGACCATTCCGAACCTTACATGACGTCCTCCGTGCATCCACATTCAACAGTTTCCGAGCCACACCCTCCTATATGGCGGACACTAACCTCCGCCTCACGCCACGCCCTTTCCACAACATCCTCCCTCGCATTTCATGCGCGTAATGTGCCCACGATCGCGCTCGAGGCGTACCTCACACGCATCCAGAAGTACTGTCCAGCGAGCAACGAGGTCTTCCTCTCCCTCCTCGTGTACTTCGACCGGATGATGAAGCTGGCGAAGGAGACGTGTGGGAAGGTCTTTGCTATCGACATGTACAATGTACATCGCCTTGTCATTGCGGGCGTGACTGTTGCGAGCAAATTCTTCAGCGACGTCTTTTACACAAATTCTCGTTATGCGAAGGTTCGTATGACTATGTATAGTTTGTTGTTTCCACGACGCTAATGACCATTATCGTAGGTTGGTGGGCTTCCGCTTACAGAACTCAACCAACTGGAGCTCCAGTTCCTGCTCTTGAACGACTTCCACCTCATGATTTCTCAAGAAGAGATGCAATTCTATGCAAGCAAATTGGCGCAACAGTCGCAGATACCCGCAGGCGTTTCCCTCACCCCCTTCCTCGCCGATTCTCCTCCTTCCACAACCCATGACGCCCACCGATCACCCGTCGGACCATTGAAGTATTTCACAGCCGTAGACGGATACATTTCCCATCTGCTAGCCCGCACACGACCATCACACCACGACCCCAGCCATCCCCATCCACATTCCTTCGCCCCATCACACTCTCGTCCCAACTCAGATTACCGTCGATCCACCAGCGCGAATTCGATAACAACATCAGAGTCCGCCACCGACACGGAGACGGACGTCGACGGCGAGACCGACGACGAGCCGACGATCCGGGCGCCTCACTCCACCGCCTCCTCGGAGACAATGAGTCTCCATTCCAACGGAGACGCTGACTCGATATACACGGACGACAGTCGGAGCGAGATGGGCGACGAGGGATACGGGCACCCGCACGCGAACGGGTACCGGTGAGGAGCGCGTCCCCTCCGCGCGGCATGACCGGCCCCTCGCGGGGACGCGTCCTAGACGGCCGCGCACGCGCCAGACGTTGGTTATGCGCTCTCATAGATGCGCTCGGGGTTGCTCGTGGGCGTTCCTGGGTTCCGATGGTGTGTTTCGCGTTTACTCGTCGCCCGCCCGTCAATGTTACTGTAGTACGTGTACTGGACTTCACTGCTTCTTCCGTCAGCGTCACACATCCACCCTGTATATACACACAGCGTAATCGTGCCTCCCGTCTGTCTACTTCCGTTTGCTACATTGTACAGCTGTCTTCAATTCTCGCCCGTGTCCATGCAATAGTATCATTGAACCGCATATAGCGTGGGCTAGTCCGTTCCTTCTGTGAGCATTACGCTCGGCGCGTGGTGAATGTGGGCGCGGACGAGCTAGGACAGGCCTGCCGCAGCAGTTGTATGCCCGCGTTGGCTCAAGCATATCGCGAAAACTGGACAGGTAGTTTGATGGGCAATATGAGGAACAGGTACAAAGTGATGATACATATTAGACGGTAAATACATGTCAGAACTGTCGCGCACGCCAGGAATATTCTCAATCCTGTTCGTCCTCCACCAGCACCTTCATCTTCCACCCCTTCATATCGTCATCAGGCTCGTCCGTCGCCCACAAGTAGTCATCATCATTCTCGGTGGGTTGGCGCAAATGGTCCGCGGTGTTCTCAGTCGGGTCCACTATGCCGCCATCGATGTCGACATCCTCTTCCTCCTCCAGCATCTTCCGACGAGCAATATCCGCCTCATCCTCCTGTGATTCGAGGTGATCAGTACTACGATAACGGAAGAGAGAGCGGGGTGGACGCACGATGTCAAACTCGTCCTCGCGCTCCTCGTACTCGACGTTCTCGTCCACCTCCTCGAACCCGCCCGCGAAAGCGCCCCAGCGCTCCTCAGTCGGACAGTGCCAAATGAGAATGTTGCCCATGTTAGTCACCGACGCTATCAACGGTTTTCGGGGATGCCACTAGCCCGTAGATGTGTTGTGAGCGCAATGTCGCGGACAAAAAATGGTCGTACTCACGTGGACGTAGGTCAACAATTCACGCCCTCCGTCTAGCGTGCTAGCGAGAAGGCCTTCTCTTCCGGAGTCCCAAACATAGATCTTATGAGCGGCGTCATCTGCAGCACCTGGACGTTGGCGTTAGCTTTATGCGGGCAAATTTGAGGTCTCGAGTGGGCGAACCTCCTGCTAACCATTCGCCGTCCGGACTATATGACATGGCGTGCCAACCCACTTTACTGATTGGATCCTGGAAGCGATGTGTAGGCTCGAGATCTTGTTCAATGTACTCGCCGTCCACAGTGGGCGGCGCATACGCGGGCAAGCTGAATTGCCGCAATATCCGGTCCTGCGAGTTTGTGACCAGCCGACTATGGCAGTACGGGAATTTTTCAGTTCAGTAATCAATGGTGTGACAGGCGCAGTCATCATACCGGCCATTCGCAGTGAACTCAAACCCCCGGATAGGACTGGTGCCGCCCAAGATTTTGTGTCTCGCGACCATCTGTGTGAAGATGTCAGCTTTTCACAACGCACCAAACAATATACATATAGCGCACCGTTTTTGTCCGTGAATTGAACACTAACACGAAGCCCAAAGTCGTGCCCAAGAATACATGTTTGCCGGAAGGATCGAAACGCGCCGCCGAAAAGGCGGTTCTGACACCACACATGAGGGTCATTACGAGGACACAGAGATCGACGGCCATTACTAACCTCGCTCGGCTCATTTGAGACTCGTCGTCACTTTCGTCCTGAACCTCGCACAGTTCATAACGCCCGCGATATTCCCGGCGTAGGTCTACGATGTATGCTTCACCGCTGCTCAGAAGCACGAGAATGATCTTGCTATCTTTCATAATTAGGGACGCAGCTTGGATGAGATAACCTCATTACTCACCTATTTCGCGGATGGAACCAAGCAGACACAACGGGAACATCAAAACGGATAGTGGCTTGACGGCGCGGCGGGTCCATGTCGGATGCGAGGTCCCATACGATGACGTTCCAGTCCTTCGACGAAGTCATCACATAGCGGGAGTTCTGCGACCAGCTGTACCGCGTGAATGCCAATTGGATGCGGCAAGCGAGGAGTATACGCACTCAATGCTGGTGATGCCCTTGACATGACCCTCCAGCCACCGGACCTGACCCCTCGTAACCAGATCCCACACAACAGCAAGCCCGTCTTGCCTGCCAGCCGCAACATATTTTCCAGACTGGTCAAATCTTGCAATGGTTGCCAACGAGTCCAGGGACGTTTGTATGGCGGTCGGGTACGGCGACGTGAAGAAATCTAGCGGTGCATGCGTTCAGCCACATTGGCAATGTAGCTTGGCAAAGAATCTCACTAACTTGCTACGGTCTTGTTCATCTTGCAGCGCACACCCTTGAGGGGTTCCCAAAAATACAAAGTCGTTGATTGTGCAAAGCGAAAGGAGCACGAGCACCGAAGCTAAGCGTGAACTCTGAATGTGGCGGGAAGGAAGGCGTGTAAACGCCCACGACGCGCTGCAGGACGCGTTCACGCGCGTCGGATCTCGCTAGATCTTGGCCACCGACCGCCACCACCTGTTCACTACCCATGGAGGACCAGGCATCGGCCGCTCTGCAACATGCAAAGGAGCTGCGTGTTCCGCGCGAGTTTGCAAAATACGACGACCAGTCCGAGCCGGAGGTCATCATCCGTCTCGAGCAGTGGAAGCAGAAGGCGTGCGACGTCCTTCTCGCTTTGCGCGACGACCTCCGCACCCAGCAGAACATCACGGTATCGGCTCAGGCAGCGGTCGTTTATGCTACCGCCACGTTTGACGGTGAGGGTCCTTGGGTACTCGACTCGAGCAGGAAGACTGCGCAAGGTGAGTACCAAGCTCTTTACTTCGAAAGCACGAAGTTGATATATGGACAGATGTACTATCCTCGTTCGAGAAGCCTAACACCGACCTGTTGGAGCGTATACTCCGTGACTCCGTGAAGCCCGTATTCGCTCTGAACCCACATCCGAATATCAATGCGGATACGGGTCGCAAACTCCCTCATGCAGCCGGAGGAGCTCTGGGCCAGCTCGACTATCTAGAAGGGCAAGAGTGGAAGTCGCATCCAGAACTATACAACGTCTTATCCTGGAGTATACGCCACGCGGATGTATGCGCTACCTCATTGCACCGGCCGGTTCAATGCTCACTGTTGCGCAGGACCGTAACATCGAGAGGCTATGGCATATGTTCGTCCCTCCGATCATGACATACCTCGACGACTACCAAGCTGCATTTAAGCTGCATGGCGTGGATCTGGTGGTGCATTTACTCACAATCACACCTGCGCAACTTCTACGTAGGACTGGCATGGATGTCTTGCTCGCTACTGTGAGTTTTAAAGTATAAGTCTTTGCCGTTTGATGCAATACTAACTTTCCATCAGTCTCTCAAAACGTGTTTGACGTTCCTACACAATCCAGAGACCCCTGAGTTGATCCGTCGCGCGGTCACCGCGTATTTGCGCTTGGTGGAGTGCACGACATCGCGAGGGTCAGTCGCGCGTTTTGATCAGCTATGCTCATTGCTGGGAGATAGCATCATCGGCAACGTCTGGGTCTACGCTTCGCGCGAACTCGATACTCTTCAGGCATCCTTGGATACTATTCCTGAAATTGTCGAAGCCTTGGACATCGGAACTGCGCGTTATCTCAAGGTTAGTCACATTGTTAGCTTCCCTTTGTGCCGTATGAGCTGACCTTGTACCACAGGCACTGATCCCGCAACTAGTCTTACCTCTGATTCCGGCGCCGGAGAACGACACTTCTGTGGCATACAAACTGGCATCTACCCGCGCGCTTTCTGCAGTGATACGGATGAGCACGCCCAGGATACCCCAGTGGAGGGGCACTATCCTTGAGGCCGTACTTAAATGCTGGGTAGACCTCTCAAATCGCGGTATTAGCGATGCAGGTTAGCGTTTCTCCGATCGGGCTTTCGCCTGTTATGCCTGACATCTACGTTACACTGCTAGAATGCTCAACACTCAAAGACGAGTTACGCAGTGTGTGTGCGGCCCTCACCTCGGCATGTCACCCAGTGGTACCCGAGTTCGATGTACGTACTGCTACACATATTCTCGGCACATCGAGTAACCTTTTCATCACGCAGGTGGAACTACAGCGTCTCCTGGTACTTGACTCCGAGATGTTTGGGCCTCTCTTGGGCTCACCTACTGCGTAATGTAAGCGCCGAAAATACATGTCCTCGGCGATGCCACGACTAATCCTGGTGTACCTTCGAAGAATATTTGTACTACACATATGTGATACCTAAAGACTTCGTGCAATTCGCGCATCTATCATGTATATCGACTGCGCCGTCTCCAACGTCCCTAAGCCACACAACACGTCGGGCTACGCGTCGGATTTAAGGTCGGGTCGCATATAACAGCAGGTCCTTTCTCCTATAGCACTTTGCCACACCGCAGGATGTGCCGAGAAGTTACGCATTGGCAACCTCCGCTGCCTGAATCCTGACGGTTCGATGGTTATAAGAGGACTGTTCAGTACTTCCCAGCCGGAAGAAACCACAGTTTCCCTCACTACACAATCATTGTCATAGTCATGATCAAGACAGCCAACCTCGGAGGTACCGCGAAGGACATCGTAGTCGCTAAGGTGGCGGTGAGTAGCTATATGCGCCCTTCTACCGCTGTACCGAAGCATTGAAACTTTGCGCTGCAGCATGGACTAATGTCGATGACGTGCGTCCACTTCTTTCCATGCCCTTTTGTCAGCCCTTTGCTCAGAAATTTCACTGCGGCTCTCCGGGCCACAGACGGGTAGACGTTGTCCCTGACGAACTGGCGTTCGAAGCTATCAAGAGCGGCATTGACGCCTTGCACCCGGGTGTCAAGATGATGTTGAACAGCTGTACGTGCGCCGAACGCTATACGGCTATGGCACTGACCTAAGTATGCAGCGGAGTTCTACGATATCAACTGGGGGACCACCAACCTCGAGCTCCTCGCACGCTTCTATGAGAAGTACCCGGAGTACGCAGATAGGACCTTCCTGTCCGTCAAGGCAAGCTCACCCCTTTACGTTCATCATGCCCGTTGGCTGACCTTGAGACGCACAGGGCGGCGCAGTCAGCAAGTATGTCATGAGTTGCAAGTACGCACATCCGCATCCTTCACCAGGGCCATCACCGCTGACCTAGCGACATCTCCAGACGAGAGGATCTGCGCCGTAGTGTGGACAAGTGCATCGCCGCACTCCGCGGTACGAAGAAGATTGACCTCTTCCAGCCCGCGCGCATCGACAGGGAGGTGAGTGTGGAAGATACGATGCGCACTCTCGTCGAGATGCTGCACGAGGGCAAGTTCGACCACATCGGCCTCTCGGAATGCCGTGCGGATACACTCCGCCGTGGACATGCCGTACGCGCTTGCATGACATTTCGACCCTGCGTTTTACTGACCCACACGTATAGATCTATCCCGTCTCGGTCGTCGAGATCGAAGTTAGCCCGATGGTATATGAAGAAGAGACCAAGAGAGGTATAATGATATCACAGTGCTTTGTGTCGCCGCGAAGACGCTTACGCTGCCTGTCTCACAGTCATCGCTACCTGTGCGGAGCTGGACATCGCTCTTGCGGCATACTCGTATGTCATATAATCCTAAGACATACATGTGGACGTCACACTGACTGTTTTAACGCAGACCCCTCGCGCATGGCATGACCGCCGGCATTATCAAGCAGCGCGAGGATTTCACTGGTAAACTTAACCGGGCATCACATACCAGTCCGCACTCACCATATCACCAGGTCTCTTCGCGGCGATGACACGCGTCCAGGGAGAGGTCAGTAATCATCCCGCGGATATCGACCTTCACCTACTGATATGTCGATAGAACTGGGACTACACCCGTCGCCTGATCGACGCCTTCACCTCCCTCGCACCCAAGAAGGGCTGCACCCCCGCGCAACTCAGTATTGCCTGGGTAGGTTCCCTTGGGGACAAGGTCATTCCTCTGCCTAGCTCGACGTACGTGACCCCTTCCGCGGTGAAGACGTTCATCTATCATCGAGGAGCTGCTCATCGTTCTGGTTTTGTAGGCGCAAGGAGCGGACCCTCGAAAATCTGTACGGGGCCGACGTCGAGCTTAGTCCGGAGGACTTGGCAGACATCGCGCGTGTGATGGAGGAGAACCCTCTGAAGGGAGATCGCGGGTACGGAGACGCAATTGATCTGAAACTATGGGGATGAGCGGTAGATCTTTCATGTGTTCAACGTGGTGTAGTCTCACTGAGAAGAATGTAGCCTCGTGCACGACCTGGCCTGCAATAGAGGGGAGGCCGTAGTCGTCCGAGTTGGTACCGGCCGGGCTAAGACCATAAGCTGTGAGTACGAGGACGTCTGGGACCAAGGCAATTAATGCCATTGAAGTTTTCATCTAAAATGAAAGCTGGTTTCAGACGACATGAAGACATGAACAAGTATATGTATTAGCGCGATGAGGACATTACTATACATGGTTGACGCGAAACGAGCATATACACCGTCGAACCAGTAAAATAGGACCTCCAGCACGCCGTCCCAGCCGAGTTCGCACGACTGCCAATCACCCCGATGCCGCAGCACCTCATTGCGCTTGAGACGGCGGATCCTCATCTCCGCCCGAGCTTCGTCGACCTCCGCCTTTCAGACTTGCGGCCCTGCGTACTGGTCAGCGCACATGCAGAAAGAGCCCTCACCGGAGAGTGCGACGTTGTGCGTCCCGAGACCTTCGACGAAGCACTTGACGCCCGACTTGGCTTCTTTCACGAGGTCTTGCACTTGCAAACATTCAATGTAGAACAGCGAACAGTACAGGATTTTGGAGGCGGTACGGAAACGGAACTTGACACTTGGGGTTTTGTGCTATTGGAGGAGAACGGAGTCCAGAGACGAGGAGATAACAACTTGAGGAAACGTAAGTCTTGCAATAACGAGACCGCTTCGCTGCCCTTCCGACTTGACAAACTTGGCTTTGCCCGAGGCTTCTACGATGAGCCACTCATCCCAAGACATCAAAGCAGAGCCGCAACGGTGAGACACTTTAGACAGTCAACGCACGGTTGCTTCACCAGCGGGAGTCGCCGTTGCCGTTCGCGGCAGGCACAGCGCTCGATGACGGGGCATCGTAGTCCCGTGCGCGCGCAGGGCTGCTACCCCTGGGAGGGCTTCTCGAGTAGCTCCTGCGCCTCCTGTACTCCGGTGAGTAGCGAGAACGAGGGGGCGGGCTGCGACGGTCGCGCCAGTCCCTGTTGTCCCTGCCGTAGTGGTCGCGGTCCCTGTCGTCCCTGTCGTACCGACTGCTTCTGTATGGATCACGATCACGACGGTCGCGATCATCGTAACGGTCGCTGCGCTCATCCCTGCCACCCGAGGAATAGGTGTCCCGACCACGACGACGCCTGTGCCCCATGTACTCGCCCGGAGTGGGCGCATGAGGGCGGTCAGTGACCGAATAGTCCACACGAATCCGACGGCCGTTGAGTTCCTGTGACGAATGTCGGCAAGGGAGTCCATGTGACGAGTGTATAGGAACACATACCACACCGTTAAGCTCCTTGATGCAACGACCCGCCTCATCAGTGGTAGACATAGTGATGAAGCCGAAGCCTCGGGAACGGTCAGACTGCTGGAAAACGTCAGTACTAGTACTTAAAAATGTTAACAAGTATGGCGCACCCTTTGATCATATACTATCACCACCTTCTCCACGCGTCCGAATCGACTGAATTCGTCATCCAGGTCACGCTCGGTCGTGCGAATGCTGAGACCAAAAACTCCCAACACGTTGGAAGGATTGGGCGCCTGCTTCGCCTGGTTAGTATACAACGTAAAGTTACCAATCACAAGTCGACTAACCACGGGTGCTTGAGGAGGGCGGCGGGGAGGTGGCGATCTGCGGTAGCTGGCAGAGCGCACAGGGCTCCGAGAACGAGATCGGCCCCGAGGAGGAGGCAAGTCACGGTCCCTGGACTCGGAAGCCGGTGCAGCGACGGGCGGCGGAGGCTCGGTGTACGCCTCGTTGTAAGGATCAGCGGCGGGGGCGGCGTCGGCGTACTATACATGGGGAGCATTCATGAGTTATTATCATTGGGCGGCGGCAGCGAAGACGACGTCGTCGTCGACAGCGACGTGGCGACGCAGGCGCGACGCGTGAATAGGGCGGGGGACTCACCATGGTGGTTGAACTTAGCAAGCGGTTTGTGCTTGTTTGGCCGAAGCGCGACAAGCATTTCGGAGTCCGCGAGTGAACTCAAACCTTATTTGGGGGTGATGTATAGTTCTCAGCCACCGCGTGCCGTCGCGCGCCCGTGTTGTACGCTACTGACGACCCCGAACCGCAAATCCCGGCAAGAGCAAGATGGTGCGCTACGTATACTGCTCGACATGCTCGTACTCGTTCTAAAGGCTCCTCTGTGTGTAGGGTATCGACATCGCAAAGCACCACGTCAAGAAGGGCAACCGTACCGCCCCCAAGAGCGAGGACCCGTACCTGCTCTTGCTGGTCAAGGTATGCAGAGGCGACCGGCGAGGCAAAATCGACGACTCATCTATCTTGCTTCCCAGCTCTACCGTTTTCTCGCCCGGCGCACGGATTCCCCGTTCAACAAGGTCATATTCTTCGTATGGGCTACTCAAGCAGAAACTTATCGTTCGATATATGTAGACGCTCCTCCACCGTCTCTTCCTCTCCAAGACGAACCGTCCCCCCCTTTCCCTCTCTCGCATCGTTAAGGAGACTGAGAGCGCGCCCGACCGGGATGCCAAGATCATCGTCACTGTCGGCACCGTGACGGATGATGTCCGTCTTCTGGAAGTCCCGAAGCTCTCCATCGCCGCCCTGCGGTTCACCCAAGCGGCCAAGGAGCGCATCCTCAAGGCCGGTGGTGAGGTCTTGACCCTCGACCAGCTCGCTCTCCGCGCGCCTACCGGGTCGAACACCATCCTGCTCCGCGGCAAGAGGAACTCTCGTGAGGCCGTTAAGCATTTCGGCATGGGTCCCCACAAGCACAAGAAGCCCCACACCCTATCCAAGGGTCGCAAGGTACGTTTGCCTATCAGCATGGCTTTGCAATACCTTATTTTTTTGCCCGTAGTTCGAGCGTGGTCGTGGCCGGAGAAAATCCCGCGGCTTCAAGGTATAAGCCGCCATCCCAAAATCGACGTGCAGTCAGTGGTACGCGATGGCAGCGGCGAAGAACAGGCAAAGGAGTCTGTTCTGCGGGGGGTTGGCTGGCGGTACCATCTTCCATGCATGCGCACAGGGCCACTCGTCTCACGATTGTTATGTTATACTGGCATCCTCACACCTTCACCCATGTATGGCTTTGTACGGTTTACCATGCTTCTATCGCCTATGCACCCCCAAATAATGCGTGATCATGTTATGTTGGTTTGCCTTCTTCGAGATCGTGGTAAGCATAAGTAGGTTTCGCTGCAACGTCGTGGTGCTGGAGGTGCCTATAAGACGTTTTTCTGGGTACGTTTTCCAAATTATCGGCAGTGTTTCGACCATTTTACTCAATGAGGATCATTCACAGTACTTCACTCCGAATGCTTGGAACGTCATGATATCTCCGGATGTTCACTAACATGATCATTCCGAATCAGAGAGACTTCGGAATTGCTACAGTCAGCCATGTGACGCTCTTAGATGTGCGTACACCGCCAACATCCGTCATCAACTTACGTTTGGTGGAGACTTGTGATATTTCCTGACGACGAGGTCACTAAGTCTATGATGAGCACCCGCTCCGCGACTTCTCAACAGGTCACGCCCTGCGGGATGCCCAAAGCCTCACGAGATCTGTGTGAGTGGAACGGCCCTCATCACAGGTTTCATTGCACTCCAGAAGGTGAGTGCCTGTGCATCTCCCAGCCGACGCGATTACGCCTGCGTCCGAGTCGGATCCGGAGATTGAGTCTGGTCACGTTCATTACCACTCTCGCCGGCACGCGTCTCGCCATTACGCAGCCGAGGGTGTTGTGCGCGGTATGTATAAAACATCCTTCGAACAGATCAGGGAGGCCACGCACAACCTCCTTCCGCAAACGAACTCCACATATCCACACGACTCTCTAGTGAACCATGGTCAACGCTACTACCAAGCTCGGCGGTACCGCTTCCGACGTTGTCGTCGCGAAAGTCGCAGTGAGTAGTAGTGTCATGTTTCGTGCAATGGCAACATTGGCTGACCGCGTCTAGCATGGCCTTATGAGCATGTCGTACGTGACACTTCCCCCTCCAAGCAGATGAGACTCTGAATTTATTTATCTGTATAGCTGGGTTCCGAAGCCCGTCTCAGATGAGCAGGCGTTCGAAGCCATCAAGGCCGGCCTCGACACCCTCCCTGCTGGTGCCAAGTTGATCTTAAACAGCGGTACGCGATGCAATGGATTGTACGAAAACAGCAGTCACTCAATGCCCTTACGCCTGCAGCCCAGTTCTACGGGCCTGGAATGTCGACCCACAACCTCGAGATCGTATCGCGCTTCTTTGAGAAGTACCCCGAATACACAGAGCGCGCGTTCCTTATGGTCAAGGTAAACGCTTACTATGCCATGACTCGCCTTGGCGCTGCTGATCATGATGATACAGGGCGGCCATAGCCCGGACAAGGGCTTGGACAACTCGTACGTCTCTGCAGAACTATGGGTTATTGTTGAGTCTCACACTGTGTAGCGCTGCGAGCCTTCGTCGCAGTGTAGACATCTCCCTTGCCGCTCTGCGCGGTAAGAAGACGATCGACTGTTTCCAGCCCGCCCGTGTCGACAAGGCCGTTACCATCGAGGATACGGTCAAGACCTTGGCGGCCCTCAAGGACGAGGGTAAATTCGCCCACATCGGTCTCTCCGAGTGTGCCGCGGCCACCGTCAGGCGCGCTCAAGCGGTCAGTGCAGTGCTGTCGTCCCACTTTGATGTCGGACTTATTGGCATGCTAGGTCCACCCGATCGCTGTCGTCGAGATCGAGGTCAGCCCCACGTCCTACGAGGAGGAGACGAAGAAAGGTGATGCGCGCTCAATGGCCTGGTCAGTATATATGGGCTAACGTACGCAGTCATCGCAACTTGCGCCGAGCTCGATATCGCGGTCGTAGGATACTCGTGAGTTTCCCTTTTCCTGGCCGCAGGTGTCTTCTCAGCGTCTAACTATGATTCTAGCCCTCTCGGACACGGTCTGCTCACTGGAAACTACAGCTCGACCAAAGACATTGATCGTAAGCCAGCCTCTCGGGAATATCATGGCATTGACTTACACGCAATATACTTGCTTTCACAGCGAATGACGTTCGCGCGCACTTGAGCCGCTTCCAAGAGGAGGTAAGCGAGTGCGTTGTTATCATTCGCGACAATGTACCCAATAAACCCCACAGAACCTGCGCCACAACCTGGTCATTGCTGAAGCTATCAAGTCTCTCGCTACCAAGAAGGGTTGCACCCCCGCGCAACTCTGCATCGGATGGGTTGGCTCCCTCGGGGACAAGGTCATTCCCCTTCCAGGCTCCGCGTGCGTATCCTCTGCCTCTATATATATTCGTGTCACAACATTAAAGATCTCCTATATCTCTCAGGCGTAAGGAACGGAACCTCGAGAACCTCGCCGGCGGCGACGTCATCCTCACCGAGGAAGAGAAGGCGGAGATGGCTCACATCTTGGCGACCCACCCCGTGAAGGGCGCTCGCTACGGCGATAACAACACCGACCTCTGGGGTTGATGTGTGTACCGATGTAAGCTCGCTTAACGGCACTGTTGTAGGGTAGCATTGCTGGCGGAGCACATAGCGTTGCCAATACCGTCCATGTTTGTACTCACTACAGCCGGAAGCGCACGCATGTAATATTTGCGTAACTTATGTAGGGCGCTTCTTTGGCTACCAATGTCATATCTGAACCACCACCTCCAATTCACCCTGAGCATCTCGAGCATGTATGCCTGCTCTCGGCACCACGCATGTGCAACTCACTTTGTATCACAGTTTTATATGGCCATCTTGTGGGCCTTCCGGACGCTCGAGCCTACTAATCGGCTAGGACGATTTCAATTCGGACCTAGGGCTACTGAGGCTGACGATGCAGTCTCCCTCGCTATCCAGCTGTGGGTCGATCGGAGGCTGCAGTGGATGTCAGCCTCTAGCCAGCCTCCTTCCGCTTGAGGGAATAAGGACCGCGTCGAGACGCGTCTTCTCCCCATTCGCGCTCTGTTCCCCCCTCCATCCCCCCTTCCTCCCCCAGCACCCGCTATGAGTCACCACGCCGACAGGCAGGGGCCTTCAAGACACGGGCTCTACCCTGGCGTCAGCGATGTTCCCAATTGCCGATGGGCAGGGCCGCTTCAAGCGTCGTCAGAGTACTGCAAGCAAGCGGTCAGAAGCTCCTTAAGATTGAAGATGTTGAGTGGAAGGTGGGACGGTAGGTGTTTCTTTCCCCGAGGGAGGGACTTCGGTCCTGGCGCATACCTTTTCGTGGTCCTCGGGATAAGTACCTACTCGCGCGCGGCCTCTCGGGGTGGTGCACGGGTGGGGAAACCGAAATGCGTTGTTCGTTGGTTTGTGTTTTGTGAATGGTTTTTTCGGGTTGCTGCGTGTATCACCATATTACGGTGCATCGGATGGCAGTCTCGTGCCCAACAGTGTTCGAACATAATTTCCGGTATGTGCTGCGCCTTCGCGATATTCCATGCATGCCGCTATCCTACAGTCGAGGCTGACAATCGTCGAGCAGTTTGCGAAAAGCTCGTTACATACGCTCCGGTAGGTGAACGCCCGCACGTAAAGCAATACGACCAATCCAGCCATCTTTGAGCCCGCACTCCTTCCTTAAGACTGCGACCATCGCCTCATGGGGCTGTGCAGCGTTTTCCTCGTCCTGCTCACAAGCCCTGCGTTGTCATTTAGAGACGGTCGTTCCTGAAATCTACCAGGTTCTGCATAGCCCCGCGACGCGAGCCGGCCCGACGTCTCATAAGGAACGCTTAACCTCCGATGTCAGAAGAAGCCAACTTGAAGATCGTCCCTCGTCCTCGATTGGCTCTTAGAGGATGCCATCCTCTCACCTGGGTGGACTAAACCTCTTCTATCGCCGTCGCCCCTGGTAAAGATCTCAACGGACATACCAGGGGTTACTAGTATGGATGTATTGGCCAAAGGGACGCCTGAGGGCATCAACTTCCGACCAGTCCGGACGACTTGAACCGCTCGCAGTGCCACGCCTCCGACTTCCTAGGCTTATGGACACACAGCTTCTCGGCATCTTGTACGTCCAGTCTGGTCCGAAGCTCTTCGATTTCTCTCACAAAGGTACTAACTTGGGCCAACTCAATCAAGCCGGTTTGAGGCGACGCTCACCGCCAAGAGCCACCGACGGATTCAGTCACCTCGCGGGATCGCACACGTTCGCTAAAACTGCAGTCCTTCTCCCGTCCGCCCTGTGCGGAATGTATCAGCAAGCCAAGGTGCCGAAGGGAAGCAGAGTCTATCGACGTAGAACGAACTAACACATCGTTGCGGTGCAGATTCGCCACGGGTCCGAAGCCGATCCTGCCACTCAATGCCGCTCAGCTTCGTCCTCACCGGAACCGCCTCTCGCTACTCGACATCGACATCGTCCGCACGAAGCCGGTGCGCGGAGCTTTCGCGGAGCACGAGGCATACCAATGCGGGCGCAGAAGAATCCGGTGCCTGCATTCCGCATGCCACTGCAACGTTAACGTACTTCCCGGAGGTTACGTTGAGGCCTGGATCGTCCGGCGGTAGGTAAACTGGAAGTGCGGGAACCCATGTCCGCGAAGTCTACCAGACCAACACGGCGCCTTTCGCCCCTGGGTCTCGGCAGATGCATGGATCCATCAAAGCACCGTACTCGTGGTGGACGACTTTACGGGACCGGTCTCACGCTGTGCCACCGAACATGCGACTCGGAAAGCTGCTCCGAGGCGGCGTACTCTATCATGATCAACGCATCGTCCAGGGCGGCAACTTCAGCTTGGCTTGAAGTAGGGCTCGACACAAGGGCGTGTCTTTTTCATCCTCTAAAAATATATATTGACTGTCGAGTCAAGAACTCACATATAGGACTTGTACTATTCATGCTTCGCGCGGACGATACGTACCGTCCACACACTGCCGCTCCAAACGAAACAACATCAGCCAGCGTCACGACTAAGATGTGATTGGCCTCGCAAACACAACGTCTCCCCGAGACGGCCGCGAAGAGGCCCAAGGCCCAGAAAGGCGTTGAGTAACAGATTCCCATCCCGTAATTATGCCCACCTTCTGCCGAACACGCCCTTCCCCAGATCCCAGCGCAGCCACCCAATCACGAACCAGGGTCCACCACCACAAGTACTGCGTCCGGGATCGCAATTAACTGAACGGGGAGCGGTCGACGCCTTCCTACAGCAGCCGCCCGGGTGTCAAACAAGCGTATTGGACTGCTGCGTATGGTGCCGCCGGGGCCTGGGCTCGCGCGGGGTTACGGCCTGCGGGATGTACATGAACTGGAAGGGCAGCGTGGTTGGCAGTTCGAATCGAGTCCGGCGTCGGGTGCACTGCTTTGCTTCGTTCAATCGTGCGGCCGCTGTGCAGCTCGGCATCCGACGGGGGCGGGGTATGAGGCTGGTAGTCATGAAGCCTTACACAGTCTCTCGTCCACCGTTCATTGCATGCACTTCCAAGCGTGCATCACAAATATGAAGTTCCTCCTGGACAATACCCAGGCACAGCGCGCCAATAACATATATCGAGACGAGGTGCACATATTACGCAATGGACATGTCGTTCCTCCCAAGCGGGGTACGCGCCGATTGCGGGGAAGACGACGTCCACGACGTCGGCCTCGCTTCGAGCCGTTCGCCCGTCCAGAGGAGGCAGTCCACTCGCCGTCCCGGGTGCCTGCCCGCGCACAAGGCAACGAAGCTCCCGCCCCAGGACAGAGCGCACACGACCGTCGCACGTTGCCCGTCCCGAGCGCCGCGGATCCCGCCGTACCAACTTAGCAAGCGGTGAACTGCGCGCGGGGGAACGGACTTGCCTGGGCTGTCTCTCGCCCCCCTAGGAAGTAGAGCGGACGCTGCCGGTAGTAGCGATTGCTTTGTACGTGTGCATCGCCAAGGTATGCCGTGCGTCTGGATCGTACCAGTCGCATTCGCGGACGCCCGCGACCCCTTCCCGCTCGGGGGACGTGGCTGTATGCGGCGGTACCGCCGCGGACGCGAGAGTCGGGTGGGAACGCCGCGTGGTCTGGCAAGGGAAGCGCTTGAGCGCAGTCCGGAGGATGTGCCCCAGCCGCGGAAGGTTCGGAGACGGAACCGGAGCGGCATCGACGACGGACGGGCGCTCCGAGCCTTCTCACATTTTACGTCCCGGCGCCAAAGCGCCAGAGTCGCGCACGGCGTTCAACTTCAAGCTCTGTCGGCACGCCTCGTGTAGCGTCCACGAGTTCACCTGGGAGACGCGACGAAGGCGGACGTCCAACGAGAACCCCTCAAGTTCGAGAATCGAGAGCAGCCTCGACGGCGTCGTCCCCCACGAACTCGCGAAGCCACGCATCGCGTGGTGTGCGGAGATTCCGAGCCCGGGAACCGTCCGCAACTGGATCTAACACCGAGAACCCATCGATCGGCGTCCGCGGCGCTGTATATTGCACATCGTCGAATTCGAAGATTTCCTGAAATCTTAGGTACGCCGCACAACTCCCAGACCGGAGCGCCGACACGGTCGGAGAATACCCAGCGTAAGTAAGCATACGAACTCGCAGGACCGTGATCGTCCGCCGCATCTGCATCTGCCATGAGAGCGCACCCGAGGGGCAGTGGTAGCGCGTACGACGGTCCCGCATAGCGGCGCAAATGCGAGAAGGGGGTCCTCAGGGGGGACTTTTGGACAGCGGCTGGTATCGCGTCGGGCAAGGCGCGACAAGATGGTCATCACGGAGGCGACCGCACAGAGATCGATCTTCCCCGCATCCGCATCGGTGTCCTGATACTGAACGTTGGACGTTGAACGAACATTGAGCGCTCAATAAACCGAATAATTTGAACAGGCCGACGTCGCGCGTGGAGGCGGTAACGCACACTGAACGGCCCAGACCGAGCCCGAGTGTGCCCACAACCTTCAAAGGGACAGCCTCCGGACGTATGTCGAGTTGCCCGCTCCCGTCGGGGCCGACACGCGTACGCTGAATTCACGATCACGCAGCACTGAGCAGAGCGCTATGGCGGCGGCGGGCGTGCCTAGCTGTCCGCCGGCTGTTCGATAACTTCAAGCAGGATGCCGATGCATGGACGACTGGGGCGGAGATCGCGCCTTCGGAGTGAGATGCGCCGGAGGATTGCCAGGAACGGGGCAGTGCACTTGTGTATCCACTGGATCTGTTGGAAGACCGGGATGCAATGAGAACGGGTACACGAGGCCTCGCGGCAAGGAGAAACGAACCTTGGGTGTGATAGCAAATGCGGAAGAGGAGTATGAGCGGGGAAGGGTGGAGAGGATTCGCACCTGGACCATGCTAACATTGCTATCCGCCGCACGGCATGCGTACCGTGACATACCTTTCTGTGTACACGGCTTCGAGTGGCTGCATGAGTACATGCAGATGCCAACTCGAGTTCGCGTACGGTGCATTCGACCGATGCAAGGCACGGCGCGCCGCGCAGGCGGGTATAGAAGCCAGGCGTGCGCGCGCTGAGAACACGACATAAGCACCTACACATGATCAGAATGCACGCCTAACTCTGCTCAAAAGGATAACGGCACGGGCGTTGCGCTCACGGGAGGCGACAGGGCTGCAGACTGCAGCTGGCAGATGGAAGGCTATATAGACCCCGCGCGTGCCGCGCTCGTATGTACATTCGAGTTACATACACGTGGGAGAAGGCGGCTGTAACAGGCACCGCGAAAGGAAGCGTGGCCCCCAGCCCAGGTCTGCGGGGAGCGGGTGGGAGACCGAGCATGGCGTCTCGACGCCGACGGATATGAGTGTGCACAGCGAGTGCGCGCTGTGAGAACATACCGTACGGAATGCGTGTGCGATAGGCGCAGCGTCGCGGCCGCATGCGACGGAGGACGAATAGAGTGGGGAGCAATGGAGGAGGGAATGAGGACGGTCACGCGGGAGGAAAGTGAGAACGGCGGATCAACAGGGGAGGATCGATGGCAGCCTTGTGGCAGAGATGCAAGCGGAGCGAATGTTCTGTTGGAACGGGTGAGAGAACAGGCGTGGCCCAAGATAGACGGCCGACCAAGGAGAACACGGCAGCGAGCTCGGGGGTGGGTCTGCGAGTCGGAGTGGGCGAATGAACGAGCCTGGAGGAGGCCAGCGCGCGCGGAGGAAGACGCGATGCGGGGCAGGGGATCTGGGACGGGAGAGTGACGGTGGCGGCGCGGGAAGATGCCGACAGATTTGCACGCAAAGTTTGCAGGAAAAAAGGGCGGGCCTAGACCGGATCGCAGGGTCGGTGAGAAGATGGCCCGAAAGAGTCAAAAATGACTGTTGTGATCAGTTGCAGGCTGTTCGGGCAGCGGCCGGGCAGCGACACTGGGAGACAGGAGGAGAGGCCGGGCCAGAGCGGGAGCTGTGCGCTCGCGTTGACAGAGACGCGGCGGCGGGGGCGGCGTGTCGGGCGTGGCTTTGTAGTCGACGGGACTGGGCAAAGACGTGCGAGGAACGACGGAACTTTCTCCACCCAGACGCTGTTTCGGCGTGGGGACCCCGGGGGCAGGGGCGGTGGCCGGGGCCTTTTGGTGCATTTGGTTTGAGCTCCGCTGATGGAAGGGTGTACATAACGACGTCAGCGTTCGTCATTAGACTCAGGGGGCGATTGGTGATTTCACGACTCTGCTCTCGTCGTCATCCTCTCCCGAGTTGCTTCCCTTGAACGCAGAACGTCATGAGCTCTCCAGCCCTTGCTGCCAGTCCTCACCGCACCAGCCACAGCCAGGATCCCCCGCCAGACGTCATCCCAAACAACTCCACCGCCCCCGACTCCCCGCCCCCGCCAGCGAACGCCCTCTCCCCCCAGAACGCTCCAGCCAACGGCCAGCAACGTCCGCCCGCCCAGCCCAAGCGCAGCAACTTCGACCTCGAGCCCAACCCCTTCGAACAGTCTTTTGCTCGTCCTACGAACGACTCTTCCCTCCGTACTCAACAACAGAGCCCCGACTCTGCCGCCCGCTCCTCCGCCTCTCGTTCGTCGCACGATGAGTCCCGCCCGTCCTCGAAGGCCAACGAACACGACGACGCCCCAAAACCAACACTACCCCCCATAGACGCAATCAATTCCCCCTCCGACTCGTCCTACGGCTGGGGATTTTCGTCCGCGGGCCTATCCAACTCGCTCCGGTCTGGGCCCCTCTCTCCTGCCATGCTCGCCGGGCCTCAACCAAACTCCAACGATCACCCACTCCCGGCCTTCGACCCCACAACCTTCCGCACTGGGCTTACCCCACGTACTGGCCTAACTCCGGGCACGGGCCTTACCCCCATCATGAGCTCCGTCTTCCCTCCACCGTCACCGGGTACCAACGCCTGGTTGCAGCTCATGAACTCCAATTCCGCCGCATCTCTCTCGAATGTTGCGACCATCACTCCCAACACACTCTCCGCCATTACGGGTGCTCTGCCAGGAGGTCCCCACACAAGCACGTCCCCCACCAACCCCTCACCCCTATCGATGTCGCACACCGCGTATGGAGCCCATGCACGCAACGAACCTCCTACCTCCGTCGCGGGCTCCTACGTCACCTCCGCTGCTGAGGCCGCAACCAACTCCACCAATGGCCTTTTCCTCCTTTCGCAGGCTCACCAGGAGCTTACTAAGCGAGAACAAGCACAGGCGGCTGCTGCCAATGCTCAAACAAATACTATCGCCGGTTCGCAGACCAACGGTAACGGCAATGGAGTTGCTTCCGCAAACGGCAAGCGGGGGACAAAGCGGAAGAACACATACGATGGGTCTCCCACTGCCGAGAGTCCCGAGTTCTCCGTGCAGCAGCCCGCGAGCAAGGGCGGCGCTTCGAAGCGTACGCGCTCCAACGCGAGTACCACCAGCGCGAGTCGGAGCAAGCGTGGACGTTCGGAGAGTATCGACTTCGGCGACATGGGCGAGGAGGAAGAGGAAGACGACGATGACATCATGATGCAAGGGGCCGGCGCTGGAGGGAAGAAGGGCGCTGGTGGTCAATCGAAGAAGCCGGAGACAGAGGAGGAGAAGCGAAGAAACTTCCTCGAGCGCAACCGACAAGGTCAGTATATGCGTGCAATTCTCGTACTTCGTCTCTAATCCCACTCTTCTCACAGCTGCGCTCAAGTGTCGGCAACGGAAGAAGGCTTGGCTCGCACAGTTGCAGGCGAAAGTCGAGTATCTGTCGAACGAGAACGAGCGGTTGACTTCCGCCCTCGTCGCCTCACGAGAAGAGATCGCTCGACTGTCCGCCCTCGTCGGCGCGGCGTCCGTCGGCCAACCAGTGCCGCTCCCTGTGTCCGGCGCGGGTGGAGGCGTGAACGTCGGGCAAAACGGCGGTGCCAACGGCGTTAACGGGCACGGCGGTCCCGGCGGGCCTCCGATCAGCGTGAACGTAAGCCTCCCACCACCAGGGAAGAGCGCGGTCGCGATGGTTGGGGGCGGCGGGCGGGGCTACGGGTACTAGGTGACCCGTCGGCCCCCTAGCCTCGCCTTCGGACCGCCCTGCGGCACTATCACCGCCGGCGTATCCCGCGAGAGCCCACGAGAGAGGGCTCTCCGCGTCGAGGTGGTGGGTGTGTGCGTGCGGGGTGCGTGTGCGCCATTGCGGACGCGCCCGGGGGCGTCGGCGGGGAGGCCATATACATGACGGCCAGAGATCCCTACGCCGGCTGCCGCTCGTGCGAGGTTCTGCGACGCGCTGTGTTGGACTTGGACTCGTTCGAGATGTTGTACATGCTGCTGCTGTTGTATGTTGGAGATGGAGACGCAGTTATGCTTGGTGCTTGGGAGTAGCAGCCGTGTGCGTGCAGCGCGCGCAGGCACCGTATGAAGTACATTAAGCGTATAAGAGTATTGAGTTATAGCACATACATGTCCTTTAGTGATCCGTCTCGTCCCGCTCTCTTGCTTGTCCTGTTTACTTACTCTCTCTTGGTGCAATTACATCATGCTCACATCAACTTTATGCGCGAGTGATCGACGAGGCGTCGCATACCGGTACCGGCTTCCTAACATTCTATGACAATTTTTGGGAGACGATATCTACCATGCGGTTTATGTAGATGACCGAAGCCAACGAGCACGGATGTTTTGACGGATGTTGAACCGCAAACAGCAGCCTGCATATGATACCTGCGTAACATCTACGTACATGATACCGGTGTAGATATCGACAAGTACGCAATGCCAGCTGTCTGTCCCACATGCGCTACACACCCCTCGAGCTTCACACATACTTGCAGGGATACATTGAGGGTGTTAGGCCCTGTCAGGACTGAACGTGAACGCCGCGACCTCAAATAAACGTAACCGCACACGGATGTAAGGCGTTCAGCATCCTTGACACGCTCGTCCTCCCCGCCTTCCAACAGAGCGTGATAGGTCTGCCTCTGGGAGACTACTCAGCATCTGCATTGTATACGTCATGGTGCGCTTAGTGAGATAGAGGGTTACATGACCCCCGGGTACGCCTGGAGCTCCCACGGGCAAATTGAAAGAGCCTAAGTATATAGGCATAATGAGTAGATAACAACTCTTCCTGTATGCGGTCGGGCGCATGCAGCCGAGGCTCGTAAACCAGCACTGGTCTTGGGAAGACAGTCGCTCCAACATAGACCCTGCCCCGCTCGACGTTCCTAGTCTTCGAGTCTCGTCCAACTTGAAAACGTAGACGCGCGTTTATTGGACGCTTGCCGCAAAGACGAGCGAGGATGAGCGCGCACCTTTTCCGCAGGCGAACCACCATAGTAGTTCCACCTTGTCACAGTAGTATATATATCATCTGATACTCAATGGGATTTCATGGTGTGCTCGCGACTTGTCCAGTACGCATGATTAAGGCCGGCGTGCGCGCGGCGAAGTGTCTAGGGCGGACAAGGGCTCCTAGTACATGGTCAGCCTTGCCCTCGGGAGAGCGGCCTCGTTTCTGGTGACCTCTCACAGGTGTGGGTTTCCGCACTCGTCCGTCCGGAGAGCTGGGCGGCATATCGTACGTTCGCTAGCCTAGAAGGCCGTGTACGCCGCAACGGATCCACTATTCGCCCGTCGATAGCGACGGTCGTCTTCGTCTGCGCAATATTCTGAGGATAAGATGAAGATAGACACTCGAGTATGCGAATCGCAAGGTCTTCCTAATGGTCTTGACCTGTCCTACGGCATATGCACTTGATTTAAAGTTATGACACCGCGGGATATGATCCATACGATGCACTTACCGCTTTCTGAACCTACCACCCATCTGCTCGCTCTTCGGGTGGCCCTGGCCAACGCCGTTCCTCGTGGTATAACGCCCGTCCGCGCCGGTAGCTAGGTTAAATGTCGGCGAGAAGGGAGCGATCTCACGGCAATACCGACGCTCTCGCACGGTAGGCGGCTTTCTATCTCCTCATGGGCATATGGACAAGCATACAAGGCATACCTGCAGCCACGAGAAGAAAACGGGCCGCTCGCTCAACACCACGAGGCTGAGCGACTATGAAATCATGGAAGGCAAGACGCACCTTCGGGCCTAGCGTGGAAGCATACACCCGACTGGAAGGACCTCGACGCGAGCAGCGTACCAGTACGCAGTTGTGCTAGTAGCAAGGAAAATAGCATCTCGCCAATAGATGATCGCGTCCAGGGGCGTCGTCGTTGCCGAGAACGTCGAGCAGAGTGATCGGCGCGGCGTCATCATGGGCGCTAAAGTCAGCCACGAGGTTGCGGTAAGCTCACGAATGGGCCGGCGACGCCATGCTTCCCGACGTAGACGACATCCTCTGGGTATATGCGCCCGCTTTTAGCGCGAAAACTCCCAGCATACCCACGTTGCCAGCTGTCGTCGTAACCGCCGATGCCAAAGCCCACACTTCTCCAGTCGATCCTCGGCAAGCCCTCTCAGACGTACCACCACCCCGCCGAGCGCGAGTACCACTCAACGAAGGACGAGCTGTTTCGAATCGCCAACGCCACCAAGGTCCTCCCGGGCCACTTTAGCTGCTCGGAGTCGGGCTTTGATAGCACACCCGGGAACTCCGACACCGAGCAGCACAACACGCAAAAGCCGACCCTGGCGCGCGCGCCCTCGGTAGTCTCCTCGGATGGGGCGAGTGGTTCGCTAGGAAGTTCGCAGACAGCGTCGGCATCGGGGCCCTCGCGAAAAAGCGCGGCGGTGAGTGTTCTTCGCCCCCGTCTCTCACCCGTCGGTGCTTATCATCTGTATTTAACGGATTCATATGGCCGTGATAGCGCAAGCGGTCTCTTATCCACTCCATCGCGTCATCTTCCTCTTTTGTATCATTCAAGAATGCCGACGGGGACCGACGAGGTTCGAGTTCCCAGCTTCACACCCGTACATCACTGTCCTCTGTGAGCACTTCCCGGCAGTCCCGCTCCAGCAGGACCCGCACGCCGAGCAGCAGGGGCAACGAGGGCGACGTGGAGGATAGCACCGAGGACGACGAGGAGGAGGGTACGGTCTTCTACACTCCTCGCACCTCGTTCGCCTCCTCCCCTCGCATGTCCCGGAGTTCCACCGCCATCACCATGCTCGAACCCCAAGCACTGGCCTCTGCCCTCCTCCACTCCAAAGCCTCTAGTGCTCCCCCAGTTGTGCCTGAGGGCGATACGGACTCCGCAACGGTGTCCCGAACGCCCTCGGGTTCCTCCATCTCTTCGGTGGCCTCAACTACCAGCGGCGAGGGCCCACCATCGGTGTTCTCCTCCCCTACACAGACTGCGTCAACCCAAGTGACCACTCCTGCCAACTCGGACCGAGGAGCACAGCCGCCAGGGGGAGCTACTGCCATTTCATCCAGTTCACGCACGAGGCCAACGTCATCCGGGAGCAAGTCAGCGTCATCAACATCTACCTCAACATCTACCCGCTCAAGTTCGAGCACTGTTCGCAAACACTCCCGCGATGAGGCGCAGAAGCTTACATATACCGACGAGGACTGGGCGCAGGACGTACGATGGCTCACCCCACCGAAGATGCCCGCCGCCTCGGGGACATCGGCCACTCGGAGGCGTTCGCGGGTAATAGCACCAGACTTCCAGCTCCCCCCACCCCTTGAGCTCGACGGATCGAGCGCATACGCGGTCCCTCCTACAGCCAGGTCGGGGCCTCCGCGGACCAAGGGCGACCGGAGAAGTAAGCATTCACGCCGCTCGCGAGGCAGGATGTCTGCTCTTTGGGAGGAAGATGAGAGTGAGGAGTGCAGCACTGGTATCAGCAGCAGCGAGCCAAGTCGGTCATCGACGCCAATGATGGACACTCCGCCGCATTCTGTCCCGTCTTCTCCCCTCGCTAAGGCCACTACCCTCCCGCCAGACCTTCCTGACGACAGCCCGCCCTCCGAGTCCACTCACGAAAGTACTCCCGATGCCCGCTTACAGAAGTACGCAAGGGGGCAACGACAGTCACTCTCTACTACCGCAGCCTATTTCCGCCCTGGTGGCTCCGCTTCCTCGAATTTACCCACCCATCCACTCCCTACGCCCTTTCCCGCGTCGGCATCGTCTACACCCAAAGGCGGTTACACCGGTCTCACCCTCCCACACGCGGGCTATTCCAATGCGAAGGGCAAGACCACTGCCGAAGGCCATGTTGATCTTGTGCGCGCAGGCGTCGCGCAGAGTAGCATGTGCACCATCGAAGTTATCCGTGGGGTAGCGGCGACCGTGTCGTATAGTTCGCCGGTCTCCGCCCCGTCCAAATCGCGGCGAACGTTTTCCATCACTCTCGGTCGCTCGTTCTCTCTCAGCCTCAGGAAGAAGCGGGAAAGCGCGACACCCATACACCTGCAGGGCAGCTTACCCCTCCCTGTCGCCTTCACCGCGCATGTCTCCCCACCGACGTACGTCCCCGAATCACATGTTCTGGTGCAGGTGCACGCAGTGGGGCTTGACACTCTGGACTCGCTCATCGTACACGACAAGTCGGGGATGAGCGGGAGCGGTGGCGTAGGCGGCGGGAAGGGCATCGGGGGCGGGAAAGCTGGCTTCATACCCGGTCGGAGTTTCGTTGGGAAGGTGGTGGAGTGCGGATGGGCGGTAAGTGCGGAAGTCTGCCGACGCGGGGAGTGGGTGGTTGGCCTGCTCGATGTGCGAAAGGTAAGTTACTTGTATCCACATTCCCTTATACCCTTCTCCGAATATCTTGCCCCCATTTTGTGTGCTTATATGCTATCCGAACACGAGCTGACTGTATGCGATTGCAGTGCGGCGCCCTTGCCGAGTTCATTCTCGTCGAGCGCCATCGGGTGCACCGCGCTCCGCAACCACGAGCTCGGACCGTATCGCTCTTCCCGCCACGCAAACGTGCACACATACGCAGCACGTCCCTCCCCGCTAACGGAAATGCGCTTCCCTACGCGTCTTCGCCTCTCGCTCCGCCACCATTGACGATCGAGGAGCTGGCGCTCCTTCCTCTGTGCGGCGTACCCGCGCATCGTGCTCTCCGCACGTTTGCAGACGTACTCTCTCCATCCAACCGCTCCCAATCAGATGAAGCGAAACCCGATGTCCGTGCGCTTGTCCTGCAAGGCCACGACGGCTGCGGTGCACTCGCCGTGCAAATGCTCGGCCGACGAGGAGTCCGCGTTTGTGTTCAAGTCCCAGAATCCGCCGTGTACGACCCCAAGGAAGAAGTTCGAAAGGCGTCCGTGGACATCGTGCGCTCGTCTCCTTCGAAGAACAAGGGCAAAGGCAAGGTCGGTGTGCCGACCCGTCGCGAACAAGTCGAAGCCCGGCTACGCGCGTGGGGCGCGGAGGATATCTGCATCGGCGAGCCGCTCGACGTCTTGAAGCGGCTTGCGGAGGAAGACCAGTCGTTCGACGCGGTGCTCGATACCGTCGGAGGCGTCGCGGTCTGGGAGGCATCCCAGCGACTGCTCATGACAGACTGGACCGCTGCCGCAGGACGCTCTTCGCTCTCCCTCGCATCCCGCTCTGAGCTCAAGCTCAACAGCAACGGCTCGCATTCGCAATCCCACACAGACGCGCAACACACGGAGGCTCAGCGGCCAAGTAAGCTGAAGAGCAAGGCCGTCTCGCGCGCCCAGTTCACGACGCTTGTCGGAGACACCCCACAACGCGCGATCCCCACTGCACAAGACAACCTTCGCTCAGGCTTGCGCTCCCTGCGCCGCTCGACTACCACATCCAACGCGTCCAAGTCCTCCCCGGCATCACTCGGCCGGAGTGCGAGCATCTCGGGGAAGTCGAAGCGCATCGTCGGGTACGCGTGGGTGAGCGTAGCGGCGGACGTCGACTTTGAGGGCGAGGACATCCGCGACTCGTTGGGCGCTGTCGTCCGCATGGCCGAGAACGGATGGTTGCGCCCCTGGGTCGGAGGGACCAATGCCGCTGGCTCAAGCGGTATCGGGAACGGGAACGCGAGCACAGAAGAGAGCAAGATCGTTCCGTTCGAGCGAGCACCCGAGGTGTTCAGGCGTGGAGTCGTCGGCCCGCTGGGCGTGCTCGCCGACGGCGGAAGCTGTGCGGTCAAGATCGCAGAGTAGAGAAGTTGAACCCGGGATGGATGATAAGTACTGGGGACGCTGGATCGGAATGGACGCTGTTGGATATCGATATCTATGCCCCTGTTGTTTACCCTAATGCCTCGCACACGGGTGCGGTCCTAGACCTGCGGAAGATCTCCCCTTGACGCACTGTGATTTACATACTACCTGCCTCCACTTCACGATTGTATTCATGATGATAGCATGACGATGGACAGCGGGAAAGCCATACAAACAATGTGATTTTACGATGTACACGACCCGCAGTCTGCAAATCCGAGAGCTCCCTAGAAGAACTGCTTGAAATCGTACTCGACCTCGCCGTCCTTAGCAGGTGCAGGCGCAGCTGCCGCCTTCTTGCTCCCGGTCGACGAGTTCGCGACCCTCTTCGCGACAGCAGGTTTGGCAGGCGCAGCCTTCTTCAGCGCAGAGGGCTTTTTCGCGGGCTTGTCCTCGGAGTCGGCACTGGCCTTGGCCTTGGCTGCACCCCGCGCGCCCGCAGCAGAGCGCGCCTGCTTCGTGCCCTTGGGCTCCGCCGCGAACGCGACCTTTTTGGCGGGCCGTGCGGGGGCGGCAGCCTTCGTGGCGCTGCGTTTCCGCTTCCCGCGGGGAGAGGGGGCCTCCTCCTCCTCATCTTCATCATCATCCTCGTCATCATCCTCTTCGTCGATATCCTCCTCGTCGACGTCGTCATCATCCAACTCATCCAGGTCCGAGCCATCCTCCTCGTCAGCATCGGAGTCGGAGCCGGTCGAGTACGACTCGTCGAGCGTCGGCTTGCGCGTGTCGATCGCACCCGCGCGCAGCTTGACGAGACCGCCGGCCTTGCGGAGCTCCTTGCGCGAAGCGAGTCTACTGAGCACGACTTCGTCCTTCGCGTAGATCTCAACAAATGCGGTCTCGGCAGGGGCAGAGGCGTCTGCTGAGGAAGAAGGCGGAACGGTGTAGCGTGCGAGCTTGCCGTTGCTCCAGTCTCGGAGCACCATGCGGGCGGCAGCGGTCAGATCAGGGTCTCCTCTCTACAAGACATAGCAGACGTTAAGAACGAGCATGAGAAGGTGTCGTGAACACGAGACGTACCTTCTTCATGAAGCGGTGCGCGCGTGCGACGCCGGCCAGGAATGAATTTGCGTCACCCTCGGTGAAGATAGGCAGGTTGTACAGGAGCATCAGATCCTCACGGGTTGCGCGCGATACCAGACCAGACACTAGAGACGCTACGTTAGCAAAGCGCCTTTTATAGAAGGGAGTGGAAGGCTAGCACTTACTGACGTGCGCCGGATCCTTCAGCCGTTCGATGTGTCCCCTATTCCGTAGGAGTACGTCCCGAGCGCGCGCCTGGACGAATTCCTCCTCGGAGGCGTCTTCGGACGGGTGCCACGACAGGCCGGGGGTGTCGATGAGGCGCACCGACTTGCCCTCGAGCTCGAGCATGACCTCTTGAGGGTGCGTCGTCGTAGTGGGCGTTTCAGGCGGTGTCGAGGTGAGCTTGTAGGTCTGTAGCACGGCCTTACGGAGCAGGGAGTTGACAACGGCACTCTTGCCGACCTGGAGACGACATGAGCAATGTTCTTACAGCACATCTAGCCCAAGAAATGTCAACTCACATTGGTAACACCAACTACGGCAACTGTGAGCGGACTGTCGCCCTTTTTCTCGTTCGCCCACTGTTGAAGGACGGCGAGAGTGGCGTCGAGACCCCATGCATCGTCTACACGCTCCTTGGCCTTGCCTTTGACCGACTCAGCGGGGGCCGGCAGGGACGCAGAAGCGGACCTGAAGAGCACCGTCGGGTGCTCCTTCCGGAGGGTCGTAGCCCAGGCCTCAACCGCTTCCCTGGGACATACATCTATAAATGAGCCGTTTTCAGTAAATGTAGAGACCAGAAGGATAACCAGAAGGTATGGCGGATTACGCACCGACTTTGTTGAGTACGAGCAGCACCCGCTTCCCGCTCTCGCGTGCAAGCCCCTCCACATGGGCACTGCGCGCCGCAAGAGGATCCCGCGCGTCCAGTACCTCGAGCATGACGTCCGCCGCATCCAAGACTGACTTTAGGTCGGGAAGGTCAGGGTTCACAAGTATGGGGGTTTCCTCTTCTTCTGCCTCCACGTCGTCCTCCGCCACCGGCTCAGCCACACGTCCTTTGCGGGGCGCTGATTGAGCGGAGGCGTTCAGAGAGAGGACGCCGTCGAATGCACCATCGCCCTCGTCTCCCGAGGCGTCAGAGACGTCTGCAGCGTTCGACTTGGCAGCCTTCTTCTCGTCCTTACGACGCTGCTTCTCCTCGGTGGCCTGAGTATCACATCCGTTACACCACGGAGTTATATGCACATGTCGGAGGAAAAACGCACCTGTCTCCTCTGCTCGGCGATTTCAGCGAGGATCTGGTCCTTGAACGGGAACGCGTTCGGGATGCCCGGGTCCTTCGGCTCTGTTATATTCCTCGTCGGTCAGCGCCCTGGAGCTCGCACACCAAGGGACAGTACGCACTGCTCTTCTTCGGGGGAGCTTTCCTTGCAGCGCGCTTCTGCTTGCGGTGAGTCTCCTGCACCTTTTTCGCGATCCTCGCGCGCTGGTTAAGCGTCCCGCGCTTGCTCGTCTCTGTTTTTCTCTGCGTTAATTCCAGCCGCCCAGTTTTATGTGCACCACGCGCACTCACTCTTGCGTATACGAGGCATAGTAGGAGAAGAAGGAAGCTCGAGGGAGGGGGAGAGTGGTAGAGGTAGGGTGCAGCCGGGCCGATAACTTTGCTCAGGCTGCAAAGTTCGGGACGGGCGTCTAATATCTCATGTGGCATGATCGAAATCTTTGGCGCTTACGAGAAGCTTAGCGCTGTTGCTCAAACTTGAGCTCAAACCGTCACCACGGTGGAATATATATATATATTCTACCCCGCAAAACATACCTGTATACGCAGCGCAAGTCTAAGTACTGGAGTGTCGTGCCCAGGGTCGGCTCGGTGCCCAGGGTCTGGAGACCGGCGTTCGACCAACGTACCTCGTCGTCACGCAAACTCAAGATATCGCCGGCCGTGTCCCGCAAGGCTAGCGAAAACGTTTTCGTATCGAAGGAGGTAACAGAGGCCTCTCCGAAGAAGTCGGCGAGAAGATGGAGTACTAGTGCTTCGTTATAGAATCATGAAGATGTTGAAGGACGGCCTTTTGCCAAATACGCTTCCCCCTTGCTACATACGCTTTCAATCAATATGCTATACCATTTCGTATACCTCACCTTTGCTTCAGTACTTATATTTCTCCGTATACCTACTCGTCCACCACTCAAATACTTTGTCATCTGCTGCAAGGTTGGCTGGAGATCGACGGTGTGAACATGAAACATGCAAGCACGTTGAAACTGGACCCGCGGTGGCGGGGTAACAGCTGCTTCATTGTACAACAGATAGTTTGTACAAGCAAATACGTGACCAACCTCTTACATACCAGTACAACGCATCTCTCCCTAGAACGGGAAGTTATTCTTCTTATCCCCCTCACTAATCAGCCCCTGCTCCAGCTCCTCAGCATGGCAGCGATCGAGCAGCGGCAAGACCGCCTCATACGCATCGCGCGCTTTATACCTGCAACAAAGCTCCAATCAGCGACCATCCCCAACAGAAAGAAGCGGAAGCACGCACCGCGCAACATCCTCCGGCCAGCTGCGAATCGCACTCGCCAGCCTCCCCGCAACGCCCGGCTCCCTTACCAAATCCGCAAACGGCGTCTGATACACCCTTATAGTAAACACCACCGCGCCCGTGCGCGGCAGCCTCCTCAACGTCTGCCTCTCCGTGCGCAGACACACCGTTCTTAGCGTCGCCGGGGTCGCCGTGCGCGACACCGGGTACCCCTTATCTTCTACCCCAGGGGCAGGGGTCGAGTCCGCCTGGTCGTTGATGTGCTTCGCGCGCTCGAAGTCGTTCGTGTCCTCGGAGCCATTCATGGTCGCCGCCCACGCGAGCTCCTCGGGGTCGAGCGCGAGGAGCGAGCCGGGCGCGGGGGCTGGGGTGCGCATGGCGGGCTCTTGGACGAGCTGCACGGCGTAGTTGTTGCGGATGACGGGCTTGTCGAGCGGGAGGCGCTTGAAGAAGCGGTCCATGCTCATTTGCAGCTTGGTGCGGTCTGTGCACGTCAAGGTCAGTGAGAGAAGGGGGAAGGGAGGGGTAGGGGGAAATTGGCGTACATTGGGGAACGTTTCCGGTGGTGTGGATGTCCTCGAGCGGGAGGCCCATCTTGTCTTCGAGTCTCCACGAACCTGCGATGACGACGGCGCCGGCCTGGAGGTAGTATCTGCCATCCGTGCCTTCCACCATGAGTGTGAAGTCCTCCTGGACCCTATAGCAGAGCAAGACGGCACATATGAGTAAGCTTAGCGCGTACGAGCTGCTTGGGATACTCACAGCATCCGCGCGACCTTCAGCGGCTCGTCCTTCTCCAGGTCATACGTCTCGCCAAATGGTATGATGGTGATCTGCCAGATCTTCCCCTCGCCATACCACCCATTCTCCTCGGGATTCCTCGAGACAGGCCGTCGCGTCACCCGGTAGACGTCCGGATGCCGTCTCGACAGGTACTCGGCAAACTCGTACATCAGCTCCTCCGCTACACAAAAAAACGCAACAGTCAGCCACGATTTTACCGGTGCATGAGTACACGCGCTACGTACCCGCTGCGTGTCCAGAAGCCACTATCCCCGGCTGTTCTGGCTGCACGCAGACCAGACGGTCCCCGCGAGTGCGTATCCGGTAGTCGCAGACCTTATGGAACTGCGGGAACTCGCGGTCAAGCTCGATCCAGTCCTCAAAGGGCATGTTGCGGATGCCCATCGTAACACTAAATAATGGCAGCAATCAGACGCACGCCCTGAGCGAACGCACTAGCATATGAACCTACTGGTAGTCGCCCCATTTGAATGGGCGGTAAGGGATAGGCTTCACATTGCTGAAGTGTTCCTTGCTAGGCTCGAGTCTAGGATAGGCGAACGGCTGCGGCTCCCACTCTGAAAGTGCGTAAGTCAAGTGTCAGTTCAAATTCTGCATGTGATACCTGCACCCGCCGTTACTCACCTGCAGGTGCACGGTCCTTTTGGCTCGCCTTCGTAGGTGCCTTCTCGGAGAGTCCGACGGAAAGCGCACGCGGGCGATTCCGGCGCTTCAGCGACAATCGGTGTGCGAACACGCCGATCGCGAGTACACAGGCCACTACCACAGAGAGGTCCTGCCACGACATGAGGGAAGACACGAGTCCCATGAGTGTTTCTGCCTGGGTGTCAAAGTATGTCCAAGATCGTCGGAGGTCCCAAGTCGAGCAAAAGTGCCACAGCAGAAGATATCCCTCGCTCCAAGCAGCACTATCCGCAGAGATAACGAGCCGTGGGGACCATTACGTCCTCTTATTATATACCCCTCCTCCAGAAGCAGGCGTTCCGTCTTCCCGTGGCTGCCTGCGCGATAAAGGATCGAGTCATCGGTGCAGCCCCCCCGGGGCGTATCAGCAGACAGCCAGAAGCCAGAGGGTGATCGAGAGCCCGCCAAGCGATTGTGCGCACTACCATATACTGCAGTGCCCGGTACCGTGTACTGAACGCAATGCTACCATATAATGCAGGAGGGGGCGCCCATATACTGCAAGGTCAGATTTTCAGGCCCGGGGGGCCTGCAAGCATCGGTTTACCCCCTGCGCTATTGGAAACGGCGCGGGGCGGGGGGCCGTCTACGGGAGTAGTACCTTATACGCCCACGACGGCCGGTGGAAAGCAGCATGGGACGGGAGGTGACGGCATTCTGCAGGAAACTCTCGCGCGGTCGCAGCAGAAGCTTGCAGAAACTCCTTAGCAGTGCGCAGCTCCGAGTCCATGGAGGCGTGCGTGCGTCTTGAGCTTCGTGCTTAGCGATGATCCTGGCGAGTCTTTTTCCTGCAGTTCTAGCTACTCCATGGCGCTGGAAATCTCTAGCGAAGAGACAGTGGCGACAACTGAATGTCTAAGGACTTTCTGGAAGCGGCTCCTACGCAGCTGCTTCACGCGCGGGAGCCTCATCCTGCGGAAATGAGTTGTTAGTCGATACGTGCGACACGTTTAGAATGCTCACTAACATGTGTTAGATGATCATACACTCTACTCCTCGGCGAAGCCATGCGTACATTGCGGGACCACTGGCTGCTATGACGTTCAGAGTGTACAAATAATAGAAGGCTATCCCCCACGGTAAAATCATCCCCCCCACGGATAATCGACAAATCCCCCACGTTAAACAGCCAATCCCACGGATTACGAACCCCAAACTAGGGTCATCTACCATAAGCGCCGGCCTCTAACGGTCTCGACCTGGCCGGAGAATCCCGGAAAAGGCCCCGATGACGGGCGCACGTGCCTCCTGAGGTCAGCGCTTACCGTTCCCCATAGGGCGCTCATCGTCCCCGACAGCGCGCTCGTCGTTGCCGACGGCGGCGACCGCTTGGGCGGAGGCCTACCAAATTTGGTAGTACCTGCTACCTTACCCTTGGTTAAGGCCAGGGAGCTTAATTTCAGTAATTACGCTTCATTTTGAATGGTAAATAGTGTTATATTGAGTTCAAATGACCGCGGCCATCGCCCCAGGCAGCGTCGAGGGCGTCGGGCACGTCGGGCGCAATGGTCGGGGCAGTGGCCGGACATTTCCGGACGGGCGCTACGGACTTTGCACCAGAAAGAGCACCGGGCGCTTATTCGTTTCCCGTGGGGGATTGATGTCGATTATTCCGCGTGGGAGACTTTCATTATTTGTACCATCTGAACGTCATAGGCTGCAGTTGAATTGCACGTCCCGGGACTTAGAACAAGCGTTAAACAACCGAACGTTCGGTCCGGTGACCTGAACGAACAAAATCTTCGGTAGGTGCTGGTGAGTACGCCAAACACATGCGGGATGTATCCCATCGACTCTTCGTTGTAGGCGGGTATGCAGCGGCTTGTGCACCAAGGGATTGGCACGCATTGTTCGATTCTAACTGGGAAGCTCGGGGCCCGGGCTTGGTGCGGCGTGTTGGACCATCTACCACGTGGGGAGTTCGGGATCATTGTACAACTCCGCTTCACATCCGCCGGATGCTGTATGAGGAGGTGGCGGACGAGCGAGTAGAGGGGGGTACTGGACGTGGAAGTCGAAGATGGCAATGGTGGCGCCGAAGCAGGTGGCGGTTAGGTGCAAAGAACGTCACAACAGGCGCGCTGACCTCCTTCACCCTCCTTCGACCGCAACCACCACCACCGCGTCTTCCTGAATTGCGGTAGCAGGCGTAATTGAACCCTACAGCGTAGTCCCTGACGTGGGCAGCGCACTTGAGTCCGGATGTCCACCACAGCGTGCAAGTATGTCGATGGTTTGACTTGTCCGTGCTAATGCCCGAACGCCACCGTCGCGAGACGCGGGCCATATATCGTAAGTGTTTCGGTCCTTCGGATTCGTTTCGCGATGCTCAGCCTTCTCACATCTTTTCCCGCATAGGAAACGATAGAGGCATGGCAACCAGGGCCTCGCAGGGTCTGGCACGGGTCCAACAACCGGACAGCACCCACCGAAGCCCGCCTAACTGGGAAGGGCGCGCTACAATTCAAATATCTGCACCCAGCGCCGATTTGTCGGCGTCGTCGACGTCTCGGGTTTCAGGCCCTTCCGCCGGCATGGGCTGTAAGTCACCCGATGACGCCTTCTTCGCTCCGAAGTTCACGATGTTGCAGATGTCGAGATATGCCGCCCCTCATAGACGCAGGAAGCGTGAATGCTGAACGGGAGATCGCTGCCCGGTCATACAGTGAATTGCTCAATGTAGAGGTTCGCATCAACGGTGGCGGCGCCCAGCGGGATGACTTAAAACGCAAGGCTCGCTCTGGTGATCTGGGCTCGTCAGCCGCAACCGGAACGCCCATCTGCGACAGTGGTCGGTATATACACCCCGATGTCTATCTCGACCGCCCATCTGAACGTTCCGTTCCACCGCACACCACTCATCGTCTCTTCCATCTTGCATCCTACCAGCTTGAAAGGCTCTATGCCGACTTCGTGGCTGGTTTTAGTCGGCATCGTTACCCTGCTACTGACTGTCGTTCTCACCCGGAAGAAGAACGGCGCGCTGCCCCCAGGACCAAAACCTTTCCCGATAGTCGGAAACGTCCTCGATCTCACCGCACGAGAGCTGTGGTTGCGGGCCACCCAGTGGGCAAAGTCTTACGGTGAGTATCTACATCTGTCTCACAGCGACCATTTTACTCAATCATCCCGGTGTAGGCAATGTCGTATATTTACATGTCTTCGGCCAAGGCCTCCTCTTCTTGAATACATATGAGGCTGCTATCGACCTGCTCGAGAAGAAGGGGTCCATATATTCGGACAAGCCCGCCCTAGTGATGGCTGGCGAGCTGTACGTTTGCAGATCGTAACATCTCGCTTTGATTTCATATTGACTGCTATTCTATAGGTGCGGATGCGACAACATGGTCTGTCCCTCTCACTATACTCATCCCGCCCCGCATACAGACCGTGCTCACCCCATGTATTGCCATAGGTTGCCTTCACTCGCTACGGGGAGAAGTCTCGCAGGCAGCGTCGGCTCATGCAGAAGGCCCTCGGCCCCGGCGCGATTCCCGCATACCACCCCTTGCTCGAGATCGAGACCCAGGCACTACTCAGGCGCCTACTCGACGACTCCGGCAACTACGAGAGCCATATCCGCAGGTAAGTAGGTAAATGGGCGCCAAAGACCTGTATGACCGACAGCTCTAACGCTCCCGTCTATTGTGTCTATAGATACGCAGGAAGCTTGACGCTGCTGGTCGTCTACGGCTACCGCGTGACGGCGAACGATGACCCGTTCCTGAACCTAGCTGAAGAATGCGTGGACATCCTGTCAAACCACATTGCCTCCGGTGGCGGGATCTGGCCTGTGGATATTTTCCCCTTCTGTGAGTCCACCGGTCCCTACAGCCGGCGTGCTGTTGACGTCCTGTTGCAGTGAAGCACCTGCCGTTATGGTTCCCGGGGGCGGGTTTCAGGCGGAAGGCCATCCAATGGAAGGCCAAGATGGAGGAGTTCACGAACAAGCCGTTTGAGCTGGTGAAAGCTCGCATGGTACAGCATTTCACCACGGGCTCTGTTGACCTCAGCTGACTTGGGCGGTGAATTGTCGTCGACATAGGAGGACGGAACGGCTGTGCCGTCGTTCTGCTCAACACTCTTGGATCAGATGGGGGATAAGGAAGGAGTGACGAGCGCACAAGAGGACTTCGATGTTCGGTGGACAGCCAATTCTATGTATTCAGGTGCGTCATACTGCGCCTGTAGCCCTATCGTTGCTTACCTCGATGTACCTACAGCGAGCATTGATACTGTGAGTACCTACACCGGATAATCATACGCGTCATCGCACAGTGCTGATGCCTGGGACCGCAGACGATGACCGTGATTCGTCATTTCCTGCTCCTCATGCAGCTGCATCCGGAAGTCGCTTTCAAGGCGAGGAAGGAGATTGACTCCGTTGTCGGCACAGGCCGTCTACCCACCCTGAGCGACCGGCCGTCACTCCCCTACGTCAACGCCGTCATGAGCGAGTGCCTTCGCTGGGGCGCCCCCGTGCCTCTTGGTCAGTCTATCAGTCCTGAAGCCATTCCATCTTCTGGGTATTGAAGGATTGCTCTTAGGACTGCCACATCGCCTCATGGAAGACGACGTGTACAACGGCATGGTGATCCCCTGCGGGACCCTCGTGTTCGCGAACGTCTGGTATGCACTCCATATCCCCAGTCGCAGCATGAGCTCACCTTCAAGTAGGAACATGACCCGGAACCCAGACGTGTTCCCAGATCCCGAGTCCTTCAACCCCGAGCGCTATATGGAGGAAATGGACGCCGCGACTGCGACCGCGCGCGACCCGCGCAACTTCGTCTTCGGCTTCGGCAGGAGGTCAATCTCTCTACCTCTTCCTAGTTCGCACGCACGCATCGAACTAACCTAAACGTGTTTCTTTCTCCCTTGAACCCGTCGCTTTGCACAGGCGGTGTCCGGGCTCACACCTTATCGACTCCTCTTTCTGGATCGTCCTCGCGTCCATGCTCGCCACCTTCGACATCGCCAAGGAAGCAGACCCCTCCACCGGGCAACCGCTCGAGCCGGTTATCGTCTTCGAGAACGCCGTCTTCAGGTACCGTCTTCGTTTCACCTGCTCCTCACTCGTCCTGACCCGTCCACAGAGCGCCCGAACCATTCCCGTGCTCGATCAAGCCGCGGTCGAGCGAGGCGGCGCGGCTTATCGTCAACTCGGAGTCGCTGAACGCATAACCGTACCCCTGGAAGGCGCTGCGCACGTCTTGTACATTTTGCGCTACTGTGAAGTCTAAACTTTAGCGAGCAGCATTCATACTTTCGTCATCATCGTATCACAGCCTGCGACGTGTCCGCGCGCTCCCCCAGTCCTACACACCAAGCTCTAGATCGATCGTCGCCCGCTAGCGTACGCCACATCTGCGCGGGCGCGAGCGCGCGCCTGAGCCTGTATGAGATGTCTCAAACACGCCTGAGGCTCTCGACGGTTACGTCCTAGCACGGCCCTCGAGCCTCGAGGTGCGCGGTGGCGCCCTGGTGGCGTCTTGCGTTTCGGGCGTGTTCGTGCTCGTCACGGTCTTCGGAAGAGCCGACGAAGCGAGCGCGCGCGTCGCTCCGAGTGCCCGACACTGACGGTAAGACCGCCGGCGTCCTTGGGACGTTAACAGCAGCCGGGGCGAGCATCGTCAGACATGCAGGCCCGATGTCCCAAACTCACATTAACCAGTGGTGCAGAAGCCTGCGGAAGCGCCATACTCAACGCCCGGAACACACCCGATCCAAATGCGGCCCGCATGTCCTGAGGCGAGCTAGACCGGACACCCGCGCTCAAACCCCAACATACCGCGAGAAGGGACGCGGCGCACAAGGGCCGAGACAAGCGTGGCGGCGAACATACCGCGTCCGGCCCCGGTATCCATGCAGCGTCCCGCCACACGAAAGGATTTGCACGGAGCGGTCTCCCGCTCTTCCAAGTGCGTCGCCGGCACCGGGGCGCGGCGCGCGAACCGTTCGCGCTCAGCGAGTCTTACCGGGCCCGCTCCCCACACGCACGTCGACGTCGGAAGATCGGGACACCGGCTGGCAGACAGGACAGCGCGTCGGGACGTCGGCGCGGGCGTGTGCTTACTCGAGTCGGGTTCGGGAGTCGGGACGCAGCAGCGGTGCGGGCCCTCGATGACCTATGCATCATCATTGCAGTTGTCTTCTCCCGTACGTCTTCCTTGCGACGGCCCTGGCAGATTGAGAAAGAAGCTCTTGATCCGGTCCACCCTTCAAGCAGGTGCAGGGTACAGCGGTGGCACTGCCCGTCCGCGCGGGTGTGGTAAGTCCCCGCCGCCGTATGCAGTGTCTCGCGCCCGCCTGGTAAGTGGTGCCGACGGGAACGACGCTTCATGTTTAACGTGCCACCGTATACATGGGCCGGATCGTAGGTCTGTACTACCGCAGTGCACCAATGCAACATAGTGCAGGGCTCCAAGATCGACACATTGAGCTCTCCTCCTTCCGCGGCTGGGCCACAATGCCACATCCCCTACACTCGCCTCGCAAGGAAGTCCTGGCCCGCTCCGCTGACCACGGCCACTCCGCTGCAGCTGCGTGCGCAGCGACTCAATGTCGATATCGTGGCGCGCCGGACGATCTACACGTTCACGTCCCACGCCCGCTGCCAACTGTGTACATACGCCCTAGCGAGGTGGTTGAGAGGCTGTCATGGGACCTCGGAGAAAGTAGTCGCGAGCTCACTGGTAGCACTCCGAGTCGCCCCAAGACTAGGGCGAAGAAGGCAGGTCGCGCGGGCTCCGCTGGGTCCGGGCACAGATGACGCGCGGTGAACCCTACTCTGCCGGACGCGGAGGCACGCTCGGAGAGCGATAGGGTTGCCAGTGTGTACCACTCTCGAGTCTCCGACGAGTGACCTGAACCATACTCACCGCCCGCCGACGTCGCGCGAAACGTCCACAGCTTACGCACCCCATTCAGCGAACGCTCGCCGGCCGCCCAATTCACCAACTATACACTGTACAGCGCTCAAGAGGCTGATGGCGCTCCCGCGGACTCGGAGGCTTCCACGGGGTCTGTTCCGTCGCAGAGTTCCACCCGCCGAACGCATTCAATACCGTATGCGCTGGGCCAGACCGGTCGCCTGCGGCGTTTCAGGGTGCCCAGTGCGTGCAGTGCGGCCGGAATCAGCTGGCCAGTCGCGTTGCCATCTGCAGCTTCGAGCCGGGGGAGCTTCTGTGTCGACGTCGACGGCCGGGGTGGGTACAAGGCAGAAGTCCGGAGTGAAAGGGGAGCACTGAATGGGTGCTGTATTGTGTACGTACGGACGCGTCTCGGAAAGTACTACAGACAGTGAATACACATTACGATGTAAGGTTAGCGTTCTAGTCCGGGGGCGCTGGCGGCGGACGGAAAGCAACTATAACGGAGCAATTGGGGGAAGCAGCGGGCAGATGACGAAACGGAAAGATGCAGCAGGGTGGGGAGATGATGGTGGGGACTTAGAGAATCACAGAATCAGAGAAGCACGGGCGATTGCAAGCAAGTACAGGGGCATGTCCGCGCCGACGCGGAGCGGGACGGACGAGTGATCGGGAGCCTCTACTGTGTGTGTACCGTGTAGCGTGCGCGGGATATGTTCATGCTGCGATCGTTCGGACTATGACAGGGAACTCTCAGCCAGTGCCACCGACCAAAATCCTAAACCTGAGACCCGAGAAGTTCGAGAGGAGGAGGAACGTTCGACAGATGCAAGTGGGGGGCCAAGGCGCGCGCGCGGAGGGGTATCGAGGGAGTACGGAACGCACGAGACCGAAAAGCGTCTAGCGGGCGACGCGCGCGTCGCGATCATGCGTCCGCGTCCCCCCACGGAGACCTGGATGACGGCGGTGGGACGCGTCGACATCGCGCGGGGCGTTTTCGTGTTGGAACTGGGGATGATGGCGCGCCGGAGCGCGTGCGAGAGTTCTCCACCTCGAGCCCCCCTCCGCTCGGCTTTTGCGCCTCTTCGACTGATGCCGTGGCGCCGGGATCAGCGGTGCGTGCGTAGCCGCCGGGGTTTTGCCTCGGGATCAGCTGCTGCGATGCATCGCCCCGCACTGCACCGCGTCGTCCGCCTGTCGACATCGTTACCCCGCACTGCGCCATTCAATGCGGGCGCGCGGGGCGACCCGTGTGATTAGGGTCAGGCCAGCAGGGGATATCACGGACGCGCGGGTACGGGTATAGCAGGCAGGCGATAGCGGCGTTGGCGAAATTACTATGTATGATACAGAGGTGATACAGAGCGATGCTGAGAGGGGGGCAATGTAGATAGTGCGTGTGATAATGCTGCTGATGATGCGGGAGAGGCCGAGACACGGAAGTGGGGCGAGACGAGAGGGAGGGGGGCTCATGCGCTGAACGCGGCCGTCGTCGCGAACATGTTGTGCGTCTGCACGTCGGGCGCGACGGACTGGTAGCCGTGCCCGAAGCCGGTGTACATCGACTGCATGTGGTGGTGGCCCATGAAGGGCGAGTGCGTCGACGGGCGGCCCGCCTGCGCGAAGAACGAGGAGCTCGGCGACGCGTGGGTGTGCGCGCCCTGGAGCGACGCGAGGTAGAACGGGTCGGTCGTCGCGAAGAGGGAGGTGTTTGGGGACGGGAGGTCGTGGTGGGCGTGCTCGAGCGGAAGCATGTTCATCGAGAGGCTCGCTTTTCGTTGGCGGAGCGCCGAGGACGGGGTGGTGGCGACGCTAGAGGACGGTGGCGCGCACGAGAAGGAGCCCGACTGGCTCGCGGGGGACGTGGGCGAGAAGAGGAGGTCCTCGACCATGCGCTCGTCCTCGTCCATGTCATCAGAGCCCGGCTGGCCCTCGTCGATCGAGCAGCGCATCTTTGAGTTGGAGGCACTGCCGCGGTGGCCCCAGGTGGCGTCCCCTGCCTCCCATGAGATACTTGCGGAAGGCGTGCGCGAGATGGGCGTGTTGAACCCTGCAGTGCGGGGTGCATTGAATGAGATGGGATTGGAGTGGGACTGGAAGAGAGTCTGCGAGAGCTGCGCCTGCGGGACAGTTTTAGGAAAAGCGGAGACAAAGACCAGTACGCCACCGACAAACCTGCAGGGCGGCGAGCTCGATCGCTTCTTGGCCAATGTGGTTGGCGTTGAGGGAGGCGACGAGGTCATCGACGGACATGGTCATGATTGCGGGGATGGGATGCGGAGTGCGGGGAGGAGGGCGGGGAGTATGTGGGAGAGAGGAAGATAATGCGAGGCGAGGGAGGGACGGCGAGGGTGCGGTACAAGTACCTGCCCGATCCTCAAACAAATCGAAATCTCGGTCCGGTCCGGCTGCCCAATCCGGAAGGCCTGTTCCGAGCGCAGGCGGGGGTCGGGCGCCTAGAAGCGTTTTCCCCGCAGAGGGGCGCCTCTTCGCCCTTCGAACCCCCGCCGTCCCGTCCCACGCTTGGAGTGAGTGCGACTCGGCGGCGCTGCCCCCGGCTCCCGCCCGACCCCCGGCCCTTCTCTCGCCGCCAACAGCGTCCCCGTCGCCCCAGTCCACGTCGTGCGGCCATGCGCAGAGATAGGCCAGCGCGGGTCTCACGTTTCCGCAGCGTTTCCCCGAAGATACACTGGGGCCTGTTCCAGCGAGCGGGCATCATCCGTGCATCATAGCAGGCCGCGAGATGGAGGAATATGCACCGATTGGGAACAGGCACGCTGCATGCGGCCGGGCATATCGCTCGCTGGCGACCGCGGCAGGCCCCTCGACGAGCCTCGCCCGCCTGATGGGATGCGCCTGCGTGTGCAAGTTCGCGTCCTGTCCAGCTCGCCGTCGCCCCGCCTTCCTCCGACGACGCGCGATGACGCTGATCTGCACCTGCCTATCTTGCCCCCGCCCCCCTCCAGCTCCCATACCCAGCCAGCGAAGATGCGCTTCTGTCCTTCGCGTGCCCGCGGCCCAGACCCGCGCGTCCCTCCGTGCGCTCGACACCACCCCCATCTCCCAGTCCGAAGCTGCATGTGATCCTGATTCTCGTAGCTGATGTCCTTCCAGAACCGCTCATTCCACCCAAATGGTAGCGCGCGAAGTCCGCGGCACTCGTCGAATACACCGGCCCAGCTCGACCTCTCCATTCCAGCGCGTGCTCCTGCATCTTACGCGGCGTCGCCTCTTCCATGCTGCATGCCCAGTAGGCCTTGTGCATGACCTCCCTCCCGTCGCGAAGTTTCTGGATATCCATATGCACGATGACAGCTGCCAACCCCGCGCCGCCTGACGTGGTCGGGGACGTCTCATAGCCTCATGTCGTCCTGGACACACGATGCCGCAGCCCGAGCGCGCGCGTCCCCACCCCTCCTACGCAGATATCGGCCACACTACAAAGTCCGTCCGTCCGTCCGTCTCCAGGCCTCTGCGCGCACGACCTCCGGTAGTCTATCTCCATGTAACGGCGCACGCTGCAAGTCTCCGGTCGCTCGGAGCCCCGTCTTCTGCGATCACCCCCTCCGCCGCCGCCCGCGCGTTCCCAGCCCCTGGCCGTCCGTGGATCCAGGCGCAGCCCGAGCGCAACTGTGTCCGCGTCCGCACGTCACCCTTCTCTTCGTGTTCATGACCCCTTCGCTTCACCCTTCCTTGTCAGACACAGTGCCGGCTGCCCTGGGCCTCGTTGCAGCGCAAAGCAGCCCCGGGGCCTTCTCTCTTCAACGCCTCCCGCCCGGCCCGCGCGCTGCCCGCCCACCCGTTCATCTCCGGCCATTCAATCCGCAGATGAGGCAGAAATGTAGCCGCTGCGCAGGTGTATGTATTCATATGCACGCGCGTCCCTGGCCATGGGCTATATCTGGGGCGCCGGCCGGGGGAAGACGCTGCGCGTTCCCCTGGCACGGGGCTGGGGCTGCTTCTGCTGGGCTGGACGACGATTGTAAACTGAGTGCCGAGCAGCAGTGGGTGCGGCGCGGGACAGGAAGTGCATCCCGTTGCAGCACCCGCGCTCCGCAGCGCGCCCGCCGAGCAGTTCTCCCGTCGCTCTTCTCCCTCGAATCCGCGGGCGCGCACAGTGGTTTCGTTCCCAGCCGGCCGCCCCCGAAATCCGAATGTCGTCTTGCACGGTATCCACCATGTACTTACCCGTTTGGCCTCGAATGTCAAGAAAGCGATGCACCCCGCACGCAGCCGCAACCGGCTACTTTGCGACCGCCGATGATGCATATGCCTTGAAGCCTCGAAGACTGCAGGGCTTGGGAACATGCCTCTGCGCGGGACTATCCGACCAGGGCTGGACCCGCTTCGCCCAAGCGCGGTGCGTGTTCTGCGCGATCCCCCTCACCTGCCGGCGTGCGCGCGCGCGCAATGAGGGGGCCAGATTGCCGTAACGGACCGCCGCATGGGCCCTCGCGTCGCGCAGGTTGTCCTGCTGATGGCCTCAGCACGGTCCTCCAGCGAGATGCCTTGCCACAGTGGGAGCCCGGGGTGCCTCGAGGCGTGTTCAATCGCGTAGCGCTCAGGTGTGTGTGGCAGGCCTCGTCCCTCCTCGGGCTCGTTCGCGGTTCTTTGTGGCATATCCGAATCGCCATCGCGTCCCTTTGTTGGGCGTGTGGCCTACAGTAGAGGCCTGCGCGACGCCCGCGATCGCTGCCACAGGGTGCATCTCCGCACCTCCGGTGACCCCGCGTGTGGGTCTTCGCGGTTATGCGCCGCAGGCCTCATATGCGGGTTTGCGTGTGATATCGCTGAGGGACGGGTTGTTGCAGGTGCGTTGCCGATCTCTGGTTGCTGCTTTCTCCTCGATCTAGGCTGATCTTGCCTGCCTCACCCCCAGGAGCTATGATCGTACGCAAGTGCTACAGCCGCCGAGGGACTCAGTCGCCCTGAGGGTCGCGCTAGAGCATCTATGTTAGCACTTACTTCCGCTGCGCGGATCCTCATTACGCGCACGTTCGAGATTTCGGAGGCTGCGCGGTAGCATGCTCTTATCTGAGCGCAGATATGCGCGCGCCGATCGTCTGCGTATGGACCTGCGCAGGCACCCCGGAGTCCGGTTATGGCCGTCGTGTGTGGCCGGGCGCGGGGCTAGTGCATCGCGCCATCCTGTGCCACAGCAGCGATAGCCCAACAGGGTGGATACCGGGACCTAAATGCCAGTCGAGGTGAGTCGCGTTAGCATTTCGCCGTTCAGGTGTGCCGTCGCCGCGATCTGACGCAGTCTCGGAGGTTGTGGGCGTTGCGTGGTCACTGTCAAATTCGCGCGATATAAGCTGTTGCACTTCCATGAGGATGGCAAGACATAGCCTGAGCTGTGGCTAAAGGGTCCACGACGTCGTCGCCGAACTACGGGAGTCACCGAACTATGGGAGCTATCTTCAGCCTTCAGATCCCGCGCTGCGGATATCATCCATGCGCGTCTGGTCCCTACAAACTCGGCCGAGCTGCTACCTATAGCCTTCAACGTTTCAACGCCCAACGTCAACCTCGCAGACTCAGTCCACTCTCAAGCGCCATAACAGCCGCGCTGACGGCTTCTTGAACTAACAATGAGCAGATGCGAGAGAGCCGATTTTGACGGTATCATCCCACCAGCCCCTGGCGACGTCCTCGGAGCAGGGTTTGATATCAGCATCAGCCCACGCCGAACGCGAACCCAATCTGCTGCTTTCGAAGACCGCGACGTCTCCCAGTGCCCACCGTCCGACCCTAGTGCGGTCATGGGTCGCGCGGGGCTGTGTACGTCACCGGACGGATGGTACTACATACGCATTGCATGTGCGGGCGTGAGGGATTTGCTCAGTGCCGGGGCTCGCGCGGGTGGCGGACTCGTGCGAGGTGCTCCTTCCCCGCCGCCACCGCTAGATCGAGCATGGGAGCAGGATCTTTGACAGGTGCGATGGACTGCTACCACAAACGCATCATCCGGGTTGTGCTGACACCGCCCACAGGTACGACCACATACATATCTCCGTCATCGAGACGGTGCCCGCGCCGCCGAGCCGCCTACTCGGGAACCTGAAAAGAGACAAGGCGATTCGTGTCCCATTCCTGCTTGCGGGCCCTTCCCACCAACAGCGACAGGCGCCCCTTCCGAGATGCAGAAGGTGTCTTGGGGGCTAGTACATACATCACGCATCCGACAGATGGTGTGTACGGCGGAGTTTGGTGCCGGGCGCGCTTCGCGCTGACCATCTTCTTCTTGCGATCGCAGGAATGGCGCTGAGGGCCGGGGACGGGCAATATAACGACTGGGTGCGCTTTGGGCCCTCGTTTGCTTTCTGCCCTCAGTGAGGGAACCATCCGCTCTTTGTAACTTTCTTTCTGTTCGCTCGACGTCGAAAATGGTCGGACTAGCTAGAGCATCCTCCCTGATCCCCCTCACACATCCAGCAGCGAGGGGTGAGCAGTCCTTCAACTTCCAAATCCCCCCAACCTGCAAGACACATGAATATGACGCAGTATGTTGTGTGTGCCCGTATGCGCCATCCTATCTCACAAGTACCCATAGTTCGATAGTAGCCAAGGCAAGGACCCTTGTCAGGTGGCAATCGCCCTCTGGTCCAATAATGCATGCTACAGTTCGTTCCATGTTCAGATGTATCCACGCTGCTCGATGCCAAAAGCTAATGCACAATGTAGGTTCTTCGGGCCCCTTGCCTGGCCTGGCCCAGTTACAGAACAACTGGTGCTTATGCAACACGGTGTACTATTCGCTATTATATGTATGCGGATTGTGCACCAGTGTACCGCTCTTACAACACTCGTATGGCACCTCGGCACTATGTTCAAATTGCACATCTTGACACTATCCTGGTAGATGGACCGATTATTCTGGCTCACTGAAATGTAGTCCACCCGACGTAACTACGTGGGTCCTTCTTCGCCTTCCAAGATCTGCGACCTCTATACTCACTTTCCGCATTCATTTCAAGGTTTTCCCATCCCGCTAACCCCGACGTCGTCATCCCGGCCTGGGCGTCGCAACCTCTAGGGGTACGTAACCCCCGGCGAGTCCCCTTCGTCGTATTAGACTCACAGATCAATGATAGAGCGATAGCAAAGTCAATCTAGCTGCAGCGACTCAAAGCACAAGTACGATCTTGGCATAGACCATATGCGAGGGATGCGCTAACTCCCTGTTTTGTAGCCATCCCCGCTGCGACGGGGACAGGGCCAGGAAGCCAAACTACATCGGCGCCTATACCGGCATCCACCGGAGCACCCGCACCCACTGTTGGGCCGAGTGTGTCAGCCCAACCGACTCCTACTCCCTCCACGCCCAGTATACCTGCCTCCTCTTCCGCTTCAGGAGCTCAGGGATCTCAAGCCGAGAATACAAGCGATCTTGCGCAATCGGCCAGTCGACCTTCGCCTTCTGCATCAGCCGCACAGTCGATGGCCGTCTCTTCATCATCATTGACGGGGGGCGCACCGCCTGTGGCCGGCGGAGCAACACATGAAGCGGACTCAACAATCATGGGTACATCTACGTCGCCTGAAGAACCAGGCGCTACCTCCCACGGGCAAAACCCGGTGAGCACGCCCGGGGCCGCGGCCGCTTCTACTCATGGGAGGAGCCATCTGGGTGCAATCCTTGGCGGGGTGTTTGGAGTCATTGCGGCAGTCGTCCTTGTCATCTGCGTCTTGCTCTGTCTTGCACGTCGTCGGCGTCGCCGCCGCGAAAAGGAAGCAATGCTGGCAAGTGGCCCCCTCGACTGGTGGAGGCAAACCGACATACTCCCCCGACTCATGAAACGCGAGCCGTCGGAGAGTTCTACGATCAAAGCGGACGTAAGTAGCTGTCTCGCTACATCAGCAGGAATGCGTACTCACTCTGATTTTGCCTCGTTCTGCAGGATTTAGACTATGACGACGACATGGACACGCTACACGCTACATCTGTGGAGAAGAAGTCTGTCACGTACGGAGAGTATCCTGATCTATAGCACACACAGTCTCTACCCCGCATCTCTATACCCATTTCTCATACCGCAATAGTCGACTCTGCAAGTATGGCGACTCCGTGGTTGGATTGTCTCCGAGTTCTTGCGCGAACAGACACGGTAAACGTATAAGTATATGAGCGTTTCGGCTATGTCAATTGTTGGCCGAGATCATTGGTTGATACACCTGCTGTGTGCGCGTTTTGAACGGGACACACAGGAATATGGCATGCCACCCTAATATGATAAGGCTATATAGAGCTCGTGGACGTCGAACGAGTTCAATCCAAAAATTGGGCGCTTATGCTTGCTTACGACTTGCTACCAACCTCCATGGAGCGAGCTCAAGGGTACGTCTTCCTAGGGGAGACTACCTCCATGGCCACTTCCGTCGAGGTACTTAATCGTCCTCTCTGGAAGCATGCACGAGAAGACGCGAAGCCCCCCGCACAAGTTAGCAACGCGACCGCCAGAGGACAGCACTAGTAGCCAAATAAACGGCGTTTCCAGCGCACGATGATCATCTTCCATTGACTGCGTCGTATCCAGGTATCCAGCTTGTGCGGCGGCGGCGCTCAGCATATTCTTGTAGCATCGGAAGACCATGCGCAGGTGTCGCCACGCATGACATTCGCATCTTGTTCAACAGCGCGAACAAACGCGAACCTGCCGAAAGGTAGAAATTCTCCTTCTTTTGTCTCCGGGATCCCCTGCCACCAGCGGGCGCAGACGCCTCTGCCGAGATGTGGGTCGTGTTCCATGGGGACCTGTATCACCTGTCAGATGAACAATGTAACGGAGTTCCATTACAACCGCATTTTACGCTGATCATCTCCCTTTTCCCCCAGTGATGTGCACAATGAACGTCTTGCGTAGTACACCCTGCGATATAATGCCTAGGCTTTTCTATGCGTCTTCTGCGCTGTACCCCCCGGCCTCGAGTTTATACATTTGCTCACGTCTCATTGCCAAGGATGGGTTCTCCGGTTTTTGCTCCCTCACCATCCCTTCCAACTGTGCTTGCGCGTTCCGGCTCTGGAATCCTAGGGTTCCTCACCGATGACATCGATTGGCCGACATGCCCAGCATCGCAGGCATCATTTCAGCCGGTAAGTCGTAGCACCAATACCATTGCGAACCAACCCACTTATGGACGGCCGCAGCTATCCAATAACAGAGGACAGGATCCGTGTGCTATCGCTCTCGACCTTTTGAGACCTTGTGATCGTTCGTATATATCACGCTGAGGGCGGCGCCCTCCTCTGCATTTATACGCCGCTGATTCACGTTGAAGCGAATCTGGAAAAAAGCCCCTTGTGGTTCGATGTCGGGGCCTTCCAAAACAGTCCATGCGCCTGCAACACGGTGCTGTACTCCTTGTTCGATATCTGCAGCGAATGTGCGGGTAGGTCTGACTTTGAGGCGACAACGTACGTCACAACTCAACATTCCTCCCATGGGCGAGCACTGACGAACTCTCGCCAGATGGAACATCTTCCGAGCCACGCTCGGCTGTATAAGCCCCGTAAATCAAGCGTACGCCTTTCTACCTATTAAAACTCTGGGAATGCTGCCTCATGTGTTGACGGTTGCAAGGTATATCGAGCCAATTCCCTCCGATACTGCCATTCCTGCATGGGCATACCTTCCTCTGGGGGTGGGTGGACTCCAGATGCCGTTCTTCAACCAATTTCAGCTCACATGCATGGGACAGACTGACGGTAAGGTAAATCTGACGCAGGCAAAAGAAACTGCTGCCCAGAGTGAGATGCTTCTTAAAACTCAGAGAAATAAAACGTTGACTGGCTACATTGCAGATGAACCCGATATAACGTCTCCCGGAAGTTACATCCCCCCACTGCCGTCACGTCTTGGACCTTCGCCAATGCTCGGCCCTGTACCAACGAGTGACTCGACGGGGCCCCGCTCGGGGTCAAGTACAATAGCTGCGCCCGTCGCCTCAGTAGCTGGTTCACCACAAGCGACTGTTCCGGAATCAGTCTCCCCTAGCACCAACGACCTCCATCTAAGTGCCGCTCCCACACCAATAACTCCCCCGCTAGTTACTTCGGTCAACGAACCAGGCTCAGGCTCTGCGTCGATCCAGGAGACGACAAGCCTCTCGCGCACCTTCAGCAGTTTTCTTTACGGTCCCAGCTCCCTTAGCCCCGCACCTACCATGACCAGCGACAATCCTCCTTCCCTGACCCCACAATCCACGCCACAGGAAACGATTGCCAAGTCAAGTCGGAATTTGGCCCCGATCTTCGGGGGTGTCCTCGGAGGCATCGCGGCAGCCGTTCTCACCGCGTTCCTCGTGTTGCGCCTCGTTCGCCGCCGCCGTCACCGCCGTCAGGAGAAAGAGGCCGTGTTCGCAAGCGGCTCGCTTGACTGGTGGAGGCGCCCCGATGAACACCTGCATAAAGCTGGCCGTGAGTTTACGGAATGCTCGACAATGAAGGCAGAAACGGTACGTCATTTTCACGCGCCAGCGCCAGCCTTGCATTCTGACTTAGACTCGGTGGTGGGCTCTACCGTAGGACCTAGACGTGGACGACCTGGAGACGTTGCACGCCACGTCCATCACGGTGGAAAACTTCAAAAAGTCAGTAACGTACGGAGAGTATCCCGATCTATGAACTGCAATTCTTGGGGAATTTTGTGTAAATGCGAATGTTTCCGGGACAGGTTGTACTTGCACTGATTATCTGAGGTGCCACGGCGTGCAGACCGTCGCGCAACGCGCACGGTCAAGACGCTGGGGCTTGCTGGGGCTCGGCAGACGCCCCACGTGCGTGTGGCGGTGTAATGGACGCACGCAAACGCCAGCTTCACTGATCCCGTTGTAATCATGAGTACTAACTTAACTGACTCAGCACTCCCCTTGAAATTTACCTCAGCCGTCTCATTAATGCCTTACACCAGATCGCCTGATATATGTTCCACTTCCGCTTGTTCGCAACCCTTGTGTCCCTCAGTACACCCCAGAAAGATTCAAGTGGAGATCTGCATGAAGCTCGACCCAAACGAAGGTACGACTCAACGGCGAACGCGGTGTACTTCGGATACACCTCGATCGGGAGCCATGGAGATCGACTCCGTCCTCCGTTGCTGATCTTTTTGTGTACTCAAGACGCTCTCCTTCAATTTTGGCACCATTGCTCCCGCACCTACATCAAAGCGTCTATTCCATCTCGTCTCTTGAGTGCTCACGTCGATGGTCTCTAGCGTGGACGGCCGGAGTCATGCATACAGTGTGGCTCGCATCTAAGCCGTCAAGGGTTCGCTTGACAGGACAGTTAGCACTTCAAAAGCTCGTTCGCAGCCGGCGCCGCATTGCGAAGAGGCGGCTCAACTGCTCTCGAATCTCGCTTGTCGGGGGCACGGGCAGAAAAGGGCAGCATGAGTTGGCCTGCATAGTCTCCAAATGTACGTGTTTCGTACTTATTATGCCTTCCACTGTGGTACTACACATATCGTTTCGGACTGATTTGAATGTCTTTCGGTAGGAAGAACTGGACTTACCAAACAAAGATCGATCTCATCAAAGAGAAAGCGGGATGACACGTCCAATCATCAACTACAGTGTTCGGGAACCATAGAGACCTGATACGTGTGCTTGATCCCGAAGCTCACATATGTGTCTTCAAAGTACTTACATAGTTTAGATGCTGCACTTCCACGCGTTTTTCTGACCACACGCAATGCGGCGGTCTTCTCATTGCACCGGTCTGCCTTACATCGTGAGGACCCGCCACACGAGCAGATGAGATTGGAAATGCTTGTGCATTCGGCGTTTTCGTTCTGACTGATCCCAACGTGAGTATAACTCGCATCTGCCATATGTTGGAATGCTCACCGAGCGTACAATCAATAGCAACACAGGCGCCATATCGATCAGTGTCAGAACCGTCCAGGAGTCCGAAGCGTAACTCTACGCAGCAATGCCAATAAGTACTGGTAGGAGTAACTTTGCTTTTTTACATCCAAAATCAAAGATGGGCTTTAAATCGTGCGCAGTCAGACTCTTCCAGCGAGACAGGATACTAAAACAACTGGGTGTGCGCTCCATCCTGCTTTCCTTTTCACCCTCAAGTTCCTATCCACACAGGCTTCCTGTAGCTTCGTGTTCACTCGACGTCGAGGATGGCCGGACTATCTAGAGCGTCCTCCCTGATCCTCGCACATCCAGCAACGAGGGGTGATCAGTCCTTCGCCTTCCAAATCCCCCCAACCTGCAAGACACATGAATATGACGTAGTACGTTGTGCGTGCCCGTATGCGCCATCCTATCTCACAAGTACCCATAGTTCGATAGTAGCCAAGGCAAGGACCCTTGTCAGGTGGCAGCCGCCCTCTGGTCCAATAATGCATGCTACAGTTCGTTCCATGTTCAGATGTATCTACGCTGCTCGATACCAAAAGCTAATGCACAATGTAGGTTCTTCGGCCCCCTTGCCAGGCCCGGCCCAGTTACAGAACAACTGGTGCTTATGCAACACGGTGTACTACTCGCTATTATATGTTTGCGGATTGTGCACCAGTACACCGCTCTTACAATACTCGTATGGCACCTCGGCACTATGTTCAAATTGCACATCTTGACACTATCCTGGTAGATGGACCGATTATTCTGGCTCGCTGAAATGTAGTCCACCCGACGTAACTACGTGGGTCCTTCTTCGCCTTCCAAGATCTGCGACCTCTATACTCACTTTCCGCATTCATTTCAAGGTTTTCCCATCCCGCTAACCCCGACGTCGTCATCCCGGCCTGGGCGTCGCAACCTCTAGGGGTACGTAACCCCCGGCGAGTCCCCTTCGTCGTATTAGACTCACAGATCAATGATAGAGCGATAGCAAAGTCAATCTAGCTGCAGCGACTCAAAGCGCAAGTACGATCTTGGCATACACCATATGCGAGGGATGCGCTAACTCCCTGTTTTGTAGCCATCCCTGCTGCGACGGGGACAGGGCCAGGAAGCCAAACTACATCGGCGCCTATACTAGCATCCACCGGAGCACCCGCACCCACTGTCGCCCTGTCGACTGTGACACCGCAGCCGACCTCTACTACCGTGCCGAACGTTCAAACTGCCGTCGCGACCTGGAGTCATCGGACAACCTTGCTAAACAGACCAGCGTACCTCGGAGCCTCGGCAGGTCTCAGCGCCGCGGCGTTCGTGGCCGTTATCGCAGCCGTCCTCCTTTTCCGGCGCGACCGCCGACTCACCAACGCTATCAAGCGGGCACGCCTCGCGCGTTCGGACGGCATTGCCAACGCCAGGGTCAGATACAACCACTCGCCGTCCTTGGGGAGACGACTGCCCGGCGAGGTTTCTGTAACGGACACAGCCTGTTGCGGTGCTAGCGACGAAGTCCTGGGTATGTCTCCAGCTTGGCCCTATACCCATAGCGCGAGGCTCATAAGCAATCATCGTCCGCGACCTCTAGGCTCACAAGGCCCCTTGCGACCACAGCGTCTCGATCCTATTACCCGGACCGTACACCTCCAAAACGCACGCCGTCCCACTCCGGGGACCTTCGACGGCGAGGTGTGGCGGACGTGATAGCGGCGGAAGCCTTACATGCGATTGTTTGTACTACTACGTTCCGTCAACTATTGCAGCTCTTGCTCCAAAATACTCAGCGAAAGGTGACGAAGACATAACGGGCGAAAGCCCTGCGACGTACAATCGTTGAATTTCGAGACGTCCGCCCACCCGAACAGAGCTGGCAAGCACCCTTTCGCCCGCAGCGCCTTCGAACCCCCGATGTCTGAGGCGCACTCTTGCACATAGCCACCGCCCAGCGTCCAACTTACCGCGGGGACGTTTGACGGTGGGGCGTGAAAGGCGTGAAAGAAGCTAGATTCGTTCAGTGTTTCTATCGGACGTCTATGAAAGGTTGTGTATACCTGTGTTACTAACTGCTCTCAGCTGACAATAATTCGAGAAATCTGCATATGTTGATGTCAAACTCACCGCTCGACGTTCGGGTTTGAAATTTAATATCCGAATGGGATAAACGACCAGCGAATGCTATGAGATTGACAGACGCGTTCCGGCGATGGTATCTGTAAGAATTGGGGATACGTCCGCCGCAACTTGCACAGGACCCTAGCAATACGTATTATGATGGATGGTACCTGCAGGAAGTGAGGTCCGCGGCATCTGTCAACGCCGAGTTTTGAGCACCGGTGATTTATCGCGTCCAGCCGCTATCTTCGAAAGATTAACACTAGGAGTACACATGGCGAAGGGGATGGCGGAGACTATACATCGCGATGTCCCTCCGGCGCGACACTTAGTGGATATCTCGCGCTCGGCGAGCATCTTCGCGCAGAGTGTGCAACCGTCAACCGTACGTTGAGCTTTGGCCCATCCATCTCAGTTGCTGAGAGCCTTGCCCAGGGTACGGGCACCGACATCCTGCATCTGCATGGAGACTTTGTGTTATTTAGTTCCAATACCATCTTTACTCACCAGCACCCGTGCACGGCCTCTCCTGTACTGATACACCACCCGCCATTGGTGGAGGCATCCGTACAACGTCTATAACCAACAAAGCCTACAACAAACAAAGCGCAGAATCAAGAGCAGCACAACACCACGCGCCGCCTACGCCATCGCGACGTCGCCGTCCGCGTCCGGCCGCGGCGCACCGCGCTCGACGGAGCTCACGAGCTCGCGCCGCACCTCCGCGCTGATCTGCGGGTGCGGGTTCACGCGCACGACGTCCAGCAGCGCGTCCTTCTGGTCCGGGGTCAAGTCCGACGCGTACCTGTCCGCGCCCAGTAGTGTCAGCAAGCGCATCCACGGGCGGAGGAGTAAAGGAAGAGTAGGAAGAGGAAGGGGAACGCACCGCTGACAGAAGACGAGCAGGCTCTGGTGCCAGAGCACGGGAAGCTTCTCCGCGTCGCCGGCGCGGCGGGCCTTATACGTGTTCGAGAGGCGGATGAAGTGGAAGACGAGGGCGTCGACGACCTTGTACGGCAGCGCATGTTTCTTGTCGAGAAGCACACGGATGAATAGCGAGTTCGCGCCTGTGCGTCAGAGCGTTGATGTGAGTGGGCGTGTGTATTGGAGACTGAGGGACGGGACGTACCAGAGTAGTCCATATTGGCGAGCCGCATGAGTGCTGCTGCTGAGTGTCCGAGCGGGATCTTGACTTTTGACAAAACGGACGCAACGATGGCAGCCTCTTGCAATGTGCAACCGCTCTGTATGCCACATACATCAGCCTTCATACCCATCCGATATTTTTGCAATGGTACGCACGTTCAGCAAAGGGAACACGATGCCCTTGAACACCGCACCGGGCTTGTACATCGCGCGCTTCAAGCTCTCGTAATAATGCACGTTCAGCTTGCGGTGGTTCTTATTCCGCCGATTGCCCTCCCGTGTTTGACGGATATCCTCACGGAGCGCATCGAGCAGGACGGCTTCGAGGAAGACACGAGCCTGTGGCGGCTTCATCTGCGAGATAAAGATGCGCGTCGCAGCATGGCATGCCTGCGGGGACCAGTTTTCGGGGTGCGTGAGCGCGAGGATGCGCGACCACTGCGGGAGGGAGGGGATGATCTTGAAGGGCTTCGGGAGCGGGCCGGACTTGTACCGGGTCAGCATCTGCCCGACTCTGGAGGGCGCGAGGACAACTCCGGTCAGCGCGGACATAAGAGGAGGTGGTGGGAGCATACTTTGAATAAACTTCGACGACCTTGGGGTCAAGCCCTGCTGCGGGGTCTGGCGCGCGGTCGGAATCTGCGTCGTGTTGAGGATGCTAACAAAGCCTGGGAATGACTGGTAACTGACCATGGTGCTTCTCGTCATCTGCGTCCGCGTTCCCACCTTCGAGGTTGTCGAGTTTCGAAAAGATGATGTCCGCGAGTGTCCTGCGCTCCCCCGCGTTTGCAGGGAGCAGCGCGTCGAGCGCCCTCATGTCATCTTCATCAACTTCCTGGTACGGGCACGTCAGCACGCGGCGTAATCCGCTCGGTCGGCCTTACTCACAATTTCCTCTATCTCCTCCACATCTTCGTAACGGTCCAGGTCGAGATCGTCGTCGTCGTCTAATGATGGCCCTCGAGGCGCGGACAGATCCAACTGGGTGTCGTCCTCATCCTCATCGTCGAGATCCTTTTCGTCGAGCTCCTCCTGCTGGTCGCGCGCGAGCTCGAATATGCGCCGCGAAGTCTTGGGGTCTAGGATAGCCTGCAGACCAGTGGGGATCAGCCTCAAGCGGGATGCAGGCGAGCACGCGCGGGCTCACCTCGCCGGACTCCTCCTCATCCTCGTTCGTTTTTGATCTTTTGCGGCGTCCAGGCTGGGAGACGCGGCCGTACTTTGCATGCGCCTCGTCCTCGCCCAGCTGGACGTAGAGAGGGTCGTGCTTCGCTTTTGCGGGCGCACGGGGTGCTTTGGGCATGATGTAAGTGAGACCGAAGGTGTGCGAGGGAAAGGAGAGTCAGCGGTGGTCAGCGAGATTGTGCAAAGAAGGAGGATGAGTGTCTGCACGAGCGGTGCAAGATTTTGCGAGATCGCGCGCCGATTGGCCGGAGCGCGTCCGGATTAGGCGGAGAGTCGCAGACGCGCGGGCGTTCTCCGTCGGCGTCGGCCAGGCCATGATCACGCCGTTATTAAAGACAGCCCAGCTCTCTCTGTCCGCGTTTTCTCCAGCTACGCCAGCTCTCTCTCCGCCCACCATGTCCGCCTCCCAAGCACCAGCTGTTGCCCCGGTAAGCACCTCCTCCTCATCGTACACCTCGACCACCGCACCGCCGGATCACCACCTGACGCGACGCGACGCGTTCCCCGAGGCCCGTCGATTTGATCGTCGTCGCGCACCCCGGCCCTGTCCCCTCGGCGCCCAGTCCCGCTGACCACTCTGCATCTACAGATCCGCTCGACCGACAAGAACGGCAACGTTATAAACAGCGTCGGCTTCCAGCGCTTCGGCTTCGACTGCGAGGTCTCTCTCGACCTCCTCCGCTCACTCTACCTGCGCCCCCACTATGTCATCACCGCTGCCTCGGACCAGGATGCGGAGAAGGAGGAGACTGAGCACGCGAAGTTCACTGGTAACTACGCTGCGTACCAGTCCAAGTCTATCTTCCACCCCGACAGCCACTCCATCTCCTACACCACCCTCTCCCGCTTCCCTCCCGTAAAGCTGCTCCCGCCATCTGAGCGCAAGCGCATTCTTGTTACCGGTGGTGCTGGTTTCGTCGGGTCGCATCTGGTTGACCGCTTGATGCTCCTCGGCCATGAAGTCACTGTCCTCGACAACTTCTTCACTGGCTCCAAGACCACGGTCTCTCACTGGATCGGTCACCCCAACTTTGAGATGGTCCGCCACGACGTTGTCGAGCCCTTCATGATTGAGTGCGACCGTATGTTTTATCATTTCCGACTTTCCGCGAGTGAACGCATAATCGACCGTTACTCGCATCCGCAGAGATCTATCACCTCGCTTGCCCCGCCTCGCCGCCGCACTATCAGTTCAACGCGGTGAAGACGATCAAGACGTCATTCATGGGCACCTTGAACATGCTCGGTCTCGCCAAGCGCACCAAGGCCCGCTTCCTCATCACCTCGACCTCAGGTTCGTACTCCATGCAGTCTGCTGCCTGCTTATACTAATCCTGGGCGTCACAGAGGTGTACGGTGACCCGGAGGTTCACCCCCAGCACGAGGACTAGTCAGCGGCTTTCTATTTCTGTCTCGAGTTCTTTCCCCTAATGCGGCTCTAGCTGGGGACATGTGAACCCCATTGGCCCCCGCGCCTGCTACGATGAGGGCAAGCGTGTTGCCGAGACCTTGACGTATGGCTTCCACCGCCAGGACGGCGTCGATGTCCGTGTTGCGCGTATCTTCAACACTTACGGTATGTACGCCAAACTTACATACAATTCACGTCACTCACCTGTATCCGTCTCCAGGCCCTCGCAGTACGTACAACTCACGCGGTACCGAGCGCACCGCGGGCTAACGTTTCCGCAGTGAACCCCTTCGACGGCCGCGTCGTCTCGAACTTCATCGTGCAGGCGCTGCGCGGGGAGGACATGACCGTGTACGGCGACGGCAAGCAGACGCGCTCGTTCCAGTACATCCACGACCTCATCGACGGCCTGATCGCGCTCATGAACTCGGGCGAGACGCGCCCGGTGAACATCGGGAACGGCGACGAGTTCACGATCGGCCAGTTCGCGGAGCTCGTGCGCGACATCGTCGAGAAGGTGCAGCGCGAGGACGGCGTGCCCGCGCCGCGCCGCGTCGACATCGTGTACAAGCCGATGCCGACGGACGACCCGCAGAAGCGCCGCCCGGACACGACGCGCGCGAAGACGGTGCTCGACTGGGAGCCGCGCTGGACCGTGCGCATGGGCCTCGAGGAGATGGTGCGCTACTACAAGGCGAAGATGATCGAGGGCAGCCTGTGAGGAGGTTCCCCGCGCGTACCAAGGGAAGTTGCACATAAGATAGACTCGGAGGCGGTGACGAGGATGGAGGTCTCCCTTGGCTCTGACACGGACAGCGTTTTGGGTTCTTGAGACGGCTCTTGACGAAGACGAGACGACGATCATGGCAGTAGACTAAACGATAGATAAAATGCAAAGCGGATCTCCTAGACATTCACGGTCCCCCTCCGTCAGTCTTCCTTGCAAGCTCCCGCACGGCGTATCACTACGGTAAGTGTTATTACCACACACGATAGCCTGCGACTCCGACGAGGCAGCGTGGACTGTCCAGGTGCGTGGTCCAGGTGATCGTACGAGAATATGTTTTGGACCTTTGCGCCAGCCATCCCGCGCATGATCTATTTCAGACAATTAATGATTGACAGGCTTCGAGAACGACATGCTGGTAGACGGGCTTTTAAAGTCGATCTTTTCTTTTCAATATCAGCGACCGACGCACGCACGTTCGTTCTCCAGAGAAGCAAGACATGAGGTGCATTAACAGAGGAATAACGCATCTAGTAGGTACTTTTATCTACGTACGTTATGCGTGAAAGTAAGGACAAGAGCAGGTATGGTGGTGAGTGGACGAGCGGGTGAGCGAGTGTACGGATAGTGCATGACCTCCTGAGTATAGACCGTAGAGAGAAATGGAGAAATATGCGTGACAGGAAGAAGAATCCCAAGGAGCAATGGCCGACTAGATGCGGCCTGACCGGCCCTGTGGGTATAAGAAGAAGCAAATAACCATGAGAGAGACGTCAACGGAGATGTCAGTATATACAACAACAACATGTGCACAGGGCGAGTGAGTAGATCGATAAAGATGCAGCCAAAATTGAGCGAAAGAAAAGTCCGAGCCCAGACGGACGGACGCTAGCGCAGAAGTCGGCGCGGGAGACTCGTGCCCGCGCCCGACGCGATGACCTTCGCCATCGAGCCCTTGATGACATGCTTGTCCGCAGTGCCGGGCGGGATGACCGTCGCGCGGCGGATGCGCGCGACCTGCTGCAGCTCCTGCGTGACCGGCTCCGAGTGCGAGAACAGCAGCGACGTCTCCGGCACGCTCCCCTGCAGCCGCCCGTTCTCGCCCCCGCTGCCGCCGCCGTTCCCGTGCGCGGAGCCGTTGCCGTTCGAGGTGCTGGGGCGCTTGCCCGGGCGGCGCTTGTCGCGGTTGCTCTCGCTGATGCGGTCTTGGTACTGCTTGATGTCTGGAGTGGCCAGGGGGTGAGGAGGGGGAGAGTGGGAGGAGGGAAGGAAAGGGATAGTACTCGTGTAGGAATAGCCGTCCGCGCTCGAGTTCAGCCAGTGCTCGTCCTTCCGCTCTGAGTACCTGGAAATGGATTATCTCGGGTCAGCGGCACGCCCCCATTGCTAGGACATGGAGACTAGAGGATGTGAGCAGGAGAAAGGGTGAGGATACGTACTTGCGAAGTGGGCGGCCGTCGGGGGCGAGCGGCGAGAACGCGATGTGCATGCCCTCCTGGTATATCGCGTAGAGCTCGTCCTGGCTCTTGCGCACCTCGTCGGTCACACAGGAGAACGAGAGCGGAGAAAGCGGGTCCTGGTCCGCGAGCGCGGGGTCGTCCTCCCACTCCGCGAGCTGGGCGAGCGCCGCACGCATGCGCTCCGGGAGCGGGATCTCAGGCTCGTGCAGGTCGCTCCGCGCGTGTGGCTGGCGTGTGAGGAACTTGTTCAGCACCTGATTCACGATGGATGACGACAAAATGCTGAGGTAGCCGTGCGTTGCTAAGGGACAATAAAGTTAGCTCAGGGAAGGGGGAGCGGGGGAAAGCCTAAGGGACGCACCCTTGACGTTGAACAGTTGCGCGCCATTTGGCACGTTGATGAGTGCTTGACGAAGCTGGTGCGCATACTCCATCGGGTGTGTTGGACTGCGCTCCGCCTGCGAGATGATTGAGTTCAATGCAGACGTGAAAGGGCTGCTCTCGAACGCTGACCTGGATAATTAGCACCGGACACCTGACGCTCGCAAGCTGTTCCGGGCTCATAGGGGTACGCTGTGCGCCGCAAGGTCAAGAACGCGTTCACGTACTTTTACCTGCAGGCCGGACTTACATTGAGGACGAGATTAACATTAGTGAGGGCGAATGTCCGCCGGAACGGCGGGTAGTGTACTTCCCAGAACGCGACGAGCTGCACATCAAAGGCATGGTCTGCACGGGTGCACATCGCGTAACAAAGTCAATGGAGCGCGTACCTCGTCTATGAGATCCGGGTGTGTGTCCTGATAAAGCTCTGTGAGCGCCGGGCGGGGGTGGGGTGACCTGGTGCGCTATCTGGACTCACCATAGCATAACAGTTAAGGAGCTCCCTGCACGCAGTCTCGAACGACTCAAGGTCCTCCGCATAGCACCACAAGTGACAGAGCTCCTCAAACGCCTCGAAGATCGACTTGAGTCTGAGCGCGGTGTGGCACGTGAGCCTGGGCACGGGATGTTCGGAGAAGGAGAAGACGCACTCTGTTTGTGGGGTAACGTTGCAGAGCGTTAGACTCAAGCACAGTTCCGGGAATCTGGAGGGCGGGGATCGTCATTTCCGCATTCAGACTGCGCAGATCAATTTGAACTTACAGTGCAGCAAAGCGAAGGGCAGAGAATGAGAACAGCTCGGGGGCGAAGATGTGCGCGGGGGGAAGGCGGAGATGCTGTATGGACGCGCTCAAAACTGGGAATCCTCGCGTGCCACTGAATATCGAGGAGAACTCACGTAGAAACAATGCGCGAGGTCTGCAGCGGTAACCCAGAGGTCGTAGCGACCCGACGGTCGGTACAACGACTTGCCAGAGGTGCGTAGGTCAAAGACGATGATGTTGAAGTTTGCGTTCAACCGGGGGTCGTCGAGTTGTGGGTGCATCCAGGAGGAGTCCAGGAACAGGGGGTGCAGCATGATTAGCGTGGGCTTCGCGGGGTCAAAGCCGCTGACATTGCAGGCCGGCGCATTGGTGGTGTACCAAATAGCGGCGTAGTCGTCCGAGGAGACGAGGTCGACATAGGGCATGGTGTCCGAGGGAGAGAGGGCGACTAGGAGGGGATAATAGGGAGTGGAACGGAGACTCTGCACCTAACGTGCATGAGGAGAGCAGAGAAAGCGGAGGGGAGGGAGGGAGAGGCACATCCGACGCTGCCGTGACCAGGGCTGTCGGTAAAGTCGCAAACGGCCCTCGGTGCGATCACCTGCCCCTGCCTTTTGTGCGCTCGCTTAGCCTCCTCCGCTACCACTTATCGCACTCTCCCCGCTTCCCGCCTGTTGCCATCCCCCACCCGACCAACGCCGCCCACAGCGGCGCACTCGACGTGCACGCAACCATCCACGCGCGACTCATCCCACCCGAGGTCTCTATGGGCGCGCCCTGTCCGCTTCCTCCGCTTCTCTCCACGGCTCCTCCCTAAATTGCCTAGATCCGCTCTGGTGGCGTTTGCGCCCACAGATCTCCAGATAGCATCTACAAGCCCATCCCCTCCGCGCCGGACGCGCTAACCGTCTTCCCATGTGCATCCGTCCCCACCCCGTTAATCGTGTGTCTCGGCTCGGCGCCTCGAAGACAGAGGCACAGAACTGCACATGCACATAGCGTTCTCCATCAGGTTCGAATGGCGGCGGCGGCGGAACGCTCAGCGAATCGCCGTGATGTGGGGGCTTAAGGTGGCACCAGGTGGCACCCCACGGGCGCGCAGTGCATCAAGGTCCTCCCAAAAAGAGCGTCGAAAATCCATCAGCGCGTTAGGATTTAGAGTTGTACAGGGCCTAAGCAAATAGAGGCTATTTGCAGCGCGTTTGTACCAACTCAGGTGGGGCCGGCGCTCGTATTACATGGAGCCATCGCGTGCGCCTCTTGCACTGTGCAGTGTGAGCAGGCTGAAATCTACAAGATCTAGGTATTGCTCCACCTGTAATATTGAACTACTCCAACGGGCGCACCCCCGCTGCAAATAACGTCTAATTGCTATGAAACGCATTCCAGAGTCGCGGGAAGCTGCGGGAGGGCGTCCCGTAGCTAGGAGGACAACGACCGTCCGCCTCAGTCTAAGCACGAGCGACGATCGAGTACTTGAGTACCACCGTTAATTGCATGTGAATCAGGACGCCCTGGAAAGGGGCCTATCAAATGGGGTGAATTAGGCCAGCTTGGTGACGATATGAAAGCCCCAAATGATTACATCCAATCAATTGTCACGTCTACGCTGAGCTTGGGTTCCCTGTGGAAGTTGAGAGTACCTTGTAAGTGCGCGTTGAATTGATGATACCTTTGGACTAACGCCGATGTGCATGTAATCGTTCCGCCTTAACAGGCTGAACGGTGAATATCGCGGTAGAAGGACTCACCGATACATGCAGCACGCCCCATGCTGATTATAGGTTTACCAGGTCCGTTTACTGAACGACTGTGCCATACTCATCTCATTCACTCTGAACTGCAGGTGAATCAGGACACCCTCGAAAGGGGCCTATTAAATTGGGTGAATTAGGCCTTGGTGGGCAATTCGGACGTCGGCAAGAGCGAAGATCTGGTACTTGAAAATAATGTGAAAGACTCGACAATGTCGATTGAGCTTGGGATCTATGTGAATGTCGAAGGTACATACCTTGTAAGCTGCTGGTAAGTATAAAGTTGCTTGTAAGTAGAAGAGCTGTTTTTCAGAGCGATAGGCCCACTCAAAACAGCAATAGTATGGACAGCTGTCTCGCGCGGCGATGCAGGGAGGGCGCAGGTGTACAAGCCCAGACCCGCGTATTACCATCCGACTGGCGGTGCTTGCTACCTACTACCCGCTGCACGAGGAAGGTCGCCGCCACTTCTGAGCCCGCAAGGCTATCTGTACTTTTTTGACGAGGGCCCATCGATTTGATAACAGCTGAAAGCTGCTTGTAAGTATACGTTGCGATCGAGGATGACGAGCCTGACCTGCACATCTTCATGCAACCGACTTTAGCGCCCAATGTGCGTATAGTCGACCGGCCTTGACGGAAATCTGGAAAGTCAAAATCAACGCGGATGGATGTGCACATCATCTCCAATTATGTATCTGATCGTTCTTGTCGGCTTTGGTCTGCATTCTCCTGGCGAGAAGCAGAATATTCGTGCGGAATGATGTAAGCGCCCAATCGCAGTGAGTTTCTGTCGTTCACAAGATAAACAGTATCTCGCGGTCAACGAACTCACCAGCATGTGAAGCACATTCAGTATTGATTGAAAGGATGGATCAGGCCTGTTCATTGTGCCCTACTCTGGGGCTGGGTGACTGACCGACTGAGTGACTGAACCCTGAATGCTCGCCGGCGGAGGCGGCGATAGGTAGGCGCCCTGTCGGCCTTTAACATTCAGGGGCAGTCGCGTTGCAACATTGATTCCATTATGGCATTACGGACGCGCAACCCGATAATGTCCTGGATCATCAGAGCATTAATGCTTCCCCCTTTTCCCCTGGCTACCCGCGTCCGTCACCTGTCGAGCCGCGGGTGCTCTCTGTGCTTACGATACGACCCAGTACCTGCATGATTTCCTGTTGGCGCTGCAAGCATACGACGCGTCGCGCACCATCAGCACCAATCAGTAGAAGCCCAAAATTTTAAACACGCGCACCTCTCTGTCTGCCGCCTGCGCGGTGGGGAACATGGCCGGGACGCCGAGCGCCTCGAGCGCGGCCTGCTGCTTCGCTAGCAGGCCGTCCCACGCTGGCAGGACCCGCTCGCGATCGAACCGCTGCAGCTCGGCGCGAAAAGAGTCTGTCAACGCCTGTGTGCGTGCGCACACAGGGGCGCGCTATCAGCCAGCCGATCCGGGCGAGAGGCGAGAGCCCAGGCGCACATCGGCTTCATATGGCGTCAGTCCAGCCCCGATGATGTTAGCTCTGCGCGGAGGAGGGGCGAGTGTCAGCGGCGTCGTGCTAGTGTGCGCTTCCATGCCTCTTCTCGCGCCGTGAGGGGGAGGGCGGTGGGTGGAGCTGGGGGACTCACTTGGTGCGTGCGGTGTTGACCTTCTCTTCGTGTCCGCGCTGGATCTCGCGCCGCTCCTTCCACAGCTGCCGCTCCAGATCTGCCTGCTCTGTCCGCATCTGCAGACACACGCGAATCAGTCGGTGATACATTCGGACCGTACAGCGACGAGCAAGACAGCGCGCGATCTGGACGCACCGCAGCCAACGCCTTCAGAAAATCCGCATTGGCGGAGAGCCGCGCGAGATGGGGGAGCGCCTGCTGGAACGTGCACGCCCGCACGTCCTGCCGCTGCCTCGCCGCGGGAGCGGGTGCCGGGCCCGCGTCCGACGAGCCCGTGCTCATGCTGCTGGGGAGCGCCGCCGCGTCCGGACCGGGGAATTCTGGCCCTCCAGAAGGCGGCTGCCTAGGCCTAGCTATTACTGGCGTGCTGCTGCTGGTGGGCCCCGCTACGACCGCGGCGAGGCTGCGGGAGGTCTGCAGCTGCGATAGCAGGGACGCCACCGAGTGGGCGTTGGGGGGTCCGCTCGATTGGGCCCCGGTGGGTGGTGCTTCGGGTTCAACGAGGCCGCGGGGGCCGGTGGGCACTGGTGCCTGTGAGGTCGTGCTAGCCGCATTACTAGCTGTTACAGGGTGCGTTTCTTGAGCCGCGGATGCAGTATTCGC